GAAATTTGGAAAATTAACGGGTTGTTTTGCTTTTTTAAAAAGGGGCGTAGAAAACTGAAAAAAAAAATGAAAAATTTTTCTGTATTTTTCTAAGTTAATTTGAAAATCAATAAATTAAATTCAGATGGGAAATTTAAAATGACTTGTTTTTTAAGCAATCCCGCGGGAAACCCTGGGGGCCACCCAAAGGGAAAAAACCCAACCCCAAATTAAAAAACAAAAATTTCCCCTCTTTTTTTCGAAAAAGGGGGATAAAATTTTCCCTTTTTCCCAAAAACAAAAAAAGAAATTTTTTTGGCCCTTAAAATTTAAAAAAAACTTAAAAATTTTAAGGCAAATTTGGGACCCAAGAAAAAGCAAAGGCCCGGGGAAAACCAGAGACCCTGGTTAATCCCCGGGTGGGGGTGCCCATTTTTTGTGCGGTTTTTCTCTCTCCTCTAAAAATTATTATATATTAAAATTAAAAAAAATAATTATATTATACACCACAAAAACCCAATAAATTATATGGTCCCTTTTTAAAGCACAAAACTGAGGAAAAATTTAGTAAATTTTAAACCCTTTAAGGGCAAAGGCCTTATAGGGGTTTAAAAAAAACAAGGTCTTGTCCTTAAAATTTGTTCTGTAAAAAAAATGGGAAAAATTTATCCCCTTCCAAAAAAAATTTGAAAGTCAAGGGGCCCGTTTTGGTTATTTTTTAAAGGGGTTTTCCTTGAAGTTATTTTTGTTTAAATTTTTAAAACAAACCCTTCAAAAAAAACAAATTTTACAGCCAATAATAGCCAAAAAAATGAAAATTTCAATAATTTGACCTTCAAAGTCAAGGTCATTTATGAGTGAAGGTCAAGGTCTGTCTGATTATTTTTAAGGGATATCCTTGAAAATTAAATTATTATGTTCAAGTTTGAAGACAATCCATTCGAAAATAACAAAGTTACAGCCAATAACAGCAGAACAAGCAAAATTTGGACTTTTAACCTTGAAGGTCAAGGTCATTTATGGATGAAGGTCAAGGTTAGTGTGGTCTACTGAAAGGTCTTGTCCCAAGGGTTGTTGTGGCAAAGTATGAAGACAATACACCAAGAAATAAAAGAGTTATGATCCAGGTACAAGTTTGCAGACGGGAATGGCAATGGCAATGCCGCCGCCACTATAGCAATACCATTACTTTTTTTTTCAAAAAAAAAAGAAAGTTGAGCTAAAAAATTTCTATAGCGAAAAGGTCACATTTAGTACTTCTTTATGCTCTGTTTGTATAACGCAAGATACATCACCTCAAAATATATGCACAACCCTGCAATACCATTTTACAGACTCACAAAAAATGGCATGTGTATGTGATAAAATAACATTACATTTTGCCAAAATTGTATCAAATCTTATATTATAATAAATTACCGATAAGACTTACAAGAAATTCTATAAATATTCTACAAAACGTATTGGTAACCACTAATGTTTAATTGATAAAAGAAAGACTTTTTATATTTTTGATAGTTTTAACAATTTATCCTAAACATTTTTTATTTCAAATATTGGTCAATGATCATAATAATAATCAATCTTTTGAAATATACAGCTTGACAGCACAAAAATGAGCATCACTTTCAAATTAAAGCAATCCTATGTTTGATAAACAAATATGCCCCCCGGCACAGATTCTTGTCAATTTTCAATTCCCCAAAAACTCAAATTAACTCAGTTATGAAAGGGGAGATTACTCAAGAAAAATTTTGTTGACACAGTTTATGATACAAACTTGACAGAGTCATTACTTTTTCTTCCTGTCATAAATAAAATGTAAATTGGCATGTTATTACATTTGATGAGGTTGAAAATATTTAACTTGAGAATGAAGGTATACATAACACTATACCTTGACCTTTAACCCAGTGACACTTAATTCTAACCAATGCTAGAGAACCACCCAAGTTACGTTCCTACCAAATATAAAAAAATGGGAACAGCAATGGGAAGTTCTATGGCACCCTCTTACGCTTCGCTTTTTATGGGTAAATTTGAAAATGACTTTTTAAGCCAACGTTCTTTAAAACCTAGTTTATGGTTCCCTTTTCTTGATGATATATTTTGTATATGGAGTTATTCCCTTGATGATTTGAATACTTTCATTGATAGTTTGAATAACTTTCATCCATCTATAAATTTACAGCGAACGTTTCTAAATCTCTCGTATCATTTTTAGATGTAAACGTTTCATTAGACGAAAACAATAATATTCACATGTTAAAGAGACAGATAATCATCAGTATTTAGAATACTCTTCGTGTCACCCAGTGTCTTGTAAAAATGGTATTCCATACAGTCAAGGAAAACGTTATCGCCGTATCATTTCTGACGATAATGTTTTCAACGATTCTTTACAAAATTTACTTACATACTTCAAAGCAAGAAATTATCCATCAATGTTATTGATAACGCACTAAGTAAGGTTTCATGTCTAACACAGGATGAGGCCCTGTGTACTAACAACAAAACAAGTGATGGCAGTGTTATTCCCTTTGTTGTTGAGTATAACCCAACTTTACCTAATATTAGTAATATAATTAAAAAGTATTGGGATTTACTTAAACTTTCAAGTAAATGTTCTGTGCAAAAGTAAACCTTTGGTTGCATTTAAAAGACCTAAAAATCTAAAAGACATTCTCGTTAATTCTAATATTAGGTCTAATAACAAAAATGCGAAAAGTTCATCCAAATGTAATAGAAGTAGATGTACACATTGCAGCTCCATTATTGAAAGCAATATATTTAGTAGTACTAATATTCCTGGTAAGAATTATCATGTAAATAACAATACTGATTGTTCTACGAAAAATGTTATATATCTTGTCACTTGTGATAAATGTAAAGAGCAATATGTTGGTCAAACAAGCAACAAGTGTCTAAACGCATGAATAGCCATAGGTTTGACAATTTTTCCGATCCATTATTTTTGACCAATGTCGCTACACACTTTAATAAAACCAATCATTGTATTAAGTATTTTAAATTTATGCCTATAGAGATTGTCACCGATGATATGGAACGCTTATTACAAGAATCATACTGGATTCATAAGCTTAACACATTATCTCCTTATGGTATGAATGCAAAAGTTTTGTACAATATATAACTTTGTCATTATTGAGCCGGTATACATATACATGTAGTATGTTTTTTTCTCATATCAAGGTTTTTTATTATTATTAATTATGAGAATTTTTGTATCACATGTGCAGATCCATATTATATGTGTAATTTACTGTATATTGCTGTATTTATATTCATGAAAGATTCTTTATTTATTGGACAAAGTTTTTATTCCCGCGTTAACGTCACGTTCTGTTTAGCGTATAGTTAAACGGACGTTGCGTCATTTGTCATTTGTTATTTTATAAACGTCAATTTTTTCTGAAGAAGACTAAACGTCGAAAGCTTAAGAAAAGCGTTTGTTTTTATTGAACTGATTATATGTTCCTACCAAATATGAAAGACAATTGGTCAACAAATAAAGGCTGTATTTGCAAAAGGTTAAAAATCTATTTTCTATCACCAGTGAACCAGACTTTAAGATCAAATACCCAAAACTCAACCCTAATTTAGAGGACCACCCAAGTTCAACTATTACCAAATATGAAAGGTGAAGTGTAAAACTATTTTTAGCATTGATGACCTTAACCTTGAATCCAGGGACCCCAAACTCTACCCAAACTTAAAAGGCTACAAATGATATCTACCAACTTAATATGAGCCGCGCCATAACAAAACCAACACAAGCAAATTCGTTGAATTTATATCCCCCGCCGAGTACTGGTTATTATTAACACAACAACTGAAGACATAAGGCTTTATTTATATATTAATCATGGCATAAACTGTAATATTCTTTGAACTTGAAGCCTTGTACCTGCAAACAAGAAGAATTTTTAAGTTTTCACTATATACATATAAGGAAAATCTATGACCCCCTGGAGTGGGGCCAATTTTGACCCCAGGGCTAAAATTTGAACAATTTTGGTAGAGGACCTATAGGTTATATCATATACCAAATATCAAAGCTCTAGGCCTTGTACTTTCAGACAAGATTTTTAAATTTTGCATTTTTGAAACTCCTTTTCTGGCCCTGTGACCTATTTATGCAACAGACCGGAACCATTTGATCAACTTTGGCAGGGGACCACCCTAGGATCATTCCTGTAAAGTTTGGTTGCTGTGCAGTCATTTGTTTCTGAGGAGATGTTGTTTAAAGAAATTGCTGACGACGCACGACGACGGACGGTGGGGGATCACAATAGCTCACCTAGATGTAAAAACATCTTAATCTCCAGACTTCATTGCCATATTCAAGGCATCAAGAAGGGATCTCACAATTTTCAAATATTTTTAAATGTTATTGTAACAAATCATTTTAATTCTTCTTTAATAAAAACTAGAAATGTGTCCATAGGACACGGGTGCCCCCACCGCGCCACTGTTCTGTCAATCTTATGACTCTAGGTCAAATATTTTTTGAAAACTAAAAATCTTTTTACTAAGTAAAGGGCAAGAACTTTACAAATACTGAATAAATCCCCAAGCAAACCCCAAGTTGAAAATTGCAAATTTATACTACTGTAATTCAAGGGCAATAACTCTAACAAAACTGAAAAAAATCCACATGCAAAGTCCCAGGTTCATAGCTTCACAGTGAGGTGAATCATTATTCCTGTAATTTAGTGATGTTGATCATTATTCCTGTAAAGTTGGTCGATTCTAACACTCAAGGATCAAATAACAACATAATGAAACAGTTTTTACTAAGTCAAGGGAAATAACTCTACAAATACTGGATAAATTCACAAGCGAAACCCCAGGAACAAACTAAATATGCTGAGCAACTTTCCAATAAGGTTTAATGACTCTATGTCAAATCCTTTTTGAGTTACATGCGACACATGTTGAAAATTGCAAACATTTTCTAAGTCAAAGGCAATAACTCTTAAAATACTAAATAAATCCAGACGAAAATACCCAGATGCACAACTACACATGCTGATCAACATTCCTGTAAAGTATCATGACTCTAGGTCAAATACTTTTTGAGTTACGTGCGACACAAGTTGAAAATTACAAAATTTTACTAAGTCAAGGGCAATAACTCTAAAAATACTTATAATATCCAGACGAAAATACCCAGGTGCACAACTACACATACTGATCAACATTCCTGTAAAGTTTCATGACTCTAGGTCAAATACTTTTTGAGTTACATGCGACACAAGTTGAAAATTACAAAATTTTACTAAGTCAAGGGCAATAACTCTAAAAATACTTATAATATCCAGACGAAAATACCCAGGTGCACAACTACACATGCTGATCAACATTCCTGTAAAGTATCATGACTCTAGGTCAAATACTTTTTGAGTTACATGCGACACAAGTTGAAAATTGCAAAATTTTACTAAGTCAAGGGCAATAACTCTAAAAATACTAAAAATATCCAGACGAAAATACCCAGGTGCACAACTACACATACTGATCAACATTCCTGTAAAGTTTCATGACTCTAGGTCAAATACTTTTTGAGTTACATGCGACACAAGTTGAAAATTACAAAATTTTACTAAGTCAAAGGCAATAACTCTAAAAATACTAAAAATATCCAGACGAAAATACCCAGGTGCACAACTACACATACTGATCAACATTCCTGTAAAGTTTCATGACTCTAGGTCAAATACTTTTTGAGTTACATGCGACACAAGTTGAAAATTACAAAATTTTACTAAGTCAAGGGCAATAACTCTAAAAATATCCAGACGAAAATACCCAGGTGCACAACTTCACATGCTGATCAACATTCCCATAAAGTTTCGTTGAATTCCAGCCATTAGTTGCAGAGAACTACTCCGGAAACGAAATTCGGACGGACGGATGGACGGACGTACCAAAATTTGATGTTTATGAGGCAAATGTGCTTATAAACACCACCTGGACCAACGTCCATAAGCAAAATAAGCTCGTAAAAACAAAAAAATAGCTCTTAATTTGAATTTTATGAGTTTATGTTCTTTATTTAACTACGGAATGAAGCTCATAATAATCAAATGTTGGCTCGGACAGACAGACGGACGGACAACGCCAAAACTATATCTATAGATATAGATAATAATGGGTTTGCGACCAGCATGGATCCTTATCAGACTGCGTGGATGCGCAGGCTGGTCTGGATCCATGCTGGTCGCAAACCCATCACGTTGGTTTTGTTATGGCACGGCTCATATGAAAGACATAAGTCAATAAATAAAAGCTGCATGAGCCGGTGTGAAATTTATTTTTAGAACAGGTGACAATAGCCATGATCCCTGTGACCCGTAACCCTTTTATTTATGAAAGACAATTATAAAGATATATAAAGAATGTCTGTATGAGCAAAAGTTTATAAATATGTTTAGCACTGGTGACCTTGCCCTTGAACCAAGTGACAAAAATTCAATACCAAAGTTAGAGGGTCATCCAAGGTACCTACCTAACTAATATGAAAGATATCGGTAAACTTGCTAAAAGAAACTTAACATAAATCCAATTTGCCAGAATAGGTTACTGTACAAGGACCTATTTTCAAAGTGCTAAAAATGGGAATAACTAAGGAATATACTTAAAGCCACAGTTAAGTAATTTGTCAAGATCATGGACTTTGCATTATTAAGAGTTTAGAACATATATCCCCTGGTACAGATAGAACTTTAGATACATTCAAATTGCTGGTTTATGTTAACCTAGTACAGATGGATGGATTGACACACTGTTCAATTACTGGGGGTATGAAAATGTTAATTAAAATATATCAAACGATTTAATATTAATTAATCAAAAAAAATCTCTTTTTCTAAATAGCGTTGAAATGTGGGAAAACAACTGCTTTGAGGGACGTAGAAATAATTACATGTCAATAATGAATAAAGATTATTTCAGTAACATCATACCTTTACTTTGAGCTTGTGATTTATCTTCTAATGCACTTGGTGAATTGCTCCTCATAGGTGAACTAACTTTTTCCACATTGGATTCCGTTTCTGATTTACTGACAGTTTTAATGTTTTTGATACAATCATTATCTTGATCTACATTGGTGACTTCATCTTCTGAATCACTACTATCAATGAAAACTATTTCTTCCCCCACGGTGTCTACCTTCGTAGCAACAAAATCTTGATCACTGCCAGGAGTAGACTCTGATAAATGAAGTTGTAATTCAGATACAATGTCTTCATGTTCTTGACTTAAACCTTTTGATCTAGCCTCTTCTCCTTTGACATCTTCAACATATTTAGTTGCATATGAAGTATTTGTAGCTTCAGTTAGCAAAGAGTTCTTATCACTTAAAGTATCAATATTATCTCTCTCTCCTTGAACAATGCTACTATCACTTTGATTTAATCTGCCATCTTTGTCATAGTATTCTTTCTCCAAAGTACTATCAATGTTTAAAACTGATTCACTTTGTAAAGTTTTATCATTGTTCCTTACATCAGTGTGATCTTTTTCCTTGTCTTTTAACTTTGAAGATTTTTCATCAACTTGATCCTTGTCATCATCAATAGTTTGTCCTTGCTCAATACAAATATCATCTTTAGCTGACACTGTTTTAATCTTCATCCCTCTTCTACCCCTTTTAGTATGGACTGGGCTTTCTGTTTTACCCTTTGGCTTATTCAAAGCCTGGTTGTGATCAGTATCTACATCATCTTGAGGACTAACTGATTCCTACAGAAAGTAAAATGACAATGTTCAATAACGCTATACATTATATGAGAGTACAGAGGTCCCTTTAACAGAAACATACTTTTTTAATTCAAGAGTTGTCCAAGGAGCAACACATTCCACTTTACACAGTGCAGGATAGAATGATAAAAGCAAAGAAGGGACGGTGGCAAAATTATGCAAAAATTAATGGGAGAATTACCTGCCCTTAATAGTTTACACTGAAGTGAATATATCTGACAGTTTTTTAGCAATAACCAGAACATGTTTGATACACATATGCCCCTGCCAAGATTGTTGTCAGTAACAAATTTTCAAAAAAAGATTTACCCATTTACGCAGTTATGGGCTGAAAAATTGCCAAAGAATTGTAAACTAGAAATGTGTCCATAGGACACGGGTGCCCCCACCGCGCCACTGTTCTGTCAATCTTTTTACTAAGTCAAGGGAAATAAGTCTACAAACACTGGATAAATCCACAAGCGAAACCCTAGGTGCAAATCTAAATATGCTGAGCAACCTGCCCATAAGGTTTAATGACTATGTCAAATCCTTTTTGAGTAACTTGCGACACAAGTTGAAAATTGCAAAAATTTTCTAAGTGAAGGGCAATAACTCTAAAAATACTAAATAAATCTAGACGAAAATACCTGGTGAACAACTGCACATGCTGATCAATATTCCTGTAAAGTTACATGACTCTAGGTCAAATACTTTTTGAGTTACGTGCGACACAAGTTGAAAATTGCAAAATTTTACTAAGTCAAGGGCAATAACTCTAAAAATACTAAAAATATCCACACGAAAATACCCAGGTGCACAACTACACATGCTGATCAACATTCCTTTTAAGTTTCATAACTCTAGGTTAAATACTTTTTGAGTTACGTGCGACACAAGTTGAAAATTGCAAAATTTTACTAAGTCAAGGGCAATAACTCTGAAAATACAAAAAATATCCACACGAAAATACCCAGATGCACAACAACACATGCTGATCAACATTCCTGTAAAGTTTCATGACTCTAGGTCAAATACTTTTTGAGTTACATGCGACACAAGTTGAAAATTGCAAAATTTTACTGAGTCAAGGGCAATAACTCCGAAAATACTTAAAATATCCAGACGAAAAATACCCAGGTGCACAACTACACATGCTGATTAACATTCCTGTAAAGTTTCATTGACACTAGGTCAAATACTTTTTGAGTTACGTGTGACACAAGTTGAAAAATTGCAAAATTTTACTAAGTCAAGGGCAATAACTCTGAAAATACTAAAAATATCCACATGAAAATACCCAGGTGCACAACTACACATGCTGATCAACATTCCTGTAAAGTTTCATGACTCTAGGTCAAATACTTTTTGAGTTACATGCGACACAAGTTGAAAATTGCAAAATTTTACTAAGTCAAGGGCAATAACTCTGAAAATACTAAAAATATCCAGACGAAAATACCCAGGTGCACAACTACACATGCTGATCAACATTCCTGTAAAGTTTCATGACTCTAGGTCAAATACTTTTTGAGTTACGTGCGACACAAAAGTGAACGGACGGACGGACGGAAGGACGGACGGACGGACGGACTGACGGAAGGATGGACGGACGGACGGACAAGGGTAAATCTAAATGCCCGCCACTAATGTGGGGGCACAATAAAGTTATATAACTTGACACAGTCATGACCTTTTGTTATTATGAAATATCAAAGTTAGTATGTCATTGCTATTTGATGAAGTTGGAAAATATTCAATGTAACAATTTCATCAAATATATATAAATCAAGACATTGACCTTGAACCCAGTAACCCCAAATTACACACAAATTTAAAAGATCATCTGAGATTTTCTTTCAAAATACAAGACACTGGCAACAAAAAATAAAGGCTGCACAATGAAAGTGTAAAAAATCTATTTTTAGCACAGGTGACCTTGACCATGTGACTGACTCCCAATATTGGACCATCCAAGGTATGTTCCTTCCAAATATGAAAAACAGATAATAAATAAAGGTTGTGTAAGCAAATTTGTAATGCCCTTGACCTTGACCTGCTGACCTCTAACTCAATCCGAAGGCAGTAGACCAGACAAGGATCTGCATAAAAAAGTTAAGTTCAGTTTGACCTGCTTGTTGGCACATTTCAATTTACAGTCACTATCATCTAAGCTATAGCCAATTTAAGCAAAGTTCAAGAAATTAACCTTGATAGTTAAGGTCATATTTCTAAAATTATGCACAAGTAGGCATTAAGTCACTTCTTGTAATCAAGTTTTATCCAAATTGGTTGAAAGTTATTGAGAATCAGAACTCAAAAACAGTCAGACCAACAGACTGCCTCAAACCAGTTACTTACAACTTGATCAGTTACTTACTACTGGATTGTTCAGGGGTAAAGTTTACAAAATGGAGACCAAAGCCTCCAAAAAATAAAACAAGAACTGTTGGAGGACAGTGACGCTCGACTATTCAAAAAAGTTGTGACAAGGGTGTTTCATTGAGTATATTAATGCTTACGTAATACCTATATGAATACATAAAATTGTTATTAAGATGTATAATCGAGTAAATCACTGCTTGATTATAATGACTGCATAAAATTGTCCCAAAAAAAGGCACAAACCCTTCAGTAGTTACACTCAAAAAACTTAACCAAGAATTTCTAAGTCGAAAAAAGGACATAATTATACAAAAAAGCAAATCAGAGTTATGGGACTTGAGCCAATCTTGTTGGATAATCACAGAGAAAAAGTGTGTGAAGTTTTAATCCATTCCCTTCAGTAGTTATGGAGATACCAGCTTACATGCAAAATCTTAACCAAGAATTTTTTTTGTTGAAAAAGGGGAATAATTATGCAAAAAAGCAAATCAGAGTTATGGGATTGTGCCAATCATGTAAGATAATCAAAGAGAACAAGTGTGTGAAGTTTCAATTCATTCCCTTCAGTAGTTATGGAGATACTAGCTTGCATGCAAAAACTTAACCAAAGGGACACCGACAAATGGGTGACTGTATAAGCTCGATTATTCTGCGAATAGTCGAGCTAAAACATCTAAAAGAAAGCCTTTTCAAAATAACAAATAAACCTTAGAAGTAAGATCTTCCTCTTCAGTATCAGTGAATAGACAACGATCTTCAAAATGTTCATCTGTCTGTTCTTCATCATCAAACATACAACATCTGCCAGCACCAGTGTCATCTTCACTGCTAGAACTAACTGCAGCAAGGAAACTACCTGCTGTCCAACTACTCCCAGTGTCAGCACTACAACAGAAACAAAATTCAAAATACTTCCTTTATATTCATAAGACTTAAAGTTTAAATTTACTCATAATAAGATACTTATCCTGGCATATGTTGCAAAGTCTTTTAAATATATTAAGTCAAGCAAATCAAACAAGACTTGACTGTGAACAGGGAATTTCACTATCCTCAGTGTTGGATGATTAAATAAAAGCAACATATAAAAGTGGTCATAATTCAGCATGCTCCACAGACTGACTGTCAACAATTATCTCAAGTTTGAAGAGAAATCAGTTTTAATCTCAGGTAGCACATCGTCACATTTTAAGTAATATTTTTACCTAAAGTTTTAATTTCTTTCTATCTAAAAAATACAGACAGAACAGGAAATTGCTAAAACAGACGAATGGACAGACAGATGACAAGGTGCATAACAACATATGCAGTAATTTTCTCAGGCCTAAAATAACAGGGGCATAGATTTGAAAAAAAAAAAGAAGAATCCCCCCAAAAAAATTTTGCACTGGATTTTAATGAATCTATCCATCTATGAATCTTATGTTGGTGCCTCCAACAGTTTTAAGCAATGTTCTTGATATAAGCAAAACCTGACAGATAAACAAGTTGATCCCAACCAAGTTGTACACCCTCTGACAACTTTGCTGTGTGAAATTTACAATAAACCTTAAAGTAACTACAATAAGATTTACCTCACTGGAAGATCAATACTTTTCTGACTGGAGAAAAGACTGAGTTCACTATCACTTCTCTCACTACCACAGAATGATGACTGCTGATCAATGCTGTCACTTACAGGGGTCAAAAACAAATCTGGTGTCGGAGATCTTTCAGATTTCTTTAACTTCTTAGGAGTTGTCTAGCAGACATAAAAAAAGTGTTTAGCTATTGGTTATCTTTTATGCAAAAAGCAACATTTTTAACATTTACTTCTAGAAAACAATTTGTTATACCTAATCAAGCTGAGTGACAATTAAAACTTTCCAATTTCAACATTTTATATTTAGATTGTAATATTTAGTTTTCCATGAAGTATGAAAATTTACATTCAGTGAATTTTGACACATACAATATGATGGATATTAAAAATAGTTTTTATAAAAATAGTCTTTCATTCTTCAATGCTGTAAATGATTTTGAGAATATGATGACTTAACTGTAAATCTACACTTTTTGTATTGTCTTTGGACATATTAATTATTATTTGATTTAATCCTACGTTTTGAGGGGAGGATGTTGCCGCTGATCTTCTTGTGCTACGCCTTGTTCCAACACCAGGTTGAGAGACTGTCTCTGTCTTCCCTTTGCCCCTTCCTCGCCCACGCCCTTTTTTTGTTGATGTAGAACTTGCAGGACTCACTGGTTCCCCAGCCTCTAAAGAACTTAACTTTGCAGACTTTACAGGGGTACCAAAGTCGAGGCTTTCTGCATCACTTGTAGATTCTATTAAAGAAAGAAGTTTTTTTCCCCCCTGTTTTGATATGTTACATTGTATAAATGTTCATCAGTATCAATATGTCATATACAATCATTCTTGCCTTCATATCTACATTAAAATAGAAATTACATGTCGTGCATGTATATGAAAGAAGTAATAATCTTTTTGAAGAAGGTTGTAACTAGGGCCATAGTTAATGATACGAAGATAGAGATCATTGTAAATGTCAGTCATTAAGCTAACAAGAGCCACCGCCGGGCGGGGGCAACGCTCGACTTTTTACTTTTTCTAAACGCAAACATAGAAAGGTTTGAACATATCTTAACGTTTCCTTTTTATAAATTAAGTTGGTCTGTCTTGTCACATTAGCTTTATTTATCTATTTTGTATATATATATATATATATATATATATGAATAGAAACACGCAATTCTATAAATAGAAACACGCAATTCTATAAATAGAAACACGCAATTCAATAAATAGAAACACGCAATTCTATAAATAGAAACACTCAATTCTATAAATAGAAACACGCAATTCTATAAATAGAAACAAGCAATTCTATAAAAAGCAACACGCAATTCTATGAATGGTAACACGCAATTCTATAAATAGAATCACGCAATTCTACAAATAGTAACACGCAATTCTATAAATAGAACACGCAATTCTAATAATAGAAACACGCAATTCTATAAATAGAAACAAGCAATTCTAAAAATAGTAACACGCAATTCTATAAATAGTAACATGCAATTCTATCAATAGTAACACACAATTCTAAAAATAGTAACACGCAATTCTATAAATAGTAACACACAATTCTAAAAATAGAAACACGCAATTCTATAAATAGAAACACGCAACTCTAAAAATAGTAACACGCAATTCTATAAATAGAAACACGCAATTCTATAAATAGTAACATGCAATTCTATAAATAGAAACATGCAAATCTAAAAATAGTAACACACAATTCTATAAATAGTAACACGCAATTCTAAAAATAGAAACACGCAATTCTAAAAATAGAAACACGCAATTTGTATAAATAGTAACACGCAATTTCTAAAAATAGAAACACGCAATTCTAAAATAGAAACACGCAATTCTGTAAATAGAAACAAGCAATTCTATAAATAGAAACACGCAATTCTATAAATAGTAACACGCAATTCTATAAATAGTAACACGCAATTCTAAAAATAGAAACACGCAATTTCTAAAAATAGAAACACCTAATTCTATAAATAGTAACACACAATTCTAAAAATAGAAACACGCAATTCTAAAAATAGAAACATGCAATTCTAAAAATAGTAACACGCAATTCTATAAATAGTAACACGCAATTCTAAAAATAGTAACACGCAATTTCTAAAAATAGAAACACGCAATTCTAAAAATAGAAACACGCAATTCTATAAATAGAAACAAGCAATTCTATAAATAGAAACAAGCAATTCTATAAATAGTAACACGCAATTCTATAAATAGTAACACGCAAATCTAAAAATAGTAACACGCAATTCTTTAAATAGTAACACGCAATTCTAAAAATAGAAACACGCAATTCTAAAAATAGAAACATGCAATTCTAAAAATAGTAACAAGCAATTCTAAAAATAGTAACAAGCAATTTCTATAAATAGTAACACGCAATTCTAAAAATAGTAACACGCAATTCTATAAATAGTAACACGCAATTCTAAAAATAGTTACACGCAATTCTAAAAATAGAAACACGCAATTATATAAATAGTAACACACAATTCTAAAAATAGAAACACGCAATTCTAAAAATAGAAACACGCAATTTCTATAAATAGTAACACGTAATTCTAAAAATAGAAACACGCAATTTCTATAAATAGTAACACGCAATTTCTTAAAATAGAAAAAAAAAAAGTCGAGCTAAAAATGTTTTGTTATTTTTTGCAGGAGAATATTCCCCAGTCTAATTTCCATTCCTCATCAGCTAAAAATAACAGTAAGTAAACAGCTAAGTGACACAAACATCTAACTACCTAATGAAAAGTATGAAAGCAAACTATTAATCGAAAGTGGCTAAAAATGTGATATATACAGGGCTCGACATTAACGGTTGTCCGACTGCCCGGGACAACCAAAAGTTTGGTCAGGGCAAGTGAATTTCAAAAGAACTTGTCCGACAGGGCAAGTGAAAAAAATCATAAGTAAACATATTAAATTCCAATATTATGACCAATAATCCTTGCAAATTACAATTTCAATCTTAATTAGACTTAATTAAATCGAATCACATTTGTGGATACGATAAATAACGAACCTCACAGCATGGGCAATTGTACATGTACACAGACTATCCGGTTGTCTGATGAATATGTCAAAACTTGATTAGCATTATTAATTATGTCAACACCTCCTCTTATTAAAGGTGTTCAAACCCTGTTGAAGTTCAAATCACAACCTTGAACTTATAGTTTAATTTAGCCGTCTAAACATTTGCCGATTTCTGGCTGTTTATTTTTGCCGTTAAAATCTAAAATTTATTGTATATCCTCAAAGAAAAAATGTTTCTCCTGTAGATAATTGTGAAAATAATAACAATTCATCTACAAATGTGTTACAGAGTCATATCCACAAGGAAAAAAGATGTAAATTAAGAAAGTAAAAAGAATACAAAATCGGTAAATGAAATTGTCACATATTTTCGCGACTTAAGATGTGGTAAACAAAAAACCTACTAAGTTTCTGTCCACAACTTTATAAAATTCTTTTATGAAGAAAGTACTTTATCTAAGTGATTTTTATATATCAAATGCACAAAACTTTTTTTTGTCACAATAACCATAACCATTTTTTTTTTACTTTTTTTTCTCTTCAAAATACATGTAACTTAATTACTGAAAACATTTTAAAATCTTGTTTAGCCCCTTTTAACCTTCCTTCTATTTCCAACCAATTTTAGTGAAAAAATGAGTATGATTTTGTCACAAAATGTCTTAATTTCTTAAAATTATAAGCCTGTACGGCTTATAATGAAACCCATGCATGATAAGAGAATAAATAAACCCCATTTTCAAAGATTGCCAACCCTTTTTCTCAAACCTTACTTATAAATGTAGGGTTGTTTTCAACACTTTACCGGTTTAGGTCAGGGCAAGCAAGCTTTGGGTCAGGGCAAGTAATTTTCAAAAGTACTTGCCCGACAGGACAACCAAATAAAAAGTTAATGTCAAGGCCTGATATATTTTTTGCAAATTTCCATAGAATTTTCAGTATCAAACTGCAATGCCTATTTCAGACATCAAATCTGTAGGACATACAGATAATCAAGAGGGTAAAAAGTTTTGTATATATGCTCTGGGCATTGAAATTTTTACTTTGTAAGTCTATGGGAACTAAGTGACCATTTCTGAAATGAATATCTTTTAAAGTCCGTGACCTACTTGTGTATTCCTTCGGAACCATTTGTATATTTTTGTAGAGGGCCATCTAAGGTTGATCAAAATAAATTCAACAGTGGTTTAAGAAATGTTGTTAGAAGAAATTGTGAATAACAACGAACAACTTCCAATAACAAAGCACTGAGCAGACCAGCTAAAAAAATGTCAAGAAAAATAAAACAATGTATTCTGATACTGGCCTTTTAATCATTGGATTACAATAAAAACAATCTGGTTGTTTGGAAGACAAGATTTACCTCTTTCCTTTCTCTTATTTATTTGTCTTCCTGATCTTGTCTTCAGAGTGCCAAGCTCCTTCACCTCTTGTTCTTGAATTATCTCCCCTGCCCCAGTTTCCATGCATTCTTTTAGCATTGTATTTAATCTATGTTGTGTCTGAAAAACAAAAATATTCAAATTAATGAGAGGCAGTAAAATGTTAGTAATGCCTACCTATATATGCAGATGCCAATTCATGACAATATGCTAACTTTCACATTACTTCAAAATCAACCTGAGAAGAAAAATATAGCTTTTATCAAGTTTAATCATACATGCATAATATCATCTAAAAACATGATAAACAAGAAAAGTTTCCCATCTCATGGCAACCAATAAGTAATGACCTTTAAGCCAAAGCATTCTGTATAGTTATTGGACAAGTTTTTTGACCTTAAGGACACAGTGTCCTTTACCTTAAACTGATTTCAAGATCACTCGGGGAAACTGGAGGCCATAGAGTTCTCTACTTATTGGTTGGTCAAGGTGTGGTCTACAGACAGATGGACAGACAGACAGACAGATCAACAGGTGTTGTGAAAAGCAATGAACCTCCACTTTTTCATCATTACACATTTACTGTCTAAACAACAATATAATTCAATTATTTAATGTGTATATATGATAATATTATTTCAAGTGTTTTATCAAACATTACAGAAAAAGAATTACCACAGCCAATGAGCTATCAGAAGGGGGTTTGACATTTGGAAAAACTCTCTCTGGTTTCAGGTATGATATCAGGTCTTTTACCTCCGTGTATGAGGAATGGAAGGAATAGCAAGCTCTGAAAAAATTGCTGAAATAAACAAACAACAACAGCCCTTATTAGTGCAAGTTAATGAAAACAACATGATAATCTAAAGTGTATGCCAAATCAAGTTTGTTTCATTTTGTGATAACAATTAAATACTAATAAAATAACAATAAAGTTACAGCCAGTTACAGCATAAAAATGAAAATTTCAATAATTTGACCTTACAGGTTAAGGTTATTTATGAGTGAAGGTCTATCTGGTTAAGTTAAAGGTCTATCCTAATAGATTTCTTATATTCAGGTTTGAAGACAATCCATTTAAAAGTTTGCAGATGGCAATGGCCAAGCCAACATGACTGTTACAATACCTTTATCTTTTTTTTCAGTATAAAAATCGAGTTAAAAATCACCTTTATGGGAAATATCTTTTGTTTTTGAACTTAATTGGGGTAAATAATATGGCTATAAACAATAGTTTTAATGAAAGTTGATGTCACATACCTATTTATTTTCTTTATAATCTTATCAAGGGTGAGGTGTGAGAACTGTGTGAAGTACATGGTGGTAGGTAGTATAGCTAGAACTTTATCTGCATCATGTGTTTCACTACATAAAACCTCTTCACCATCAACTTCTATCATACACTAAATATAACAAGAAAAAGAAATAAACATATACTTTTCTTACATTAATGACATGGGAAAAGTTTTAAACTTTTGAAGCAGATACACCTTTTTAGCTTATTCCATTAGACTTGATTGAACTTCTGTTGTAACTAAATTTTGAGTAATAATCAGTATACTACTCGTATATACTGATGGCTCAAAATAATTCAGCCAATATGACATCCTTCTGATAAAGTAAGAGTTACCAGTTGTCTGCTACTGCCAGTCCTTGTCACACTCATATGATTGTACCATTTCATATACAGAGGCCATATAAACATACCAAATCAATTATCTATCATTAACAAAATATGAAAACTTAATTAGATCTTGAATGTTATATGTAATTCTAACACAACCCGCATTTTTCCCTATTTAACATAGAAGGACCAAAAGTGTGTTATTATGCTATAAAATCACTGGTGATAATCTATATTTAGACATGTGACGTAATCATTATATACATGTGACGTAACCACTAAAAATTCGATGCGCTGAAATAAGTACAGAAACAAATCAGGTGCAGTTTAGCTTCATATCAGTATTTATCTGTTGTTGTCATGTTTGAATGGAAAAAGTATATCCAAATCAGTGATTTTATTGCTTGATAAAATCACTGTTTGTTGTTCGGATGTGTATCATCATATCACTGGGGCTACGCCCTCGTGATATAATTCCTTGCATCTGGATTCCAAACAGTGATCTATTGAGCAATAAAATCACAGTTTGGGATGAACTATTTCTTAAATAATACATCTGTATGTTTTTTTGTTAATTTCACAATGTTAGGCAGACAATATTTTCATTCCACAAAGTAAGAAAATCTTACATTTTTATCACAGGCATGTAGTTGAGTGTTTAGCCCATCTGATGTGAAGTTACCATGAAATTCCTGTATTCTGTTATATATTCCAAATTTATGATTATTTACATGGACCTGTAATATACAAAAGCATTACTATAGCCTTGTCCTTCTTCCAGTATTTAACTTGATGTGCCGGGCATCATGACCATCCCATTGTTGTTGTTGTTTTCTTTAGCTAAATTAGAGTGGAATCAATCAATAAATAACAAATTTATGGCAATTTAAGCAAAACTAAATACATTAATGTAACAAGACTTTGATGGTCAATATCATTTAAAGTTAAGGCTGCACATGAATTTTGCAACATATCTGCTTTGTCATAAGTGTTGTTTTGTCCAAGTATTTTTCAAATATCTCATTCAAAACTCTTGTTTTAGTAACCTTGAACCCAGGTGATCTAAAAACAATCCAAACCGAGGTCTCGACATAAACTTGCTATATACCAAGTAACACTTAGGTGCAATTTCTCATCAACCACATCAAATACATAGGTACATGTATTTGCAGGACACTTCACACATATCATCAGTTGACAAGTACAGCCTTACTATTCTTAATAATCCTGCTAAAAATGTGATTAAACACTCTGAATACATTACCTTTTTATTAAGTCTTGAGGCTACAGCATTCAGCAATGGTTCATGCCCAAACTGTGCTCGTAGATAGATATTTACAATATGTTTTGGACTAATGGAAGTCCATTCATGTACCAACTGGCATACAGCATCTATGCACTGCTGTCGACTTGGTATGTATAAATTCTCAGGGGAACAAAATGTAGTGTCAACATATAAACTCTTTATCTTTTTTACACTGTAGAAAATAAAGAAAATATTTATCTACTAATGCAATCTTAGTGAATCTGCTGCAAGTATTGTTTACTTAAAAAATAATTCTTTGAAAAATAGTAAACTCACATTCCCCCTTGTATCTTTGGAAGGGGCAGACATTTGCGCGCCTGTATTAAATTTATTTAAAGAGTGGACATTTGCCCCCCACCCCCCTGTATTACAAATGTTAAAATATCTAATTGTTTGTTACCAATGATAAAGCACAGGAATGATAGTACTTTCAAAATGGATTTCAAAAAAACAACAACTAAGAAACCCTAGATAATAAATAATATTCAAAGTATTCTTTTACAAGCTCACATACTAGCATGTTATAATCATCAAGGATAATGCATATAATAAAACCGACACACGTTTGAGATCAGTGAACAAAATGCTAACTAAATTATTATTATATTTTTTGCTGGAACCTTTATATAAAGAAAACAGTAGTGACACCCTAATATATGAGGCAAATGTTCACCCTTCAAACTTTTTAATAAAGAGGGCAAATGTCCGCCCTTAAAAATTTTTACTGCCCTTTCATAAATACGAGGGGGCAATGTCTTCCAATGCAAAAAAGGGGGCAACATTCAGGTGGCAACTGTCTGGGGGGCAAATGTCATAGAATCTTCCAAAATACTTGTACGAACAAAGTATTTATATGTATTTTAACTTAGAAGCGATGAGGGCAATAACTTGAAAGACTTAAAAAAAAATATTAAGATATAACTTTATACCCTTAATGAGAAAGCAAATGTATATGAATAATCAATGCAGGTAAATAATTGCTCTGTTTTTTATCAGTAACTGCCATATTCCTCATTTGAATGTGATGGAAATATTATAATTTCACATTTTTCATCTTTTTACATATCTATCTTGTATTTTATGATAGTGGTACATGTATATACCAAACATTAAGTTACAGTTAATAAATTACCTTTCTCCTGACTGGAGATGATGCATCTGTTCTATGTTAAAATGTTCCCATCTGAAATCCCCTGTATATAGCACTGTGCCTTCTGCACCTTCGATCAAAAACCTACAAAACAACACTTTCTACAATGTACATCAAACACAAGACTAATATTATAGCAATATATGAGCCGCATCACGACAAAACCAACATAATGCATTTGCGACCAGCATGGATCCAGACCAGCCTGCGCTTCCACGCAGTCTGATCAGAACCCATGCTGTTCGCTTACCAACTTTTTTCTTTAAAAATACCAAGTAGGAGAAACTGATATATAACCTTTTGTTGTTTATAGGGTGAAAAGCCTCTTTTGTTTTAAAAAGGCTGTAACAAGTCATACGGGCTAGTAGATATCTTATGCCTGGACTTATCCATGATAATCTTTACATGAATCAGCTTAAAACAGCAGTAGATGACAGATGGCATTAGACATATAGTATACACCCAAATCTTCACAGTAAAACAGTCATCAGAGAATATAAAATTATTATTCATAAAACCAGATACTATGTTCTTACATCACACTTCCTGGACAATGAAATGCAGGCAGCAATGTAACTGTGATCTTCTCTTTCTGAAATAAAAAATATCATTTACCAAGTTAATTACTACTTAATCTAGTAAAATATAGCTCTAGACATATAGCTTTTTTCCAATCAGGATGACTATAGGGATGCAATGTGTCTTTGCTGAATAAAATAATCATGTGAACCAAATACAAAATTACTTCCATTATATATCTATGATTTGTCCTTGTGGGTACCCAGTTACTTAAACTTTTAGGCAAACTGTAACAATAGCAAGAGCTGTACAAATGAGCATTGGTGTAATTAAATATTTACATACAAAGTTAGAGGTTCCAGGTGTCACTGCAGTTTGATTTAATGATCAATTTTTATGTTTTGCTATCACAGCCTGTGACATAGATTTAAGAGTGACCATTTGGTCTGAAAATGAGTACGACAGAACACATCGTGGTGCATCCATAGAGTAAGTTTCACTATAGAAGCATAGTTCATATGGAAGTTAATGACCATAACAACAACTTAACAAAAATATCCTTGGTGAGCTAAAAAGTTAAACAATGCTAGCGCTGCTGAACAATCATGGCAATAGCTCTACTTTTTCCTAAAATATTTGAGCTAAATTGGACTAATTTTCATTAATTCATTTGATTGGTATTAATTGTCTTACTGTTGCTTCTAATACTTTAAAAGTAAACATGGCCTTTAAAGTTTGAACCAAATGATATAAAACAACAATTTCAGTTTGTATGACTGAATTTAATCTTACCTCTTCAAAAAGTGGATCAGGAATATCTAAAGTAGTTGGTGTATTTATACTCAATCCTTTCTGTAATGCAGAAACAAATGATTAAAGAATACAGTCCAGTTCTTAGTTTTCATCTATAAACTAAATAAGACAAGTAAATATTCATACCAGTATTTGAAAATTTGTTTTTCTTAAAGGAACTCCACTGAGGCCTAAAACATAAAAATTGTATTACTTGAACATAGATCCGCTGGTGCACATACAATATGCTGTAGATAATTTGAAAATACACTAACATAAATTGAAAATTGTTGGTTTTTTTTTTGTTTTTTTTTTGGATGCATTCAACCATTTTTGGGTCATATTTTTACCTTAGAATAATTTTCAGCATATGAAATTGGAACAGTAATTGTTGTCACCTCGACCTTAACATTAGAAACATTAAATATCGAAATATTTACTCAAAGGTCCAAAATCGTAGTTTGTTTTTTTGAATCTTAATTTAAGTTACCCTTAGGGAAATTACCTGCAATGTGGTTATTTTTTTTAATTTAATATTCCTCAAACAAAACACATATATTGTAATTACTGGATAAATTTTGATGTTGTCTCAACTGACACTTTTCTGTTTCGTACAGATTTAATAAGCAAATTTAAACACCAGGGTCACTAGCTCAGAGCAGAAAATTGAATAATTTATAACAGTCAGTCTTAGCTCTCCTTCATTGACTTCAAAACAAAAAACATCCTCATTACTACTGTAACTAGAAATGTGTCCATAGGACACGGATGCCCCCAAACGCCACTGTTCTGTCAATCTAATGACTCTAGGTCAAATATTTTTTGGACTACATGTGCCACAAGTTGAAAACTAAAAATCAACAAAGGGCCATAATTCTGTTAAATTTGGTCGCAGCAAAAAATTCCTTCCTTTACTACCATCTACACATTAAGGTTGTTCATCCCTGGAAGTTTAAGCAAAATCTGCCATCCGGTTTAAGAGGAGTTGCGTTCACAAAATTTCTACATAGTATAGAGTGAAAAAATCAACAAAGGGCCATAATTCTGTTAAATTTGGTCGAAGCAAAAATTCCTTCCTTTACTACCATCTATACATTAAGGTTGTTCATCCCTGGAAGTTTAAGCAAAATCTGCTGTCCGGTTTAAGAGGAGTTGCGTTCACAAAATTTCTACATAGTATATAGTGAAAAAATCAACAAAGGGCCATAATTCTGTTAAATTTGGTCGCAGCGAAAATTCCTTCCTTTACTACCATTTACTTTACATATTAAGGTTGTTCATCCCTGTAAGTTTAAGCAAAATCTGCCATCCAGTTTAAGAGGAGTTGCGTTCACAAGATTTCGGGACGTACGGACGTACCAACTTTTGATGTTTATGAGGCAAATCAGCTCATAAGCACCACCTGGACCAACGTCCATAAGCAAAATTAGCTCATAAAAACAACAAGAGGGCCATGATGGCCCTGAGGTCGCTCACCTGTATACAGGCCCCCGGAGCGGGGCCAGTTTAAACCCCAGGGCTTTTATTTGAACAAACTTGGAAAACACCCATTAGAAGATGTTTCATGACGTTAAGTTTTTACTACACACATAAATTATAATGAAACAAGGGTGCCATAGTCACAAAATACGCCCGTTTACGAAAAAGCTTTAGATGGAGATGGGGGCATTATGGATAAGTGTTATCTAGCAAGCAAGTTTTTATTCTTGGCACTGTGTTGTTAAATGAACCTTAAAACAAATCAATAGGGAAGATATGCACAGAATGTGTGACCTTGACCTTGGTCGCAGGGACCTGAATTTTATGCACGGCACTCAGCCTCACAATGATGAACATTTGTGCCAAATTATATTGAAATCCCTCTATGCATGTAGAAGTTTTGCTCCAGACAAGTGTTTTTCTATGAGCTCTAACTGACCTTCACCTTTGACCTAGAGACTTGGTTTATGTGCAGGGCACTACGTCTCATGGTGGTGAACAATTCTATAAAAGTAACATTAAAATTCCTCCATGCATGTAGAAAATATGCTCCGGACAACATCTGGATATTTAATCATCTCCAGTGACCTTGACCTTGCAAATATTAACCTAAATTAAATGTGTAACACCTGTAGTCATGATAGTTACCATTTGTGCTACAATCCATCAATAAATGATGACTAAATGGTCCCTATAACCATCTTCAAATTTTTATCTGAACTTTGACCTCTATGTGTAACCTTGACTTTGGTCGCAGGGATCTGAATTTTGCATGCGACACTCAGCCTCACAATGGTGAACATTTGTGCCAAGTTATATTGAAAACCCCCTATGAATGTAGAAGTTTTGCTCTGGACAACCGTTTTTCAATGAGCTCTAAGTGTGACCTTGACCTTTGACCTGGAGACCTGGATCATGCATGGAGCAATACATATCATGGTGGTGAACATTTCCATAAAGTATTATAAAAATTCTTCCATACATGTAGGAGATATGCTCCAGACAAAATCTGGATATTTCACCATCTTTAGTGACCTTGACCTTGCATATATTGACCTAAAGTACATGTGTCACATCCGTAGTCATTATAATGACCATTTGTGTTACAATCCTCAATAAATGATGATTAAATCGTCCCTATACACATCTTCATATTTTTATCTTTTTTTTAAACGTGCGTATAAAAAGTACATGTAATTTAATAACTAGAAAATTCTGATTTAAGATTTTATTCTAGGGAAATACATTTCATTACAATTCTTAATCTTTGAATGAGCTGAACTGATATTTACTTGAAAATTAAAATATAATTAAATTTCTATGAGAAAGTATTTACATTTGATAAGGTAATTACTGTATGATCTTTATGAACAAATACCAAGTCTACAGAACACCATAGTTATCACAGTTAAGAATCTTGACCAATGAATGAAACATGTGTAAATAAATGTTACATTCTTTAGAACATACTCAAGTCCAAGAAAGAGGATTATTTCATGCCCTTTGATTAAATTCTATTTTTAGAATTGAAAGTGAAAAAAGATCAAGGGGAGTAATTGTGTAAGTCATTTATGAACAAAGTAATAACTTTGTTGTCTCCCTTTGATTAAATTCTATTTACAAAATCTGGATATTTCATCATCTTTAGTGACCTTGACCTTGTATATATTGACCTAAATTATATGTATCACAGCCATAGTCTTGATAATGACCATTTGTGTTACAATCCCTCAATAAATGATGACTAAATGGTCCATATACACATCTTCATATTTTTATCTGAACTTTGACCTCTATGTGTGACCTTGACCTTGGCCGCAAGGACCTGAATCTTGCACGCGACACTCCGCCTCACAATGGTGAACATTTGTGCCAAATAATATTGAAATCCCTCTATACATGTGGAAGTTTTGCTCCGGACAAGCATTTTTCAATGAGCTCTAAGTGTGACCTTGACCTTTGACCTAGAGACCTGGTTCATGTGGCGCGACACTGCTCCTCATAGTGGTGAACATTTATATGAAGTTTCAGGTTTTAAAATCCCTCCATAACATGTAGGAGATAGTTTTGCTCCGGACAAAATTGGACGCCGCCCCGGGCTTTTGAACCGACCTCCCGCCCGCCCGCCCGCCAGGGGCGTTCCCATAATAAGAAATAATAACCCCGGGGCGGGGCCAATTTTGGCCCCAGGGCTTTTATTTGAACAAACTTGGTAGACACCCATTAGAACATGTTTCATGCTAAATATCTTAGCTCTAGCTCTTTGAGTTCTTTAAAAGAAGATTTTTTTACGTTTTTACTATATGCATATAGGGAAAATCAATGACCCCCGGGGCGGGGCAAATTTTGACCCCAGTGCTTTTATTTGAACAAACTTGGTAGACACCCATTAGAACATGTTTCATGCTAAATATCTTAGCTCTAGCTCTTTGAGTTCTTTAAAAGAAGATTTTTTAAGTTTTTACTATATGCATATAGGGAAAATCAATGACCCCCTGGGGCGGGGCCAATTTTGACCCCAGGGCTTTTATTTGAACAAACTTGGTAGACACTCATTAGAAGATGTTTCATGCTAAATATCTTAGCTCTAGCTCTTTGGGTTCTTTAAAAGAAGATTTTTTAAGTTTTTACTATATGCATATAGGGAAAATCAATGACCCCCTGGGGCAGGGCCAATTTTGACCCCAGGGCTTTTATTTGAACAAACTTAGTAGACACTTACTAGAAGATGTTTCATGTCAAATATCTAAGCTCTAGCTCTTTGGATTTTTTAAAAGAAGATATTTAAAGTTTTTTCTTTTGGTTGCCATGGCAACCAGAGTTCTGCATGGAATTAAATTCTTTGAACAATTTTTAAAGGTGACCACCAAAGGAACATTCCTGTGAAGTTTGGATGAAATTGGCTTAGTGGTTTATGAGGAGATGTCTTTTAAAGTAAAAGTTTACGGATGGACGGACGCCAGACGAAAAGCGATCACAAAAGCTCACCCTGTCACTTTGTGACAGGTGAGCTAAAAAAATAGCTCTTAATTTGAATTTTATGAGTTTTTGTTCTTTATTTAACTACGGAATGAAGCTCATAAATATCAAATGTTTGCACGGACGGACGGACAAGTGCAACGCTATATGCTCCCACATCAAATGAGAGAAATTTTACATACAAAGTTTGCTTACTATATAAGGTTTCAGATGTCTGTATTTCTTGCTGGCCACCAACAGTACCTGTGTGACTTCAGAACAGTACAGGAAAATGTCTTTACTGAAATACAGGAAAAACCAGGATATCAACAGTAAAAAGATGAAATAGCACTGATATTACAACTTAAGTAAACATTATACATAAGACTTACAAACCTTTGTTTTACTATTGACTTATTTTTTTCATTTTATCCTTGGTCATGATACAAATTTTCATCAAATTCCATTAATCATTTATGTTCCCTTCATTCCATTTAAGTATGTACATTGAAAATTCTTAAATTAAGACAGTGTGCTCAACTATATCTTGATAGTAAACCAAACTGGATAATGTAGAATATTCTAAGATTCTATCAAAATCCATCCAACATCACTACAACAATAACTCTTCTTCGTTTTGTTTGAAAAAAAAAAGACAAGCTAAAAACTGCATAAGCAGAAACTTGATTATGAATTATCAACCCTAGAAACAGGCAAAATTTTCAAATTTAAAGGCAGATAAATCTGACCCACATTTTTCTTTCTTTTATCTCGAAGTTCATGCAAGTTAAAATAAATTCTATCGCATGTATGTAGTTTTCCTTCTGCTGTTCCTTTTTATGTAATCCTAGCATACATTTTTAATGTATCAATGATATAATATATCAAAGCTCTTACTTGGATTTTAATCTTTTGCAAAAAATCTTTTCAGCAAGTCCAGCAGTATGATCTGAAATAAAATATTCCATTATAATATTATTTCATTGTATCTCATTAAAATATAGGTACTTTGTAACAATACCACGAACAAGAGCTCCACTGAGACGAGATATTATACATCTAGTAGTAAATTTACAAGAAGGTATCATGGACAAAAATGGACCTTAAAGAAAGATAGCAAATTTATTGTTATAAATGGCTCAGATTATGACTCAAGTGGGCGTGGTCATGTATACTATCTGAGCAAAAAATTAACTGGGGTGAACTCGAATTCAAACTAGACCTGTATTTGATGTTAAACATGTGTTCCAAAAATAATTTCAATCCATTGAATTCTTAAACAGTTATCATCTGGAAACCATTTTTTAAGAGCAAAACTGTTACTATTTAATGGCCTGAGCCCTGATTCATACTTGTATTTTATGACGTTACATCTGTGTACCATATATTATTAAAATCTTGTTAGTTATATACTATATCTAATTAACTACCTTCGTGTAAATGTGACAGGAAATAAACAGTGGACTGTAGGTTTCTTCCATCAAAACGATCCAGGGAAATCCTGTCATATTCCTGCATGCGTCCTCCAAAACAACTCATCTTGCTCATTAATTTATGGAAGAAATTGTCACAAAAACTGTCACTGTATCCTTTTAATCCCTTTCATCCCTGGGTAAACCTGTCTGGTAAAGAAATATTACTTTTAAATGAGACCTTAAATTATTACTGATCAATTAAAACTATACAAGCATAAGTGGTGGGGGTACAATCAATTTCTATTTCTTACTTCCGAGAGGCAAACACATAAAAAATAGTATATTGTAGTGAAGGGCTTTTACACAAAAACATCTCTTTCTTGTAAAAATTTAACTAAATTTTCATATTTGACCTTGATTTCATGTTAAGTTTCAGAAAAAATTTGATAACTGTCATTTTTCTTTTTTTTTTCCCCATTTTTTGTCATCATAAAAGAATAGAGCTTACTTGTATCTCATTACCTAAAGCTGCAGATTTTAATATTAATCTTAGGAGAATTAATGGATTGAAGAATATTTAAATTTCTAGGCTATACATAACTGATTTTCTGCATGTCCATAAATATTACTAAATCCAGAAACTTACATAACAGAGAGGTTTAAAACTAGAAAAATGGAAAATTTCCCTGTTCAGACCAACATTTTCTTGCATTGGCTCTTTGCATTCAACATGTTTTGATATAACAAAGTTATCAGACATTTTAGATTACCCAATGTGTTCACATATTCATCTGTTACTGAAAAAAAATTACATCTTCCTAATCTTTGTATTTTTCACAAACTTGCACAGTACAATTTGATCATTTTGATTCCCTAAGGAATTCACGATATCATGGTAGCATGCATATCATTCTGTAAATTATCTCTCTGTCAAACATGTCAGGAAAAATACAAAAGATAGACTTATCTGTATCCTGAAAACACATTGTGCAATAAGTATTGAAATCATATCCAAAAAAACCAATACATGTAGTTTAGAAAAATCCATAATCTTATTCTACCAATAAACAAAACAAGAGCCGGTTGAACCGGGTGATGCTCCCCGAATAGGTTTTGGACACAGGAAGGTATACCTCTTGTAGTGTCAGAGTTATGTCACAGGCAAAGTTCAAAGTGTAAAAATAACCCAAATGTTGTGCACGACACATTGTCTCAATATGGTGATCATTTCTGTGAAACAGTTGTAAAATCAGACTTCAAATAAGGAAGTTATGGGCTAGACATGATTTTGCTGCAAGGTCATGCTGTGACCTTGACCTTCAAAGTAGCGACCCAAATGTTGGGCGCGACACGAAGTCTTAATATGGTGATCATTTCTGTGAAATAGTTGTAAAATCAGACTTCAAATAAAGAAGTTATGGACCGGACACAATTTTGATGCAAGGTCATGCTGTGACCTTGACCTTCAAGGTAGTGACCCAAATGTTGCGCGCAACACGTCGTCTCAATATGGTGATCATTTCTGTGAAATAGTTTTAAAATCCGACTTCAAATAAAGAAGTTATGGACCGGACACGATTTTGATGCAAGGTCATGCTGTGACCTTGACCTTCAAGGTAGCGACCCAAATGTTGCGCGCGACACGTCGTCTCAATATGGTGATCATTTCTGTGAAATAGTTTTAAAATCCGACTTCAAATAAAGAAGTTATGGACCGGACACGATTTTGATGCAAGGTCATGCTGTGACCTTGACCTTCAAGGTAGTGACCCAAATGTTGCGCGCGACACGTCGTCTCAATATGGTGATCATTTCTGTGAAATAGTTTTAAAATCCGACTTCAAATAAAGAAGTTATGGACCGGACACGATTTTGATGCAAGGTCATGCTGTGACCTTGACCTTCAAGGTAGCGACCCAAATGTTGCGCGCGACACGTCGTCTCAATATGGTGATCATTTCTGTGAAATAGTTTTAAAATCCGACTTCAAATAACTAAGTTATGGGCCGGACACGAGTTGGGACGTACGGACGGACGGAAGGACGGACTGACGGACGGACAACCCGACGACTATATGCTCCCCCGAAATTTTTCGGGGAGCATAATAAAGATCACTGCATATTCAAAAGACATTTTTACCAATTCATCAAACTGTCTTACGGAAGGCTGATAAAAATCTGTCTCAAACATAAGATAAGGGAATAAGAAATTATAAAACTATCAACATATAGATTTTGTTCACTGATAGTAATTACCATTTTATTATTTTCTTATATAATACTTTATCATCTTTGCAAATACAAGATGACAGAAAACAGTCTCGGTAAATTTCAAGAAAATGTAAACCTGCAGGAATATGAAATTGCTGATACAGATTTTAAATGTATGATGTCATAGCTTCCTCTCCTTTAAATTATAAATCTTTAACTGTTTTGTACAAGAAAATTGTCCACAGACACTCAGGAGCCAGATTCATATACTGCAGGGGTGTGGAAAAATGAATTTTGCCACTTGTCAAATGACAAGTTGGGCAGAAATTTTTACTTGTCCGCAGTTTTACTTTACTTACCCATATAACAATACCAAACATTGGCCACATGATTAAATGAAAGTTAAAGCTAGGTAACAGTTTCCTTTCGTAGTAAAGTGTACGCAAAAGCATCACTTCTGCAGTTTGAGGAAACATTCTACTTGTAATTTTTATGAGGCAAAGAATCATGAATCATGTCCAAACTATCATCCTTTTGGAACTTATTAAATTTAACATAAATTTAGGCTTGTAATCATTATTTATTTTGGTTTTCTGTTAGTCTGTGATAAAAGTGAACTTTTTCATTCTTTTGGTTAATATCACATGGCTAAGAAAAGCAAAATCAATGTTTGCAGTTGTAAAATTTTGTACCATACTACTACAAGTATCAAGAAGCTTGCTTTCTGATGGCCTTTCTTTAAGAGTTATCCTATGGGATGAAATTATTGATAAGTAAAAGTGTATTTACTGATAGTAAACTAAGATTTCATAACCTTTTTTTTTTTTTTTCATAACTTAACTTATCAAAATAAATGTTCTGATAGAAATTCAGTATATTTGTTCACTTGTCCATGGACAAGTTCCATGGAAAAATCTACTTGTCCGCAGACATAAAGACCCTGGTCCCACAAGTCGGGCATAGGATTTCCACACCACTACTACTAGTATCTAAATTGTTATAGTTGTATTTTAATTATATATATATAACAGCTATTAATTAAGCTGTTATAGTTGTATTTTAATTATTTATATTAAATTGCTATTAAGCTGTTATAGTTGTACAGTATTTTAATTATATAAATATAACAGCTATTAAGCTGTCGTAGAAATTAAACAAAACATTTAAAACTCGAATCTCCACCATAAAAACGGTTTCCAATGCATATTTTTAGTGAGATCCAAACATATTGTTGTTGCTCTAGCTCCACTCTTGTCAAATGGTCCGTCCTATCCCAAAATATATGGTTTGTCATGTCCTGATCCACTGTTCCCCTTGATAAAGATGCCCTATAGAACTGTCCTTAAATTTCTGGAACATGTTTAGCATTCAAATATTGAAACTGTTCCAATTCTCTGGAACATGTTTATTATACAAATATTGAAAGATGTAACGAAAAAAATAGCATATCAGCATATATCATTAGTGGCTACTCAATATTTCCATAAAGAACTATAATGTGATCATTCACCTGGATCCTAGCCAAACTCATCAGATTTGTTAGAGATACAATGAGATAATTTCGAACGGCAATTCAAGCACTGAAACAGGAATGAAAGTTTTGAGAAGTCTGTAAAATGGGTCAAACCATATTTACGACGAATTACGTTTCGACATTTTCCTCATATTGTTTGTAAGAAAATTTTATAATGATAGATGTATTTGAAGATTGCTTTCAGGGAATTATTAATGTGTTTATTACCAAAGGTGTGACAATTGCAATATATCCAGAAATTTAATTAAAACATTATTCACCTTCAAATTGCAATGAGCGTTTTTCAACATGGAAAGCGGAAGTCTGGGTCGCTGCGATGCGACCTCTGGCGACCGGTGAAGAGGTAAATTTCAGCAGACTAAATTCATTAAAATGTTGGCATCAACTGTAAACAAACTTTCAACATTTTCTAGGGTTTGTAGCTTTTGCTCTCATAATCGCTTAAAAAGCGTGTGTGTTAAGAATTAATATCTTACACTGCCTTGTTAAATGCATAAATCTGTATGTATAACTGGCAAACTGTGTTGTTCACTTGAAGACTTGATAATGCTTTTATAATTTTGTCCTTGAACTGTTGAAGATTTCTAGCTTTAAGGTCTTCAGCGTAACCCATTATATACTGTGACATGACTTGAGCGTACCCCATTATACACTTTGACATTGTTGAAGACACACCTATAGTGAAAGTCTATCATTAATTGTGCCAGGAGTCTGACACCCTCATAGTCATAATAAAAAGTCATATTCATTCATGGAGCATGCCATGAAGTGAAGTGAACCATATCATGATATAGCCTTATATGAAATAAGGTGCTTTTTATGGCCCAGAAAGCTCATATGATTTAATATCAAGCATAATATGAAAAAGGCAAAGCCTCAAAGCGAGCTCGATGTACTTTTAACGTGAAATAGTATGAAATAATCGCTCGTTTTGATTTCAAATGCAGTGATGAGTGCGTGTCAGACCTGGGGTAATCACTAATCGTAATCATCGATTTTTTAATTGATTACATGATTACAGTGTAATCATCATGTAATTGATTACCTTGCTCAAAATTGATTACATTAATTGTAATTAATCAATTACAGCTTAAATTCAGTCTGTAATTATGATTACAATTTGATTGATATTGATTACTTTCAGATTTTACATGAAACTATTGAAATTCAAATGATTTATTTCACATGTTACAGTTTAACTAAGGTAGTAAAATATCAAGTGAGACATTTTAAGACATCACTCACAATGAAGAAATAAGTTTTAATCCATACAGTTAACCAAATTCTAACTGAAAGATAGACATCATTGTTTGGCTGGTATTCTAACCAAAATGTCAAATCACTGGATTTATGATGTCTTTGAATTTCCTAAAGAAACATCTGGAAATGTGACAGCACAGTGCAAATTGTGCCCTAAGAAGATAAATGGAAACACTAAGTCACATTCAAATTTCATTACCCACATAAAGGTATGTTAAATTTTGTTTCACATATTTTGGTTAAACCATGTTTTAAAAAGTTTCAAACAATGTAGATAACTTCTTTACTTTGTATATTCTAGAGTTTATGTCAGATGCATATTACCATATTTTAATTATATGCAACAGTTATTTTGTAAGGTGATAAACTACGTGTCTATATTATAATGGATACTGTTGTAACATTGAAGTGTTTGTAAAAAAACTGATAATTTCTTTGTAAAGTCTATTGTCTCTTTGAATTCCCATATAAAATATTATTGTTTTCACACCTGTTTTAACACCTGTATACAGCATACTGTACAATTGACACTTTTCAAAATTTCTGTTGCAGAGAGTTCATTATGAAACCTACACCAAGAAGACTGAGGACCATTCCTGCATCATTGGCCCCTGTAGAGCGTTTGTTTAGTGTTGCGGGTAAAATTTTCCGTCCTGATAGATGCAGTCTGACTGATAGACGGTTTCATGAACTTATGATGCTAAAGTGCAATGCTTTTGTTTATAGTTATACATGGAATGTTATCAATTATCAATCAATTACTTTCTCAAAGTAATTGTAATTTAATTGATTACAGAGGCAAGTCTGAGTAATCAATTGTAATCAATTACAATAAAATCTGAAAGTAATTGTAATTAAATAAATTACCGATCAATGTAATCATCCCCAGGTCTGGTGCGTGTGACGTCACACGTACTGTGTTAAATATGGCTCCGCCCCTGTCGTTAAATGAATAACGAGTTTTGAAAACGTTGATAAAACTTTGTTTGTTTATTTTATTTTACTCTATAATTTTTCAAGCGAAATAAAGATTATTAAAAGTGAAATAAATGTAAAACTTAAAACGTTTGCGACATTAAAATAGCGTATTTGATTTGATTGTTTTGCACATGCTGTTTGGCGCTACATTGTGACGTCACGTAAACAATACTTTAACGACTGAAAAAAAGATATTGGTGTTCGGATTCATTTTCTTAGTTAGACCATTTTCTTTCATTCTAGATAGTTTTCACAACAAAATTCGCCAAAAAATTGTTTTTATTTATCAGATTTTTCAAACAAAATGGCGCCTTCAATTTTCATTTTAAAACTGTCATTCGATATTTTATACACAGCTTCCGTTATTCTGGTTCCCTGTCCAATTATGGTTCCCATAGACGTGCGCGGGTGACCAGTCTACACATCCGTTTTCAGTCAGAATTCCTCAGTTTTTATCGTTATCTTTAAATTCGAAAAGTTGCGATGTGTCCAATTTGGTACTTCGGACGAAAGTTTTCAAAACCATCACTTAGCAGGTACTCGCGTTACCGTAAAGCTCGCAAAAAGCGAGCAGGCCCTTCGGGCCAACTCGTCGAGCTCGCTATTAACATGTTCTGTGTGCATGTAAACCAAATCTTTCTTGCACTTTGTAAATAAGTAAATGCAGGTATTTTGTAACATAAACAGAAACAAATAAATTGGTGGTGTTCAGCATATCATCAGAGTGCTCCGAATATTTCCAGTAATCTCCCAACTCCCCACAGTGATTTGATTGGCTAGTGCGGCAAAGGGCGGGCCACTGCATCGGAGTTTGGAAAATCCCATCAGCCATTTTTTATTAATCTCAGTTGTTGTTCGAACGCTATCTTTAAAGTGCTGGTTTATCAAAAAGGGATATGTAAAAATTACTTTTAACATTTACCATTGTTACAATAGTTCTTATCATTGATAAATTTATTTATTTTCTGATTTTTAGAACATCATTCTTCTACCGGAAGTGTCATTTGTCACAGAAGACTAGTGTGTCTTCTAACAATTGTTAAAATTATGTAGACGCTCAAAAGTGCCCTGATATCTACATGTATATTTAGCTCAAAAGGATTTCAAAATGGCAGTGCCATGTGCAATAAGGATTTTTCTCAAACTCGTTAGATATATTTACTTTCTATTGATTTTAAAGTGATTTCAATGAAATTAATTCATGTCATACATGTACATGTTATCTAAGCACTCTACAGTCCTCGTGGGTTCAAAGACCCCGCTCAGGCTTTCCATGTTTAAATGAAGCATGAATGGATTGACCCATTTAACTGTTATTTTCCTATCAATTTGTCAAACCGTTAAGCCAAATTTTAACTGTCATTTTTACACACAGAAAATTTATTGTCAACACTGTTACTATTTTGAATCTATTTAAAGGCTTCAATAAACATCTTTCAATTCTTCAAAAAAACATTAAAATATATATTTTTGTTACTTATCTCAAACAAACATTTCTTCAATGACAGTTATCTGAATGCATACTGGCAATGTTTTGAAATTTGTATTGTAAATTATATATTTCTTTAGCAGACGTGATGTAATGTCATCGCAAAAAAATCTGTTCTGTGACAAATTGTAATAAAATGAATATGGCCAATCTGGTCTTATCCGGTCTCTCTAGATCAGCAAATACTAAAGACAGTATAAAAACTGTGAAATTTATTTTTTACTGAAACAATTGAAAGGACTGCTTTAGAACTGACAGAGGTCATTAAAAAGTATTATGTGTAGCTGTTCCCCAATATCTGCCAGTGAGGAGACCGGAAATTTAGAGGGGCGATGTTTACAAAAGCACTGATTACTATTTAAGATGGCAGATTTAAAACCAGATTACATTTGATTGTTGAGAGAGAAATTAAATGGAAATATGTGTCTTCAGTTCTTTATTGAAAAATGAAATGTTGGGAATTTAAAAAAAAAACAGATATTCACCAAGTAAAGTGGGCTGTTTGCTAGTTATCACTCCCAACATCAAATTAGGCATTGTCCATGTAGAAAAATGCAGTTTGTGATTGGACTTAGAAAAAGACATTGCCGGTTAAAGGCGGTTTAATTAAATAAAAAATATTTTGATGTCTCTTTGACAAATCTAATTTAGTAATTAGTTGGACTTATCTCAATAAAACTATGTATAATCTGTTAATAAGCCAATTATCAAAATATAAAATTTTTTATGATGAACATAAACTACTGGTGCCTAATAGTTTCTGAAAGGTTAAAAAATTCAACACTTGGCTGCCATCTTGCCAAAATGTTTGACCGCATGATTACAAGATTGACCTTTATGGGTTAATATTCACGGACGGTTAAGACAATAGTACTCGTGTGCTTTTTTTATAAATTACTTTTTTAAAGAAATGATTTACTGACATTAAATTTTGTATTCAATATAATTTTATTTGATACGCAAATTGATATACACCTAAAAATTACTTACTTATTATGGTTACACTATAGCAATTGTACTAAATAAAAAGTGGTAGGGGTTGAAAAAAGAGACACAATATGTACATTTTGTGTTAATTAAAAAGAACAGAAAAATAAACAAAAAAGCATTGTGATTTTTCAAAAACATAATTATGATACTAAAATTACAATTGAATGTTCATGATTTATTTTCAGGTCAGCCTGTGTCATTTGCCAAGATGCTCGGCCTCTGGTGCTTTCATATCACATAGACACTACTCAAATGGAGGTAATAAATGATAGATGTTTTTATGTTACATACACAATGTCAGGTCAAATTGTCCCATTGTTAACATATCCCATGGTTAATTAAGTGAACAACTTTTTGGTCAACTCATCCCTTACTTTTGGTCAACTCATAGATGATCTGTCAGCTAATTTGGAAATTGATTTTAAATTTGTCCTGATCATTTAAGACTTAGCCAGGCATTTGTGTATGATCAAGATATAATTAATTTGATTCAATTAATAAGCAGTCCGTTAGTAGAAACTCAGTTTTTTGTGCCTTTAAACACTTCTTTAATGGTTACCTGGACCAGTCTGGTCCTGAAGTCAAATATTTGCTAGGAAGAATGTTAATATCAAAGTGGAATAAAGCAGCCAATGTAAAAGAGATGTAAGTTGACATGACTCTTAACTGGCAAGTCATTTCCACTACAAGCCTTCATAAAAGTAACTTTCTCATATTTCAGCAGAGAATGATCTTATAGTGATAGGATCAGGGCCTGGGGGCTATGTTGCTGCAATCAAGGCTGCACAACTTGGAATGAAGGTATTCATACTAATATTTTTTTTAAAATAATTGAAATACAAATGTAGTATTATTTTTAACTGGAATTTTTCTAAGGTTCGAAAAAATTTGAGCGAATTTTGAGCAATCCAGGATGCTGAACATTGCCATACAGAAACTTCAAAATTGGCTATTTTTTTAATTCTTAATGGATTTTCTCCATACTTGGACACAACAACCCTTTGGACAAGACCTTCATGTAAACCACACTGAACTTTTCTGAAATGTTTGAATTTTGCTTGATTTTTGCTATGTAAATGGCTATAACTTTGTATTTATGAATGGATTGTCTTCATACTTGGACGCAATAGTAACTTGTTCAAGACCTTCAAGTAAACAAATTGATTATGACCTTTACTCATCAATGACCTTGAATTTCAATTTAATGAATTTTGCTTGATTTTTGCTTTACAGTAAAAACTCTGAAAACCTGACCCCTAGTGATATCAAGGTCAAGGTCACATTGGCACTATTTAAAATGCCTGTCCTATCAATAACTTGAGAATGAATAAACTGTGTATGTAACTTAGTAGGGACATTGCTTGTGAACAGTATTTGACCCATATTGATTTTGATCAATAGGTCAAAGGTCAATATCACAGTGACTTTTTGTCCTGTCAATCAGTCAAGAAGAAATAAGCGTAAGTTTGTCATTGCATGGCTTGTAGATGACATCTTTTGGTTTTATTTTTAAAGGTGAGAGGCAAATAAAGTTGGGTCATAAAATCAGATTCCTGGGTATATAATTAAGAAATTATTGTATATTGTTGAACATGTTTGATGCATATAAATAATTAATGTCCTCAATAATTATATAGAATGTTAAATATTGATTTATAAAAAAAACATTTTAGGCTTAATGTTGACATTTAACTGTTACAGACAGTATGTATAGAGAAAGAAGCAACACTTGGAGGAACATGCCTCAATGTGGGATGTATCCCATCTAAAGCTCTTCTCCATAACTCACATCTGTATCACCTAGCTGTTGGAAAGGATCTCAATAACAGAGGAATAGAATGTAAGTTTATTATTACATGTAAATGATAACAAATTATAACAGTGAAGCAAACTATGTCCACTAAAAAGAGAAGTTGTATAATGTTACAGTGTAGAAATGAAACAGAAAGATTAATAAAGTTTAAGAACCTTGGACAAATATGGTTAAAAAAAGTTTTGGAATTTACTCAGTGGCAACTTGGCAAACAATGATCTCAATTATGAGACTATGTGCAGAACACAACACGCAGGTCGCTACCCACCAAAGTCAGTGTCATAAATGTTAAAAAGTCCACATTAAGTATTATCCCAGTACTTATTGATTATTTGGAAGGTTTTAAAATATTTTAACACAAATGATCACTTTTTAGCTCGACTATACGAAGTATATGGAGAGCTGTCCTACTCGCCCCGGCGTCGGCGTCCGCGTCCAGATTTCAGATTAAAGTTTTGGGGCAGTAAAATATTTTTCACTATAACTTTGTCATTTCTTAAGGTATCAACTTCAAACTTCAAATATATGTTCCTTATCATCAACCACATCTTATGTGACAAGGTTCATAACTCTAGCACCAATATTTTCAGATTTATCTCCCCTTGAACTTAGAATTTTCCTTAAAAAATACTATTCTTTACTGTAACTTCTTTATTTCTTAAGGGATCACCCTCATACTTCAAATAAATGTACCTTATCATCATCCCCATCTTATGTGACAAGGGTCATAACTTTAGCACCAATGTTTTTAAGATTTATCTCCCCTTGAACTTAGAATTTTTCTTAAAAAATAATATTTTTTACTGTTACTTCTTTATTTCTTAAGGGATCACCCTCATACTTCAAATATATGTACCTTATCATCATCCCCATCTTATGTGACAAGGTTTGTAACTCTAGCACAAATAATTTCAGATTTATCTCCCCTTGAACTTAGAATTTTCCTTAAAAAAATATTATTTTTTACTGTAACTTATTTATTTCTAAAGGGATCAACTTCATACTTCAAATATATGTACCTTATCATCATCCATATCTTATGTGATAAGGTTCAAAACTCTAGCACCAATATTATAAGAATTATCTCCCCATAAACTTAGATTTTTTTACTAGAAAAATGTTAATTTTTACTATAACTTTTTTAGTTTTAAAGGTATCTACTTCAAACTTCAAATAATTATTCCTTATCATCAATTACATTTTATGTGACAATGTTCATAACTCTTGAAGCAATTTTTACAGATTTATCTCTCTTTGAACTTAGGATTTTCTTTAAGAAATATTATAACTTCTTTACTTTTTAAGGTATCTACTTCAAACTTCAAATATATATTTCTTATCATAACACACATGTTGTGTGACAAGGTTCATAACTCTAGCGTGACTATTTCTAGAATTATTTCCCTTGATCTTGGAATTTATGTTAACATATGTTATTTTTTTACTATAACTTAATAAATATTAATACATAATTGATTTTTAGCTCGACTATTCGCAGAATAATCGAGCTAATGCAGTCACCCATTTGTCGGCGTCGGCGTCCCTGTGGTTAAGTTTTTGTATGTAAGCTGGTATCTCCATAACTACTGAAGGGAATGGATTGAAACTTTACACACTTGTTCTCTGTGATTATCTAAGATGATTAGCACAAGTCCCATAACTCTGATTTGCTTTTTTTCATAATTATGCCCCTTTTTCGACTTAGAAATTCTAGGTTAAGTTTTTGTATGTAAGCTGGTATCTCCATAACTACTGAAGGGAATGGATTGAAACTTCACACACTTGTTCTCTGTGATTATCTTAGATGATTAGCACAAGTCCCATAACTCTGATTTGCTTTTTTTCATAATTATGCCCCTTTTTCGACTTAGAAATTCTAGGTTAAGTTTTTGTATGTAAGCTGGTATCTCCATAACTACTGAAGGGAATGGATTGAAACTTCACACACTTGTTCTCTGTGATTATCTAAGATGATTGGCACAAGTCCCATAACTCTGATTTCCTTTTTAACATAATTATGCCCCTTTTTCGACTTAGAAATTCTTGGTTAAGTTTTTGCGTGTAAGCTGGTATCTCCATAACTACTGAAGGGAATGGATTGAAACTTCACACACTTGTTTTCTGTGATTATCTAAGATGATTGGCACAAGTCCCATAACTCTTATTTGCTTTTTTTTCATAATTATGCCCCTTTTTCGACTTAGAAATTCTTGGTTAAGTTTTTGCGTGTAAGCTGGTGTCTCCATAACTACTGAAGGGAATGGATTGAAACTTCAAACACTTGTTCTCTGTGATTATCTAAGATGATTGGCATAAGTCCCATAACTCTGATTTGCTTTTTTACATAATTTTGCCCCTTTTTTGACTTAGAAATTCTTGGTTAAGTTTTTGCGTGTAAGCTGGTATCTCCATAACTACTGAAGAGAATGGATTGAAACTTCACACACTTGTTCTCTGTGATTATCTTAGATGATTGGCACAAGTCCTATAACTCTGATTTGCTATTTTACATAATTATGCCCCTTTTTTGACTTAGAAATTCTTGGTTAAGTTTTTGCATGTAAGCTGGTATCTCCATAACTACTGAAGGGAATGGATTGAAACTTCACACACTTGGTCTCTGTGATTATCTAAGATGATTGGCACAAGTCCCATAACTCTGATTTGCTTTTTTGCACAATTATGCCCCTTTTTTGACTTAGAAATTCTTGGTTAAGTTTTGCGTGTAAGCTGGTATCTCCATAACTACTGAAGGGAATGAATTGAAACTTCACACTCTTGTTGTCTGTGATTATCTAAGATGATTGGCACAAGTCCCATAACTCTGATTTACTTTTTCGCATAATTATGCCCCTTTTACGATTCATAAATTCTTGGTTAAGTTTTTAGTGTGTAAGCTTGTATCTCCATAGCTACTGAAGGGAATGTATTGAAAACTTGAAGGTTTGAACCTTTTCGGACAATTTTATGTATTCATATAGGTAACCATTATTATACTCAATGAAACACCCTTGTGACAAATTTTCGAATAGTCGAGCGTTACTGTCCTCCGACAGTTCTTGTTCTTTCATAGTTTTGTCCTCCTTACTGCGTCCAGTATTTTATTAGTCGAGCTTGGCTGTCTCCTGTGACAGCTCTTGTTATGTCTGATAGCTTTTTGGGGTAAGTTTTAAACTTTCCTTGCACAAATGTCTACCACCACACATGTTCTGGTTCATACTTTTTTTTTTACATTTTTGGAAGATTATGAATTGACTTTGGTAAAGTAATCGGTACCATGACACAAAGTGCTAATGAGGTAATGAGCACTGCAGCCAGGTTTTATCCTCAAGGTCTGTCAAAATTTCACATTCATGTCCACTGTGGAGGAGAAGATAGATGTCTTTCAGATTGCCTTGTATTAATGTAAGGTAGATTTGATTTATAGTTGATGGTGTTCGTTTAAACCTAGAGAAGATGATGTCACAGAAAGAAAAAGCTGTAAAAGGTTTAACTGGTGGAATAGCCCATCTCTTTAAACAAAATAAGGTTAGTATTTTATAAACTAAAGCTATTTTATTTTTCTGATATTTTTAGTAAGGGGATTCAGATATGCCTGAATTTGCTTTGTAAAAAACATGAGCAAGAAATAGTAATGTTTTGATTTTTCCTTTTGAAGAATTTGTTTTCTATGATATTTGCTAGATTATGTGAAATAATTTTGAGAAATAGAAATAGCTCTAGTTGAATTTAAGATATATATAAAATGAATACATATTTCCTCAATGCAGTCTGCTTCAGTACAAGTAATATATATTAAAACCATTCAAATGGTCTACCAAAACATTTAAAAAACCACATTGAGATACTTGGAACTAAAATGAAATTAATAAGAAAACATTTCATTTTGATATTACTTGCAAAGAATGTTCCAGACTTTATAGACTTTATATGTATATTTTTCTAGATGATTTATGTATTAACTGTCTTCATTTTATCATTGTTATATTTTATAATTATTAAAGGTGACACATGTCAGTGGACATGGTAGAATTACCGGTCCTAATGAAGTGACAGCTTTAAAAAATGATGGCAGCTCAGAAGTTGTTACAGCCAAAAATATTCTCATTGCAACAGGATCTGAAGTGACACCTTTCCCAGGAATTGATGCAAGTCTTCATATTAAATTATTCCAGACATCAAAAGCTTCATTCAAGTGGTTTTGATATATAGTAAAAAAAAACTTAATTAAAAAACCATCAAAACAAATTTAAGTGGTCTTAATCACAGTGTGGTCTCAATTGTGCATATTCCCAGCATTGCTTACATTCTTTATGACCATGCTTACATTCAACTGGTGTGGAACTATTCAAGTTTCTCAGTATTGGATATTTCAACGCTTTTGTTGATAACAAATTTTGAAATAAATGTAGTATAGCCTGATGGGAATTGTGTTGATTGCTTATATGGTATTGAATCATACTAGAACAGTTAAAGTCAGCAAGCTTGCTTAAAGAATGTTAGGGTAAAATAATGTATAAAGTTAATAATATATAAGGAGTCTTTATTTGAAAAATTATGTATGATCTTAACTTAAAAACTCACTGAAAGTTAGGTGTTAGGAAAAAACAACCTAGTATCCTTTTGATGATTAATGTAGAAAAAGATAAAAGATTTTTTATATTTTATATATTTTATTGCTGACATAGCTACCTCAATCTAGATAGATGGGTGCAATTTGATATAATGAAGCATTGGTTTGTAGTATTTTTACTGTATATTAAATTTCAGATTGATGAAGAAACAGTAGTATCATCAACTGGTGCTTTGTCACTAAAGAAAGTACCAGAGAAAATGATAGTGATTGGTGCTGGTGTTATTGGACTCGAACTGGTATATTACTTCTTAATTTTGTTCACCATAAGGAAAATAATTGAACTTCTTAGTACTGTTTATGCATTGCAGCTCATGAGGCTTCTGAATGGAAGATACTTTTTAGTCAATATCTTTTTTATCAAGATGATACCATAGTAATTTAAGAAGTGATTTCACGGATACAAGCTGGTTAACATTGATTTGCTTTAGACATGAATGGTTTATTTTCTTGTGTCAGATTGACACTAAGATTTTAAACAGCTGGCAATCACTGCTTATATCAATATCATTTTGATTCTCATATGACCACAAAACAACAAATGAGGAAGATCACTAATGCTACTTATCTATTTCATATTAAGCAGTTCTTTTTTGCATCCTACTTTAGTGTAAAAATGTAAGAAATAAGACCGTAGCTGTTTCATTATAGTAAAAATTTTATATGCAAGAATTAATATTTTGTCGCATTTGGCGCCATTGGCTTTGACTGCAGGAACCCAGATGTTCATCTGTGACCAGGCTCTATACTAGTGCCTCATTAACCTTTTTAATTTACGTCCTGATATTCCAACTGTAGGTTTGGCTGGTTGAACAAGTAGCATATAACAAGTACAAATAGTTTGAAGATTATTAATGAAACTTTAATGTTCTGTTTTCAACTGTAGGGATCTGTGTGGCAAAGACTTGGTGCCAAAGTCACATGTGTGGAATTCCTTAGTCATGTCGGTGGATTAGGTATTGACATGGAGGTTTCTAAAAACTTTCAAAGAATTCTCAAAAAGCAAGGACTGGAATTTAAATTAGATACAAAAGTTGTTTCAGCATCCAGAGATGGCAGTAATATCAAAGTGGCAATTGAAGGGGTTAAAAATGGAAAATCAGAAGAAGTAAGTTGTTAAGATATTACTCTGATATAAAATTTATATATTTAAAAAAACAGTTAAAGAATCAATGTAGTATAATATATATAAAGGTTGTCGTTTTAAATGTTCAAGAATAACAAAAATGATACAAAGATTGCTATAGTAAGGGTCATTCAGTCATACCATATACATTGTGAATAGAGCTTGGATAATTAATTACAAAAAAGAAACACCAATTTTTACACTGTTACTTTGAATTTACACAAACGTTTGAATACTGAAAATGCGTTAAAATGCTCAGAATTGTATTCAAATGTTTATTTACATCCCAATTTTAAATTATCATTCTTAATGAAACATCACACCGTTAAAGAGCCTAGTTAGAAGATGTGTAGTGTGAAAGAACCATAACTCTGCATTGATTGTATTTGAATTATTTCCTTTTATGATACATAATAAGGATTGTCCAGAGAGCAACTTAAAATTTATTGATGGAATTTTATCAACAAATGATACAGTGATGGAAACAAAAGAGAGGCAATGCATTGTTCAAAAAACTAAACTGCTTCCTTGCTTAATTCTAAAAATAGATTTTTATTTTTAACCAGGTTTTCCGAAGGAAAAAACTGGTTATTAGATTGAGGTATGTCGGCGGGCGGGCGGGCGGACGGGCGGGCGGGCGTAAACAATTTCTTCTGTGCGCAACTCCTCCTACATTTCTCAACGGATTTTGACCAAACTTTCACAGAAGCTTTGTCATCAAGTGCCCTGGCGCATATTGTCGGGGTTTTGCGATTAGATAATATTTGACCTAATTATGGCCCTTTGTTTTTTTTCCTTATATAGAATATATAGTGAATAATTTCTTCTGTGCGCAACTCCTCCTACATTTCTCAACGGATTTTGACCAAACTTTCTCAGAAGCTTTGTCATCAAGTGCCCTGACACATATTGCCAGGGTTTTGCAATTGGTATATATTTGACCTAATTATGGCCCTTTGTTTTTTTTCCTTATATAGAATATATAGTGAACAATTTCTTCTGTGCGCAACTCCTCCTACATTTCTCAACGGATTTTGACCAAACTTTCTTAGAAGCTTTGTTATCAAGTGCCTGGCACATATTGTCGGGGTTTTGTGATTGGATAATATTTGACCGAATTATGGCCCTTTGTTTATTTTTTCCTTATACAGAATATATAGAGAACAATTTCTTCTGTGCTCAACTCCTCCTACATTTCTCAACGGATTTTGACCAAACTTTCTTAGAAGCTTTGTTTTCAAGTGCCTGGCACATATTGTCGGGGTTTTGTGATTGGATAATATTTGACCGAATTATGGCCCTTTGTATATTTTTTCCTTATACAGAATATATAGTGAACAATTTCTACAGTGCGCAACTTCTCCTACATTTCTCAATGGATTTTGACCAAACTTTCACAGAAGCTTTGTCATCAAGTGCCCTGGCGCTCACTAAATTCCCATGTTTCTTCCAAGACGTCATTCAAGTATTTTTTTAAAATTGTGAACATACTTTTCTTGATATCGCACAAAACACCACACGCCAATATTGTTGACAAAAGAAAATGACAAGAGACGCAAAAATGCAAAAATTAAGCAAAAATAAAGTACTGTTTACCTTTCTAAAACATTTGGGGAAAAAAGGCGAATAGACAACATAAAATTTCTCAATCATTTTTGTTTGAGGAATATTAAAAAAGCCATAATTCCTCCTAAAAGTTCAATTGAAAACAAATGCCCCTTCATGACAAAGCTTCTGTGAAATATTTTGCTGAAAACCTGGTTGCATCGCATTGCGATGTTCCTTGTTTTGTTTTGTTACACTGCGTTTATTCATTGATTGATGTCTTTCATTATTTGGTAGGTATATAACTTGGGTGGACCTAGATAATTTTGTAATGAGGAAGTGGTTACTTGAGTCAAGGTTAAGAGACGAATAGAAATAGATTTTTACACTATTGCTCATGCAGCCTTTATTTATTTGACTGATATGTTGTAGGTACTGGTAGATACCTTGTGTTGACCTCAAACTTTGGTTTATAGGGGTCAGTGTCACTTGGCTTAAACTAGATTTTTACACTATTGCTCTTACTTCCTTTGTTTATTGTTATTGATAGGTGTACATTGAAAGATATTGACTTATTCAGTGTTCAATCTAGAGCGCGCCATTGCGCCATTGACCCCCTGAAAAGGCCGCCGGCGCAAAACAAAATCATCTGTGGGCCCGACGGGCGCACTCATAGAAAATGCCCTAAATGACATTAGAATGCTTTCTTAAACCTGATTAAGTACATAAAAGAAGTTTCTTGTGAATAATATTAATAAATACTGAATTCAAAACTGAAGTTTCTATTGAAAAACAAGCGCATGTTGGTAAGATAGTTTACCGCACTTGTTAACCCATTTAAAACCTTTATCGGCTACACTCTCTCAGTCCGCGTCTGTAAATACTATGTAGACTTGTTCTTCGTACCGTAACTATTACTTACTTTTGAGTCACAGTTTTTATAAGCAAAACAAATCGTCACAGATAATCCAATACGTGCGTGTAGTTATAGTTTTTTCACGGACAAAACAAATAAATATGTAATAACTTTCCAAAGGAAAAAAAATATAGATATATTTGTGAAAAGTGCGAGTTAATTATAGAGAAGTGTGCATAAATTATTACGAACACGCCTTCATCCAATTAAAAAAGTCTTAAAGATGGAGCAATCAAACACGATTGGCTAGGGAGTGTCTGACAATTAAGTAAATTAACTTTGATTGGTCTTTGGCTGGTCGGCGCTAAAACATTGTGCATATCATTAATCAATACAGACATCTTAAGCGTGACGTAAGAACTGCTGCCCTGACAAAAGATCAAAGGTACCGGCATGTCAATATTCATTGTCTAAGCACCTGTTGACACTTTGTTTTTCGCTTGGATATATTGAGAAGGGTAAATGTTTTTAGCGACTATTGTAAGTTTATATTCTTCATAAACAAAGCTAATTTCAAAATATGATTTTCCTTTATATATCGGGCGCTGATTAAAAAACTGAACATTATTATCAAATATCCCTGGTAACATTAAAATAAGATTCATATTTTTCTTTGAACATTATGTCATCGCGTTTCTTTACCAATCAGTTCTTAAAATTGAGCCTGTATCAACGCTTATGTCATTTTTTTTAGTTGAGTTGTTTTGGAATTTTGCAACCGTTTTTGGTCTAAATATGGTATGTGAACAAGTAACTTAAAAGATACAATACCTTATTTGAATTTGATGTTCATTTTAAGTGTGGGCCCTCTTTTTGTGTCGCCTTGAAAAGGTGACATATAGGGGTTACTTTTGTGTCGGCGTCGTTGTCGGCGTCCCCTAAAGCTTGTCCGGAGCATAACTCAGTCACTATAAGTCTGATTGACTTCAAACTTGGTATGCATGCTTCTTTCAATAACCCGAAGTGCAGTGCACAAGGACTGGTACTCTGCAGTTCTTATTTTTTGAGTTATTGCCCTTTGTTAATTTTCATACTTTAATTTTGTCCGGGCCATTTCTCTTCAACTAAAAAAGCTATGGACTTGAAACTTCATAGGATGATAGATCTCATTAAGAAGAAGTGCAGTGCACAAGAACTGGTACTCTGCACTTCCTTATTTTTGAGTTATTGCCCTTTGTTAATTTTCATACTTTATTTTTGTCCGGGCCATTTCTCCTAATGTATAAAAGCCATGGACTTGAAACTTCATAGGATGATAGGTCTCATTAAGAAGAAGTGCAGTGCACAAGAACAGGTACTCTGCATTTCTTATTTTTTGAGTTATTGCCCTTTGTTTATTTTCATACTTTAATTTTGTCCGGGCCATTTCTCCTTAAATATTAAAGCTATGGACTTGAAACTTCATAGGATGATAGATCTTATTAAGAAGAAGTGCAGTGCACAAGAATCGGTACTCTTGCATTTCTTAATTTTTGAGTTATGGCCCTTTGTTAATTTTCATACTTAATTTTTGTCCAGGCCATTTCTCCGAAAGTATAAAAGTTATGGACTTGAAACTTCATAGGATGATAGATCTCATTAAGAAAAAGTGCAGTGCATAAGAACTGATACTCTGCATTTCTTATTTTTTGAGTTATTGCCCTTTGTTGATTTTCTTACTTTATTTTTGTCCTGGTCATTTCTCCTCAAGTATGAAAGCTATGGACTTGAAACATCATAGAATGATAGATCTTATTGATAAGAAGTGAAGTGCACAGAAACTGCTGCTCTGCACTTATTATTTTTTTAGTTATTGCCCTTTGTTATTTTCATATTTCATTTTTGTCCAAACTACATTGTTCACAAGGCGACACATCCGACTCGCGGAGTTCTAGTTTCTCAAATGACCCCCTTTTGAAAAGTTTATGGGCCCAAAGGGCCCCCTTGGAATTTGTTCTAGATTGAACACTGCTTATTTTAGCATTCATCACCAGGTATACTCTCGAGTTATATTTAATTGCCATCTATGTCTACATTTATATTCTTAAAAGCATCCCATTTTTACAATGATAAATCTAAAATTAATTTGGTTTCTATTCTGGCAAATAACAATTATAGCAATAATAATGCATAACTTTTTAATTGTTTTACCTCAGCTTTACAGAAGTTTGACTTTTATCTATGATTTTCAGATGGATTGTGACACATTATTAGTTTGTATTGGTAGACGTCCCTATACAAATAACCTTGGTTTAGAAACATTAAATATTTCGACAGACAATAGAGGTAGAATACCTGTTAACTCAAGATTCCAAACTTCAGTACCTAGGTATGGCTATTATTTTATTATTTTATCATATTACACTATTTTTAGCTTGACTTTGTCAAAGAACGGTTTTTGAGATATTGCTACAGTCATAGTGTAGTTCTCGTCTATATGCTTTAACATTTTGCAATAACAGACTGTAACATTGTTATATGTGAATTGATAGTCCTTTTTCAAACCCAATTTGACCGTGGTCTTGAAAGGTCAAATAATTGTATTTTGTTGTTGTTTTTTTTTGCTATAAAAGGCTATCACTTACTAATGAATGAATGGACACAACAGCCTATGGGACAAGACCTTTGTCATTTGCTTACCTTATTCTTAACCAGAAAAAAAAACTTATTTGACCAATAACTTGAGAATGATTTGGCCTACAGTCCTATGATTTGGTGTGGAGATTGGTCATACCGGTAATAAGATAACTCCTGTTAATTTTGGGGTAAGTAGGTCAGAGGTTAGGTCATCATAGATGTGAACAAAAGACAATTATTTCTGCCCACAAGGCTGTGACCTATAAAAATAAGATTAAGTCTAGAGGTTGTTATCCCCCGCCGATGGAATCGGGAGGGGGATATAGTTTTGGCGTTGTCCGTCCGTCCGTCCGAATTTCGTTTCCGGAGTAGTTCTCTGCAACTACTGGCTGGAATTCAACGAAACTTTATGGGAATCATCAATATCAAGAGGAGATGCGCATATGGTCGGCTTGTTCCGGTCAGACCCTTTAACTCAGAGTTATGGCCCTTGATTAGTTATGTAGTATGCATATAGAGTAAAAATCGTTTCCGGAGTAGTTCTCTGCAACTACTGGCTGGAATTCAATGAAACTTTATGGGAATCATCAATATCAAGAGGAGATGCGCATATCGTCGGCTTGTTCCGGTCAGACACTTTAACTCAGAGTTATGGCCCTTGATTAGTAATGTAGTATGCATATAGAGTAAAAATCGTTTCCGCACTACTTCTCTGCAACTACTGGCTGGAATTCAATGAAACTTTATGGGAATCATCAATACTAAGAGGAAATACGCATATCGTCGGCTTGTTCGGGTCAGACACTTTAACTCAGAGTTATGGCCCTTGATTAGTTATGCAGTATGCATATGGAGTAAAAATCGTTTCCGCGCTACTTCTCTGCAACTACTGGCTGGAATTCAACGAAACTTTATGGGAACCTTCAATACCAAGAGGAGATGCGCATATCGTCGGCTTGTTCAGGTCAGCCACTTTTACTCAGAGTTATGGCCCTTGATTAGGTATGCAATATGCATATGGAGTAAAAATCGTTTCCGGAGTAGTTCTCTGCAACTACTGGCTGGAATTCAACGAAACTTTATGGGAATCATCAATATCAAGAGGAGATGCGCATATGGTCGGCTTGTTCCGGTCAGACCCTTTAACTCAGAGTTATGGCCCTTGATTAGTTATGTAGTATGCATATAGAGTAAAAATCGTTTCCGCACTACTTCTCTGCAACTACTGGCTGGAATTCAACGAAACTTTATGGGAACCTTTAATACCAAGAGGAGATGCGCATATCGTCGGCTTGTTCCGGTCAGACACTTTAACTCAGAGTTATGGCCCTTGATTAGTTATGCAGTATCCATATAGAAAAATATTTGTTTCCTCGCTACTTCTCTGCTACTACTGGCTGGAATTCAATGAAACTTTATGGGATACTAAGAGGAGATGTGCATATAGTCGCCTTGTTCCAGTCAGATACTTATAACTCAGATTTATGGCCCTTGATTAGTTATGTAGTATGCATACATCTCATTGGTATTTCCAGATTTTACTATTTAACACAAAGTTATGGCTCTGTTATTGCCCTGAATATTTATCAAGTTCAAAGAATATTATATGTTATTTGGGTTTTGGAGGGATATATGTGGATATATTACCTGTCAAGATTTTATATCACCTCAGCCGTTAGGCGAGGGTGATATTTTATCTTGGCAGGTAATATATCCACATATATCCCTCCAAAACCAAAATAATAATTCTATTACCCTTCCCCTGCCGAGTTAAGACGATTTTAATATAAATCATTGCTACTTCAAATGAAACGTCGAAATAAGATTCCTTTTAGGGTACCCATTCAACTCAACATGACGTCACATAAATACATGACGTATTTTCTTTCGAACGTAACGAATGTAAACAAGAGAAAAGGAGAAGTCTGTTGAGTGCACTTTTTTGGAATTAATATCAAGCTTTCACAAGGTCATATTTGTTTTCAATACTGATGAGAATATGTATCATTACTCTATTTTGGTAAATATCTATCATTTGACAGTTAAAAAGTGCTTGTAAATCGGATTTACATCGCGTTAAATAAAACCGTACGCGCATCGCCATAGCGCATGTTGTTTACAAGGTGGGGTACCCAACGGGGAAATTTAGTGTGTATATTACCCGTCTGGCTCGGTTATATCAATTTCTTTCGGGTGACAAATATCCAATCAAAAAGGAGGAAAAAATCTGGAAGGGTAATAATACTGTTTATGCCATGATTAATATATAAATAAAGCCTTATGTCTTCAGTTGTTGTGTTAATAGTAACCAGTACTCGGCGGGGGGTATAAATTCAACGAATTTGCTTGTTCATTACTAGTTAATGACTCCTTTAGGTTGCAGTGAGGGCAGAGAGGAAAATTTTGATGCCTATCAGTAAAGGTTAATATTTTAGGAATCCAACAAGTAAATACCGTATTACCAGATAGACAAGTGTCTGTGTAGGAGTACAGATTTTACTCCTAACTTTTTGATACTGCGCAAATTTTTCAGTCTTTTGTTCCAGAATGATTTCCAAATAACAATAACAGTAAAGTAGATAGCATTGCTTTATTTTAAAGTTTGATTTATTTTACCATTTCAGTATATATGCTATAGGAGATTGTATAGAAGGTCCTATGCTAGCACATAAAGCTGAAGATGAAGGTAGGTTTACAGAACTCTAGCTAGACCAAATTTGACTTCTCCCTCATCTCCTATCACAGAGAAGTTTGATGACATAGGGAGAAGTGAAAAAGTGCTAGGCACATTGATTTGATCTATAAAAATATATTGTATCTATTTACTCAGTAATATTAATTATTTAAATAATGTATAAAAAATGTACATAATAGGAAAACAAATGCAGATTTCTTTTATTTAATACAAATGCAGATTTCTTTTATAATTCAACAATTTTATATTACGTGAGTAATTAAATATAAGGAGGTGAAGGCCTAAAGTATATGGACAGAAATTAAGTGGTGATCATCAGAAGGTCTGTCTTTTCATTGAAATAAAACTAAAAATTATAAATTTCCCAAAAAAATCAAGTTATTTTCCATTTTTATGAAATATGTTTGATGTATTTTATAATATATTATTTATGTAATGTTAATTAATTACAGGAATAATTTGTGTAGAAGGAATGTGTGGTGGTGCTGTACATATTGACTATAACTGTGTACCATCTGTAATCTACACACATCCAGAAGTCGCGTGGGTCGGTAAAAATGAAGAACAGCTTAAAGAAGAGGTAAGCTTATCATTTAACAATCACAACATTTATACTAAGAATATTTTGCCACTTTAACTTACAGTGTTTAATTATGTAAATTTTTCTGGTCTGAATAGAAAATAAATAAGAGGTGCTAACATTTCCAAAGATCAAGTCTGAAAGAATCTTCTCTTTTGACACTGCTCATAACTTACATATTTGTAAACATTTTATAAGAATAATGAAGATAAAACATTTTTCAGACAATTTTCTTGATTGGGTCTCTACCTTAGTTGAAAGATTATTTTTGATTACTCAAACAAATTTACAATTGGGCACAAATTAACCCGCCTTTGTGGTGCTGTTGTTAAGGATTTCTCTCACCAAGGGATTTACCATGTGTAACATTGCTCTTGTTGATATTGATACATCATGTATATTGATTCTATCTATTCAACATTAGGGAGTAGAATACAATGTTGGAAAATTCCCATTAGCTGCGAACAGTCGTGCCAAGACAATTGATGACACTGATGGCTTTGTGAAAGTTCTGGGAGATAAGGCTACTGATAGAATTCTAGGAGTACACTTTATTGGATCTGTAAGTATTTAACTGGTTACACTAGCAAAACTATCTGCTTGAATGTTTCCATTTTGCTTTTTATACCATTGTGTATCCAGGGCAAACTGTACATCCATGAATCATGGCAAGAGACCTAGAAAGTTGATATTTTGCATGAGGCATAACGTTGGGCCTCTAATAAAGTTGGTCAAATCATGACACTAGGGGTCAAATTGACTTTCCCACAGGGGCATATAGTTTTATGATACAGAGATATGTATAGAGAAAACTGAAGAATTTTCTCCTTCACAACTGCAAGGGCTATAGTTCTGATATTTTGCATGTAGTATTTTGCACCTTGTGGACCTTTACCAAATTTGTCAAATGATGGCCCTTGAATACAGGTATAATAGTAAAAACTTAAAAATTCAGAACCACATGGCCTAAAACTTAAATATTATGCATGAAGCCTTCCCTTGTTGAAACCTGCCATGTTTTCTCATATCTAAAGTTTACCCAGCCCTAGGGGGTGAAACGGTAAAAAGACCCATTTAGTTTCATAGATATTTAAGCATTTAACCTCATTTTATTCAGACATATGAATCATTTGGACATTGTTTATCATTTGACATGCTTATATATGACTTTAACCTTATTTAATCAGTCAGGTCAAAGGTCAAATTTAACTTTCATAACATTATTATTGATTACAATATGGCCTTCATATTAGGACATGTACATGTGAACACATTTACAGATGTGCTTCATAATCATGACTTTGACCAATATTCAGTATTGACCAGTTATGTCAAGGGTTAAAGTTTCAAGTCTTTATAATTTAATTATTTGTTTATGTAATTACTTATATTTTCAGACATTAGATACATGTGATTATTGTGTTTTGTTTCACATGCTGAAATATTTATGTTGAGTTTTGACATTAATCATTTTGAGATATACATATTGTACAAGCAATTGATAAACTAGTTTTGTTCCTAGTAACTATTATAAGTGCCATACAATATGACGGCATTGTATTTCACAAATGTAATCTTTTAATGGACAAATTCTGCAGTAGAAAAGCTTATTCTCATACAGATGATAATACAAAAATGCAGACTTGTGGTTTGAATAATGCCAGAGGGCCATATATGTTCTCTGTTACAAAAAATTCTTAAAAGTTTTTTTGTTTTTTTTCTTTTCACAACAAAAAGGCATCTTATTCAAATATTTAAAAATGTTTGGATTGATAGAAAATAGTGTGAACAAATCATTATCTGCAGTTAGTTTTAACAAAATGAAAATGATATTTTTGTTTACAATGACAGGTTGCTGGAGAGTTAATTAATGAGGCTGTGCTAGCCATGGAGTATGGAGCATCATGTGAAGATGTAGCACGAGTTTGTCATGCTCACCCTGTAAGTATACAATTATAACATCAGTTTGACCTATGATATAAAACAAGTATTTATATGTTAAACTGCTTCAATATGAATTACTTTTGTAAAGATATTCAGTAATAAAGCTAAACAGATGCAATAATATAATTTACTACTCTAAGAACAAGATTGGTTTTAACACTTTTAAGAACACACACTGAGTCCCAGCTATTTTCCTTCTATTTCCCCTACTTTTTATAGAGAAATCAATTATACTGAGATATTATTTATAAGGCACATGTTTTGGCCGCCTCATGTATAATTTTCCTGATTTAAGAAAGTCCTACATTAAGCACATTGCTTGTCTCCCTACCAGTATGCTGGACCGTCGGCCCTGACCAGTAAAAACTCAGAAGATCTGTTAAATTAAAAATATCTGTATTTGCGGCCAGACAATCCACTAAAAGTTCTAAGGTCAGTTTTGTATAAAAACCCTAAACAAAGCATTTAGCAAAAGCCAATCATTCACCTGTATGCATAAAATATCCAAATCTGTGTGCATTGTTGTAGAATAATGCACAGTTCAAGTTCAAATGTGCAGGAATATAATCATGAAGGCTGATTGGCCCTGAGTGAATCATTACAAAGCATTTGAACAATATACCTTGCATTATTATTACACAAGAAAAACTGATATCTATTTTCATTCTAGCATGCTAATAAAAAAGAATTTGATAAAGATATTTTGAATTAATTTGAGTTTAGAAGTAATTTTCCTAATATCATTTGGTTTATTGACGTCATATTTGACATCATATGGCATATCTGTTCATATCTGTTTTAATAGTGTGAAACATGTTAGAATTATATTATTTATATGTATGTACAAAGTAGAACTATATACAACAGAAGGAATTATGTAGGTTTAAAGCATTTCAAGTATCATCAAGCTGAGACATCAATCAATTACTATATGATTTTGTCATTTTGTAAAGTTTTCCTCAGTTCCTCAGTAAATTTATTGCAAATTATTAAAAGTCAATTGACAATTGCCACATTTTTGTATTGTAGACGGTTGCCGAAGCCCTGCGAGAAGCCAATTTGATGGCATACTCAGGAAAACCCATCAACTTTTGAACAGATCGTTACAAAGTATGACAGAGTTAGGAGTAGAAATTGACAGAATCGTTAAATCTCATCAGTTGTTTTCACATCTAATGAAAGATCTTATTTTCAAATCATTGTTGATAGTTGTCGATGAATATTGCTTGATTTTTATTGTGTTAAAGACATTTAAAAAAAATAAGGCAATCTCTATAAAGTGGCCAACTATATTTGTAATGCTTTATTCTCATTTTGTATGGCATAAAAAAACAAAGGCCCTTGGCTGCAAGAAATGTTTGATTCTGTGTTGTTTAAACTGTAGTCACTGTTAACAATTAAGAGAAAATTGTTAACCAATAAATCTGTATTTTTGTTTTGTTATTGAAAAATTGAAAAAAATAATTTATTCAAGGAAACTACATGATTATATCAGTGGCAATATCACAAATTTGGACTTTAATCCTTGTGAAGATTTTAGATATGAATGGCGATTCCTGTTCATTAGAAGCATGTATGTACAGGTTATATTCATATATATGTTTTAAAATTTTAATGTTTGAATATTGATACATGTATGTACTGATGAATCAAGATTATAGCAGGACTTACTTATGTGCCTATAAAGAATGTTCAAAGAAAAAAAAGAAAGAAAAATATTTAAAGAGAAGCAACCATGCATGGAATAAAGGATAAAAAAAAGCACAATTTTAAAATAATGATATCATTGTGAAACTTTACAGTTCTCACCAATTTCTAACATCTGTCATTTTTCTTATGTTATTTATTTGATAGAATTGAAATACATTTTTATGTTTTTGTTAAATCTAGGCATTAAAAGTGCTTGACAATAGAGTGATTGTATATACTTTGTTTTATTTGTTTATTTTCTCCGTGATAACTTTGTCTTAATATAAGCATGTTTTGTAAATGTTTTGGTTTTATTATTTGTCTGGACTAGAAGACCAATATAATTAACAATCATCAAAGCCCTGCTTTATAATTTTGAAATTTTCTACAGATTGTTAGATCTCCAAATCAATATAAATCTGAGATAAGAGGTTAAATTGTCTGATGGTTTTGATGTCTGTCTCTCACTAGCTACCATAGGTTCTAATTTAAATGATAACAGTTCTCGTTAGTTCCCAGGAGGGGAATTGTGAGTGGTTTTTATAAACTTCAATGTGTTCTCACTATACAGCAAGCTAAAGTTAAAGTCTTATCTTTAATTAGATAGGAGTCCTTTTAGGAGTTTATGCTTTGCCCATTCTTCATAATCATCTCAAGTTAAATCTAATGAATTATTATTATGAAACATAAACAGTAAAATTAGGTTGCTGTCATAATTTTATGGTAGTTTCTCAGAAGAGTTGTAACATAGAATGTTTCTTTTATTTATCATGCATACATGTTGTATCTAAACAGAACAAAATATTTTGCTGCTATTTTTAGAAGGGTTTTGACCATTTAGCAATTATTCGAGCATGCACTAGTCAATTTAAAAAAATTTCTTGCATACAGTATTTTGGAATTATTCTTTTTTTTAAAATAAGAACAGAATTTGTGAACTACTTACAGCAGATATAAAAATATAGCTTTATACACTTTAAAATATTCAATGACACATTTATAACCTAAAAGTACACATTTTTAGCTCGACTATACGAAGTATATGAAGAGCTGTCCTACTCGCCCCGGCGTCGGCGTCCGCGTCCAGATTTTAGATTAAAGTTTTGGTGCAGTAAAATATTTTTCACTATAACTTTCTCATTTCTTAAGGTATCAACTTCAAACTTCAAATATATGTTCCTTATCATCAACCACATCTTATGTGACAAGGTTCATGACTCTAGCACCAATATTTTCAGATTTATCTCCCCTTGAACTTAGAATTTTCCTTAAAAAATACTATTTTTTACTGTTACTTCTTTATTTCTTAAGGGATCAACCTCATACTTCAAATATATGTACCTTATCATCATCCCCATCTTATGTGACAAGGTTCATAACTCTAGCACCAATATTTTAAGATTTATCTCCCCTTGAACTTAGAATTTTCCTCAAAAAGTACTATTTCTTACTGTTTCTTCTTTATTTCTTAAGGGATCAACCTCATACTTTAAATATATTTACGTTATCATCATCCCCATCTTATGTGACAAGGTTCATAACTGTAGCACCAATATTTTCAGATTTATCTCCCTTTGAACTTAGAATTTTCCATAAAAAATATTATTTTTTACTGTTACTTATTTATTTCTAAAGGGATCAACTTCATACTTCAAATGTATTTACGTTATCATCATCCACATCTTATGTGACAAGGTTCATAACTCTAGCACCAATATTGCAAGAATTATCTCCCCATAAACTTAGATTTTTTTACTAGAAAAATGTTATTTTTTATTACAACTTTTTTATTTTTAAAGGTATCTACCTCAAACTTCAAATACTTATTCCTTATCATCAATTACATTTTATGTGACAATGTTCATAACTCTTGAAGCAATATTTACACATTTATCTCTCTTTGAACTTAGGATTTTCTTTAAGAAATATAATAACTTCTTTACTTTTTAAGGTATCTACTTCAAACTTCAAATATATATTTCTTATCATTACACAAATGTTGTGTGACAAGGTCCATAACTCTAGCATGACTATTTCTAGAATTATTCCCCTTGATCTTGGAATTTATGTTAACAATATTATTTTTTTAATATAACTTAATACATAATTATACATAATTGATTTTTCTTTCATAGTTTTGTCCTCCTTACTGCGTCTAGTATTTTATTAGTCGAGCTTTGCTGTCTCCTGTGACAGCTCTTGTTAGCTCACCTGAGCTTGCTCAGGGTGAGCTTTTAGGATCGGTGAATGTCCGTCGTCCGTCCGTCCGTCGTCCGTCCACAATTGCTTGTGAACACTCTAGCGGCCGCATTTTTGCCTCAATCATCATCAAACTTGGTCAGGATGCTTATCTAGTTGAAAGCTCGGATTAGTTCAAACATGGCTCATCTCGGATGAAAAACTAGGTCACAAGAGCTAAAAATAGAAAAACCTTGTGAACACTCTAGAGGTCACATTTTTGACCCAATCATCATCAAACTTGGTCAGGATGTTTGTCTAGGTGATAGCTCAGATGAGTTCGAACATGGGTCATCTCGGATGAAAAAGTAGGTCACAGGAGCTATAAATAGAAAAACCTTGTGAACACTTTAGTTGTCACATTTTTGAACCAATTTTCATCAAACTTGGTCAGATTGCTTGTCTAGTCAATTGCTTGGATGAGTTCGAACATGGGTCATCTCTGATGAAAAACTAGGTCACAGGAGCTAAAAATAGAAAAACCTTGTGAACACTCTAGTGGTCACATTTTTGACCCAATCATCATCAAACTTTGTCAGGATGCTTGTTTAGATAATAGCTCGGATGAGTTCGAATATGGGTCATCTCGGATGAAAAACTAGGTCACCGGAGCTATAAATAGAAAAACCTTGTTAACACTCCAGCGGTCACATTTTTGCATCAATCATCATCAAACTTGGTCAGGATGCTTGTCTAGTTGATAGCTTGGATGAGTTCGAACATGGGTCATCTCGGATGAAAAAGTAGGTCACCGGAGCTAAAAATAGAAAAACCTTGTTAACACTCTAGCGGTCACATTTTTGCATCAATCATCATCAAACTTGGTCAAGATGCTTGTCTAGGTGATAGCTCGGATGAGTTCGAACATGGGTCATCTCGGATGAAAAAGTAGGTCACCGGAGCTAAAAATAGAAAAACCTTGTTAACACTCTAGCGGTCACATTTTTGCATCAGTCATCATCAAACTTTGTCAAGATGTTTGTCTAGGTGATAGCTCGGATGAGTTTGAACATGGGTCATCTCGGATGAAAAAGTAGGTCACCGGAGCTAAAAATAGAAAAACCTTGTTAACACTCTAGCGGTCACATTTTTGCATCAATCATCATCAAACTTGGTCAAGATGCTTGTCTAGGTGATAGCTCGGATGAGTTCGAACATGGGTCATCTCGGATGAAAAAGTAGGTCACAGGAGCTAAAAATAGAAAAATCTTGTTAACACTCTAGTGGCTACTGTTGTGATCCAAATATTCTGTTAATTGGTCTGAAAGTTTGTTTTGATGATTTCTAAGTCAAGATCGAACATGGGTCATCTTGGATGAAAAACTAGGTCACACCGCCCAAATATGGAAAAACCTTGTTAACATTCTAGTGGTCACATTTTCGACTCAATTATCATCAAACTTGGTCAGGATGCTTGTCTAGGTAATTGCTTGGATGAGTTCGAAATCGCATGTGAAACTAGGTCACCGGAGCTAAAAATAGAAAAATCTTGTTAACACTCTAGTTGCTACTGTTTTGATCCAAGTATCCTGGAAATTGGTCTGAAAGTTTGTTTTGATGATTTCTAGGTCAAGTTTGAATATGTGTCACCTGGGTAAAAAACTAGGTCGCACTGCTCAAATATGGATAATCCTTGTTAACACTGTAGTGGTCACATTTTTGACTCACCTGTCATGAGACTTGGTCGGAATGCTTGTCTAGGTAATTGTTTGGATGAGTTTGATAAGTCAGGTGAGCGATCTAGGGCCATCATGGCCCTCTTGTTTTGGATTCTAAAAATAAATGTAGTTTTTACTTTTATATACATGTACTCATATAAATTTAAATTAGACATTTTCTTAAAATAATTTAATAAACTTAAGTCAACAAATCTCAGGATTAACTTGCTAATGTTTCCATGTTTAAATTGTTTCAAAAATTAAAATACCATATCCTTTCTGTGTATTCATATTACTGTATGAGTAAATATTTCTGTGTGTCGAAATGTTAGTGCATTTAAAATACCAGACATTTCTTGTGAGGAAATATTAGCGAATCCAGTTTTACAGATGCAAAAGGGCATATTTGAAATATATATCTAAGTATGTAAATTGGGAGGTGGTAACTGATTGCGGTTTACAGCAGTTAGCTATATGGTAGTCACGCATCGTTTTTTTAGCCGCAACAAGATTATTTTGCTAGCCAACATGGGCTTGACAAAATGGTTTTCTACTACTTTGATAAGTGGCAAACTCATAGTGGTCTATCATGAGGTTTGTTAAGTCATTAAACAACTACTTGATGATAGTCTTTATACCAATATTGTTTTCCAGTTATATTACTTTAATGTTTATATCTTTCTTACATCAAAATACCTGCCTGTGGCTAGCATAATTTTTTTATTTTATACAACCTAAATCAAAACTCACTTTTTGTGCTAACATAGTAACAAATACATTTGTCTGTTTGATAATAGTAACTTACCTACGTAGTCCGAAATTTCCAAAGGACTTAATGAGATAGCTTTGAACATAACAAACGAGGAAATAATTCTTTCTGCCCATTTCACCAATGAACGTCCTATTAGGGAAAAATAAGCTCGGATATATTTTATATTCAAAGGAAGGCAACAATAAGAAATTTCATGGTCTTTAATGGGCTACATTTGTTTTAAAAAGAGTTTGCTGCAATATTCTGAAATCTTAAACTGGATGGAAAAGCAATATGGTTTGTCCAATTTTCAAGGAAAACTTCAACAGTTACACTAAAATGCTATAACTGGGAAATAATATTTGTAAAAGGACTTGCACCTGGTAAGGCAGGTGTCTTTTTTACAGGAACGCTTCTAATGAAAATACACTGTAAATAATATCATGCATATGATCCACAGAAAATGTCATACTTTCAGGTCAAAGATCAATCCTGTCTGACATTATTTGATGGAATGTCAAAATATTTGGTACTTGCCCTTGCCAGTCTGACAATGTGTTGAGTGCAGGACTCACATCTGCACCTTCAAGGTCAAGGTCATACTTGGAGGTCAAATTTGTCCAGCTTACAATTCTGTCATTACTTGATTACTTAAAACAAATATTTTGCTGATCAGGAGTTATATGGTGCACAACACTAAAGTCAAGGTTATACTTCGAGACAAAAATGTCATATGGCTGGTGCACCAGTGTGGTATTGATACATTTCTAGTTCTTATTTTTCATGTTGCACTGACACTGTTAAGGCAACTTTCCAGCTTTAGCAGTGGAAGATGACAGTACCCCTTTGTGCATTATTTCAGGCAAGAACAAGCACTGGACCTAACAAAATAGTCAATATCTGCCTATGGATTTAACATTTGACTATTTAAAGCAATGTCTTAAATATCAAGATGCACACGAATATTATTAAATGTCAATCATATCATCCTTTTACACATGAATGTTGGGATCAATCAAAATCAGTAGCGATATTAGGCCATTTTATATTATTAAGGGCAATAACTCGCATACATTGGTACTGATTCCTATTATCATACACAATATAGATTATATTTATACTGATTTTTAAGTTCGCCCAACTTACCAAATGTAAAATATGCCATGAAAATGGATAAATTAAGCTAAGATATGCCGCTGGACAGATGGCACTATTTCAGAATCCCCTTTGCAATTTAATCAGCAGGGGATAACAAAAGGTGAAATAAGGTGAAGATATAACATAAAGAGCGCATGTTATAAGAATAAAGTTTATTGTATAAAAATTGCAAGTATATGGGTGGATTGGTATCTACATTGTGAAAAGAAACGTAATTAGATATGTAATTAAATATAAAATCATTTCTAAAAATAAATGTGAGTAATTTTCTGGCTAATGTGAAGAATGAAATGCCAACATATTGTACACTATCAAACAAGAACAATTTTAAAAATGATCTTGGAAGCTAAGGTCAAGCCCTTGCAGTTCTGAGAAAGAAGAATTTTTAAGTTTATATATACTGTCTTCCTAGAAATGTTCGCGGATACAATATTTCGCGTTTTTCACAACGTCGGCATTTTCACAGAGACAAACTTTCGCGGATATGTAGTAACCGCGAATTCCGCGAATGTTAAGTCGCTATGGCCTAAATTACAGTTTTTGGAGGCTACGTTTTTGATGCATGACCATGCCTGTTGGTTGCTTTTAATTATTTTATTTTTTTAACAAGTCGCGCCTAAAGCGCAACGTTACTCAACACATTTTCATCTATTGACCACTTTCATTTTTCCTTACCTTTTTCATTATGTGATTAAGTAAGATTTAGTCAGACCCCTTAGCTTTTATTCTCATTTGAATCATAACTGACTTTTTCTTCAAAATGTCGATACGTATTTTTTACACATCGGACTGTACATCGCTTTCATTATAACAACATAAACAGCTGTTTATCAATGTAGCACTTGATCGCTATTGTACTTTTAACAAAGGATTACACCTACTCTAAGCAAATAAAATCCAAGTCATTCAATGTTCACAAACTGTAAATGCATTTGTCAACGCCGTGACTAATCGTCAATAAGCATGATAATTACTAATAATTGATATTTTCTTTTTCAGCGTGCAAACTAGTATCAATAACATACATTAATAATTCTTTATACATTTCTATAGCACCTGTGTTTATATGGGGTTTTTTGTGTGTAAGTAGATTATAATAAATATTCTGCACTTTTTATGTTCTATTTGGTTGAAGCTAGAAATGTTCGCGGATTTGTTATAAGTGACATATTTGCGGCTATAAAGATTCGCGGAATCATGCCTACTGCGAAAACCGCTAACTTAAAATGCGCAAAATCTTTTCTAGGAATACAGTATACAGTGCCATTGGGATGGTGCAAATTTGACTATCAGGACCTACTTCATCAAAACTTGGCAGAGATCTACAACAAAATATCAAAGATCTAGGCCTTGCAGTTTTATCAAGATTTTTTTAGTTTTCCTATTTATACATTTATAACACTGTGTGCCACTGAGGTAAGACCAATCTGGCCCTTGGGGCCATGATTTGAACAAACTTGGTAAAGGTCCTCAATGAAATGCCTCATGCCAAATATAAAAGCACCAAGCTGTTTGTTTTTCCCAAAATATCTCTAATATAAAACTATGTGTCCCTGCAGTAAGCTCATTTTGACCCATAAGAGCTATTAATTGATTATAATTTTGACTGGTTCAAGGCTGGTCTGGATTCATGCTGGTCGCAAACCCATTATGTTGGTTTTGTCGTGATGCGGCTCAATTATAATCTTTATAATGGACACACAAAGTCAATCACTAGAAGCCAGCATCCCACATGTTCTGATGGCATAAAAACATGGATGTATCTAGTGTTGCATGTAAACCAAGTTTAGAATTTAGAGGGATTGCAAAATGCAAAATCAAAAGAACTTAAAAAAATATTGCAATAACAAGCTAGATGGATTACAAAATGCAAAAACAAAAGAACTTTAAAATATTGCTTTGAAGAATTTTGGAGAGAAAAAAAAATCTGTCAGAATAATAGGGAAATTTACTCTACAACAGAATACAATCTACACCATCTTTTTGTTATTAGACCCTGTTATTATATAAATTATGTAAATTATATATATGATCATTAAAAGAAAACAAAATAGACCAGAAGATAAAATGAGAGCTAAGTTGTCCTATTGCAAATAAGTAATAAGGTGAACACAGAATTTTCTTAGCACTCGACATAAACACAGAGACAATACAAATAGCACCTTCACAACACATGACAATTGACTTGATAACACATCTTTTGTTAAAAGTTAAAAAAAAAACCAATTCATTTTATCTTTAAATTCCTTCATATTAACAATTCACAAAAACAATGAAGGAAAAAATCAAATCAGCTAGTATTTTCAATCTGCCAGCTGTCCCTATTATTTTAGAAACCTTCAGTGTTCATATGTTATACCCTTCATTATATCTGGACATTCTCTTATCATATTAGTGTATTTCTTCCTCCCATTAACAACATTAAATACTTGTATCAAATGCTCTTTCTTCTTTGAGTATTGCTAATAATGAGACCAATTTAAACATGAAAAGGCTAGTAAAAAACAATTTTGCATAATTTACACATAAATCAACATGTTTTAAAAATTGAAGACATTACATTCTGGGTGTGTTTTTTTAAATAAAACCGTGAAAATTAACAGAACAATTATAGTAATATTGCTATTATATAAATCACTATAAAGTTATAAAAATATTTACAGTCGCACATACATGAGGTACATTTAATAGGAGCATTTCAAAATAAAAAGGTTGACAGAACAAAAGTATAAACCTAGCATAGCATATTCATGATAATACATGTATCAGTTAGAGGCCAACAAATTTTCCTGTAATTATATTTTATGGTTGTACATATCTTCATTCTCTAACACGGATCATATTGCCCTTCACCTTCTCACATTATTGAACATGTCTCAATTAAAAAAAAAATCAAAGAAAAACAGAAAAATTTTCCAATTTAAAACTTGAGTAAATTAATTTAATAATCATTTGATCATATAACACACAACTGTTGTAAAATTACCCATATATAATACATACAACCTTACCCAAATATTTCAGTCATTATGAAAGTAAAATGCATTATATCATTTTGTGAAAAAATCTCTATATTTCAGGGGAAAAAAAACGCTTGAAAACTAACAAGATAAAGCAGATAATAAATCTACTAAATGTAACTGTACAGTATGGCACCTTAACATAAAATTTGAACACTTAATTTATAGCACATTAATGAGAAACAAGGAATACAAAGAAAAAAAGAAAATAAATACTTGTAAAAGATATCCTAGACTTTATTATGCTAACTATCATTTCTGCTTTGCCAATTGGCACATGTGAAAGCTTTAAATACCATTAGAGTAATATATTTTTAAAAGATGACAAAAATTGAACTGGATATTAACATTACATATATGAGATTCATCACTAATCAAAGTCATACATGTAAAAAGATATTTCACAATTTGTAAATTTTAAATGCATTGCAGTGAGATTCTGTTGCAACTTGTAACTACATGTTTATATCATTATATAAGGATTAAATCAATTTGGACTAGTACATGTATTAACTAAAATAGTAATCAAACTACCAGGACTACAAATAACATGTAGTATTACAAAAAAACACAAAATCAAATAAATTAAAATACATTGTATTCCATATATCAATAGAATTAATAAAGGCAACAAAATGGACAAAAATTAACAAGACAAAAAATAAAATAAAATGTCACTTAACCTTGAATTATGACTAAATTTTGCCAGTTTTAACTGATAGTTACATACTACTTCTAGATAAAAAAATCTGTGAATTTGGATTTCAAACAATCACCTTCATGCTGGATTTATGTATTGTATACTACTCAGAAATAAATAATAGATTACATAAAATCTCCTCGCATAATTTACACATGAATTTTATATAAAGAATCACAGTAAAAATTCAGATGGATTTACAGACAGTATCACACTCATCAATTTAATATATCACTTTATTTTGTATGTTGAAGTTTTATACACAGGTGACATGATTCTGTGTCAGTCAAAATTTATGTTTAAGCAAGTGAAGCAGACTTGAAGTAGACTCAAAGTAACTGGGTCTTAAGCCAATCTTCAAGTCAGACCGCAATCAGGACGCAATATTTCATAAAGACAAATGAAGTTCAATGTACATGTATAATAATCATGAATACAAATAAAACAAAAAACTGTTTACTTTTATATATACAATTTGCAAATCTATAAATGGTGCATTTCATATTCTATTTCATAAATCTAAATAATTTGTAGAAAACAAAATCATCATTATATACAAGATTTACTTACAAAAAATCAAATATCATCAATATACAAAAAATTCATGCCTAATTTTTGTGGCAGCATTTTTTTACAGGAAAGTTTATATGATGGCTTGTTAGCCGTTTTGTTGTGCTCTTCACTTAAACATTATTATATTATCTCCTTACATTATTTCTCTTTTTTCATCCTATAAAAGGGATACTGTAAAATTTAATTTTTTTCCCATTTTAAGAAAACGTATCCAGTAAAAACATAAAAAAAGATGATCCAAAGGTAAATTCATATTTTTTGGCTTTGATTTAACTGTACCAAAAGAAGCATACAAGTATGGACAGGTTGTTAGATGTTACTTGAGCACTTTGTAATGTTTTAGAGTGTAATAAGCATAAGCAGTGACGTCACTATCATCATAATGTATGACGTCAAACACCTCCCTGACCCCCTCATATCATGTGTCACATATGTCACGTTTGTTGTTGTCGGGTCAACATTTACTTGTGTCACTCGACCTCCTGAAAACATAAACAGAACATTTTTTCTATAGCAGAAGATTACTTTTAAAGAGCAAATACTAGTTATTAAAAAGCCAAGTAATATGTGATTGCATTGTACCTGTAATTGGGTTTTAATACTAATAATGCATTTTTTTATTACCTGATTTTTGTACGTTTTGTATATTTCCTTGTATTGTACATATCATATACATATTTCATTTGTTTGTAAAAGACAATGCTACATTCCTGCTCTGGTCCTGCCCGCATACATAATTTCAGGCAGAAACCAGGTACCTGCCTCAATGCATAATTTCTGGCACAAGTTTTGGTCCTGCCCACATATATAATATCAGGTAACAAGAGCTGTCGGTAGGACAGCATGCTCGACTATTCTTAGTGCTTGATAGTAAAAAAAATGCCTGATACAGTTACCTCCTCCTGTTTACAGGTTGGGGTCATGATGGTGAACAAGTGTGCAAAGTTTCAAAGCCATATGTCAATGGACTTTGAAAATATTTGAACTATTACAAAAACTTTAACGTAAATTCTAAGTCGAAAAAGGGGCATAATTCTGTCAAAATGCTTGATAGAGTTACCTCCTCCTGTTTACAGGTTGGGGTCATGATGTTGAACAAGTGTGCAAAGTTTCAAAGCCATATGTCAATGGACTTTGAAAATATTTGAACTATTACAAAAACTTTAACGTAAATTCTAAGTCGAAAAAGGGGCATAATTCTGTCAAAATACTTGATAGAGTTACCTCCTCCTGTCTACAGGTTGGGGTCATGCTGGTGAACAAGTGTGCAAAGTTTCAAAGCCATATGTCAATGGACTTTGAAAATATTTGAACTATTACAAAAACTTTAACGTAAATTCTAAGTCGAAAAAGGGGCATAATTCTGTCAAAATGCTTGATAGAGTTACCTCCTCCTGTCTACAGGTTGGGGTCATGATGGTGAACAAGTGTGCAAAGTTTCAAAGCCATATGTCAATGGACTTTGAAAATATTTGAACTATTACAAAAACTTTAACATAAGTGGTTACGCCGACGCCGACGCTCGGGTGACTGCAATAGCTCTACTTATTCTTATCGAATAGTCGAGCTAAAAACCAGGGATAAAATAAGTGCTGTAAGTAAGACAGCTTGCTCAACTGTTCAGTGTTTTTCAGTACTTGACAGAAAGAAAATAGGCATAAATCTGTAAAATGCTAACTCAGAGTTATGGAAACCTGGGCCTATCATGTTAGATAATGTCAGAAAATAGGTATTTAAAGTTTCAACAAATTCCCTTCAGAAGGCCTGGAGATAAAAACTTGCACACAGAAACTTGATCAAAGTGTGACGCCCATGCCAGGCTGAGAACAATAGCTCTCCCTATTCTGCGTAATATAACATGGCAAAGTTATCTTTACAACAACAGCCTCTTAGGTTGACTAACAACTTACTGGAGTAAGTAAAAAGTGTTTCTGGTGAGCTCATTTTCCCATCACCACCGACACTGTATCCCAGCACTCGTAGATGATATAGGTAACCTTCTTGTATTTTATGTATAGTTCCCTCCGTGTCTTTCCCTATATATATGTCTGTTGCATTACGAATATCTTCTGTATCTCTCCAATAACGTATCTGTAAAACATGCATTCATTAAAATCTTCAACCACATAACTATAAAATACGCTTACTATAATAACAAATTTGCTGTTTCATTTAAACAATAAAATATTTGTATTAAGCAATAAGCAAAAATTACAGTCTGGACAGAGTGCTTTTCCAGTAAAACTAATACAAAGGGGTAATTCGATAAAATATATCTTAAAAAATCATGTTGCGGGTTCTGTTACCTTTCATAAAAAAAAGTACTTGCCTTGTAACCAAGCAATGGTTCTTCATCTACAGTTGTACTAACACCTCGGAACCTCACCAGTATGGAATTTTCCTCATTTGGAAAAACCAGGATGTGAACAGGATAATTTCGGGGAGCTAAAAAACAACAAAATAAACCAGCAATATTATAAAAACATCCTTTTAACTTCTCTGTGTTTATGTGTTTTACACTCATTTTCAAGAAACAAAAAGAATAAAATTATACAAACAATATTTCAAAAACTTCTTGCAGCTATAAGAAATAAAACTGGTAACTTCTAAATACCATTTAATTATGTTTAAATTTAACATCTGAAACATTCTATCAATTGATTATCATTATATTTTAACATTAACAAAATGATATTAAACAGTGCAATTTTCCTCTATTTGCATAATGAAATCTGTATACAATAATTCTACCAATGAAATTCATGCTGTCATATTATTCGCAGAAACATTTAAAGCATTTTAACAAAAGATGATTAGTTTGAGTATAGTATGTTTTAACAAGCAGGTTAAAAGACAAAACAAAGAGACAACAAAATAAAATTGAAATGCAAAAAAAAATGCAATGTAAATAAATATGGGTTAAGTAATTTTTTTAACTTATGCATTCATAAATATGTTGTTATAAGACTGACATGCTGGCCCTAACTCACACCTGAAATTCAGAACTAGAAAAAGACCAATGCCTAATAAGACATTGTGTCACATTGGGGAGGGGCCATTTCTTATCCTATTCATAAAACTTTTGTAAAGTCTGCTAGGCAATACTTAAGGCCATGTACTTTAAGAGAAGATTTAAATCAATTTTGTTAAGGGCAGGGCCAATATTGATACTTGGACCTTGACTTATATGAGGACCACAAGGTGATGTTATATGCATATTTCAAAGCTCTTATCTTTGTAGTTTCTGAGCAGAAAATACATTGTTCAGTTGTACCTGCCCTTACAGTCACATTATAATTATCCCCAGACAACTTTTGTCATTTCATATTACTCCTGCAAAATCCTATGTAACATATAAATTTTGTCTGATGTGTATATTTCTAAGGCACAATGAATACATGTGACCGTACATAGAACTTTGATGAAAGAAAGCAATACTTTGACAAACACTTGTATGTAACCTGGGGGAGATGGGGGCATTAATACCAGTTCATTATAATGAACATGTTACCATAATACCAAGACTGATTCAAATGACTATTTTTGAAAGCTATATACAGTCTAACATGGGCTTACAGTCACTTCTGAGTAGCAATCACTTGCAATTAACAGTCATGTTGATATTTTAAAAAAAATTTAAACATTCGGTTTATAAGATACAAAGTGGACACAAATAACTAACAGACAGATGAACAGACAATCAAGGGTATGTCATTATATGCTGAAAATTTTCTTGTGTATGGAAAATAAACAAACAAGGTATATTAAATAAAGACAATACCCTCAAACCATTATTTTACTCAGGGATTTAATTACACAGGATAAAACAAGGAATAATGTGTTTGTTCTCATTAAGAAGTGTGTTGTGTATAAAAGATCTACTTTATTAATGAATCTGTGATGGCCAACATTAAAAGTTGTCAACAAATACGCATAAAAAAGACAAAATGAACCCTTTTTCTATTCACCATAAAAAATCTGCAAAAATGCGAACTAACTAAAGTGGCTATAAATAAGCATAAAACCAAAAATTGAAAAAGCTGGATACATCAGATTCTATCAAATTATGAACTCTTTGTATTGAATGCAGAATAATGTTTTAAAACCTCATATTATACTTTCAAATTTCCTACTACAACCTTGGCAACTCCCCAAAAAGATCAATAATTTCATTTTCATTGTTGAAAGTACAGTCATGTACATATGTACAAGAAAAAGTAATTTTCTATTCCTAAATCTCATCTAATTTTTTATCCTTTAAGCACCTACATGTTAACTCGTAAAAAAAAAACCTAATAATAAAAAGTTTAATATTGACAAAGCTTGGAAACAAAACTATTGAATCAAGATGATAAATAAATCCAGCTTTAAAGTGACATTATACCCATTCAACGGGTATATAGGGAGTGAACAGGTAAAAATAAAAAAAAAGTTGTCATTATCCCTTTTAATGTTATAATTTTCTTTGCATGAACGATAAATAACTCACATCCCCACCCCCCAAATGCCTGTTAGTGTCCATCAGAATTTACCTGTAACCTTCGATTTATAAAAAGATTGGGGAAGTCTTTTTACATTTTACACAAATTGATACCTCACCCTAAACATTTTCCAAAATAAACTGTTAGTCAATCACTAGTATAAGACAATCTTTAAAAATATATAGTCAATTCAGCTTAACTTGACAAAGAAAACATGGGCATAATGTCACTTTGACTATCTTTACACTGACACAGAAAGTCCATAAAAAAATCTTTACAACAAATAAAGCATAAGCAGGCTACATGTAAAACAATACAGTCATATACACTGTGCATTGATCAAACCTGCTTTGTCAGTTTTCTGGTGAGCCACCTCGCTCTTAAGTCCATTGCCAGCATTGTTAAATACTGTCACAGTCATTGTATACCATGTATTATTTGTTAGCCCAATAATCATTCCCTCGTTAATGGCTCCATAAAATACTGCTTGTTTAGCATCAATACGGTTTTCAATATTTTGTATAGTTTGTGAGTTTCTTGTACTGTTTGGAGGCCTCAGCCAGTAATCAATCTACAAAATCATAAAGAAATCATCATAAGCATGGTAACAAACAAGTGTACAAACAAATGCATCAAGTTTACCTGATTTATCGGTTGACTGGTGAACCACCTCACTTTTCAAACCATTACCGGCATCATTAAACACAATAACAGACATAGTGTACCACGTATCAGGTTGTAGTCCAATGATCATTCCGTGATCAACATTGCCATATAAAACTGTTTGAAGTGCTGCATCACGATTATCTATGTACTCCTGAGATGCTTGGGAATTACGTGATCCATTTTCTGACATCAGCCAATAGTCTATCTAAAAGCGAGGGTAAATAAGGCAAGATAGCATGATTAATACATGTATATATTAGCATATTCTCGGTCAACATTATACAGCAAAAGAAGCCAATTTCCTTATGAGACTAGTGGTACATGTATAACCCAGCATGGTATATTAAGTTTAAGTGCCTGTGTATAAAGTTTCCATGCCAGAGTTAAAAGCCTGTAAATGTCTCACATCCACAAAAGGCCCTAATTCAGTCAAAATCCATGCTAGAGCTGTAGGCTGTAAATAGTGACCTTCAATAATGATCAGGTAGACATGTATTGAAACAAAAGTTGCAGACATTGGCTTTACAGCTTCATATTTTAACAGAGGCAACAATAATCCATTGAAAAGAGAAATTAAAGAATTTTATATCAAGATCTTTTGTGCAAGATTAAGCACTAGGGGACAGCAATTCTCAGAGAATTTTCTTCTCTCTCTCTCTAGATTGTTGTAACATCAGGTACACACTTCTGGTTATGAACAAAACAAATTTTCATCAACTATGACTTTCGTTTATCTTAAGACATATTCCACTAATAAATATGTAATAAGATAAATCAATCACAAGTTTTAGTTATGTTGGTAAACATGGAAAAGATGACAGTATGTTTTGGATAAATTAAGAATTGTTTCCTCATCTGTCAGTTCATCCAACAGAAATTTCTGCTAAAAATGGGCAGCTGTTTTTCAACTATAAAATTATTATTGAATACAAATTATAATAAACTGCTGCCAGGGTATATTTCCAAATCATAGTTATCTGTGTGCAACTCAGATATAGGTAAAGAAAAAAGTTTATATCTTATGTAATTAACTATAATTCAGAGCAACAGATAAGGTGCGTATTTGCGTATTTACACAATTAATTTTATAAAATACGCAATTGATTTTTTTAGAATGCGTATCAAAACCCATTTAAATAAATAAAATACGCAATTGTCTTGCCTCATGCGTATTGTCATTTTCATCACTGCAAAATTAACCTGTCATAACTGGTAGTTTTGGACAAATTATATGGATATGCATCCTATCCGAATATCTCCAAATCAAATGCTAACTAATCGACGGTCTCCGGTCTTCGACGGTCCCTGGTTTCCAAAGACCGGCGAAGCCATATCAATAAAGCAAGAGACCGTCGATTTGTATAATAATCTACTCAGGTTGACAGTCTTTACAGACCGGCAGAGACCGTTGATTTTGTGGGGACCGTCCAAGCTGTATCAATAGACGCTTTGAAAGCAATATGGCATCATACAAAAGGTGATGAAAGAAAACAAAAAATTTTTTAAAACAAAACAGTTGTAAATAATCAAAAGTCAGTCAGAAAAAGAATGTGTTAAAAATATTTTGAACAATTTTTTTATGTTCATAAACAAAAATAACTGGCACATTCTGGCGATCATGTAAATAATAATAATAAAAAACATAATCTGAAAATATTAAAACTAGAAATTTCCTGGAACCATACAGTATGTTTATTTCAGAAGTAAACTTGATAAACCATGGGCTAAAAAGTAGACACTTTACTGATTTTTTTATCCTTGGCCAGGCATTTGAAGGAAATGAACACGGAATCATAAACACATTAAGAGCATAATTGCACTTAGGATATTTTTATTTGAAAAAGATAATAGAGTCTAGTTAAATACTTAGTACAAAATATGATGGATTATTTATCAGTTATACAAAACTGTTATAAAATGACGTACTTGTATTTGGTAAATGGTGCAGCTAAGGATAAATGATTTCCAGTGACAACATACAGACATGAAAATGTAATCAACCTAACTTTTATTTGAAATCATGCATAGATCTGACATGTGCATTTTTATATAAACATTAAACAGTTGTAAAAAGTTTTAGTAAATTGTTATGTAAGTAGCTCCAACTTTCTTTTTAAAACAGTTTAAAAAACATAAAATGCATATCTTTATATTTGAATACCCAATTGACTTTAAAATCATAAGGTATCGAGTTTTGGAATACCCAATTAAATGGAGCCAATACCCAATTCCATAGAAATGATGGAGAAATACACAATTCACATTCAAAGCTTATCTGTTGCTCTGTATATATTACATCTAGTTTTACAATCCCTTCTAGGCTGACTAAACATCAAGACATCTCTTATATAAATCATGTTTGTGACAATCCATCACTTTCGGATATTTTCTAAATATTAAACTAAGTTACAAATCTGTAAAATACATAGTGAGTTGTTAATTATAAAAAGAAAATCTTTATTGTAAGTCTAAAAGTGGGTATCAATCAACACCCTATTCATGTCTACATGGGGCCAGAACTTGTGTGAATAAGTATAAATTTCATTTTATGATGCTGTTTTTCTGTATCTCCTTTCACTTTAAATTTCAAGAAAATATCTTTATTTTTATTTTTTTTTGTTCTGGGTTTTACGTCACACCGACACAGCATAGGTCATTTGGCGACGTTCCTCCTTTACTGGTGGAGGAAGACCTCATTATTTCAGGCACGAACGGGCACCTGAGTAGAACCACCGACGTTCCGTAAGCTAGCTGGATAGCTTCCTCACATGAAAGAATCCAAAGTCCCTGTCGGGATTCGAACCCACAGCGATGAGGGGCAAGTGGTTTGAAGTCAATGACCTTAGCCACTCGGCCACAGGCGCCCCTTAAGAAAATATATTCACAGTTAATTAGATATGAAGTTGTACCAGAGGCTGCACATAAAACTTTAACCAACATGTTACACAGATTCCCATTGAGTTTCATAGATACACCAGTTTCTCAAATAGTCTACTTAAAGATGTACAAAGTAAATAGTTATGTATTAAGTCAAAAAGTCAGGTGAAATTTCGAAAAATGATAAAATTACTCCATAGTTTTTATGTTCACATTTTGTAGATGAAATTCAAGACTGTGACAATCTGAAAACACAAAAAAAAGTTGTTTACCTTAAACCCTTTCAGCTGGCCCTTCATAAAAGTACGGTCTAGAGGAACAGGGTCCCAGTGTACAATAATAGCTGACTCATTGTAAGGTTCAGCATACAAATTACTTGGTATTCCTATTGGCACTGTAAACAAAACAATACAAAAAAAATTGACTCAAGATTACTTTTAATTTTCAACAACAGTAAAAACATTTCCTATGAGGGTAGTTATAGGCTTGGTTGATGGTATATGACCCTTTAAATATAAGAGGAAATAAGAAAGTGTTTGGTAAACACAAAAGCCCCTGGCCTAGATTCTTGTCAGTTACAAATTTTCAAAAAAAAGTTTACCCATTCACTTAGTTATGGATGGAAATTTGGCCAAATAAATTGTAAACACAATTATATTACTTGACAGTCATTGTGAAAAATAAATGTTTGTATGACATTATTTGATGAAGTAAAAATAATATTGAAGCCGCAGTTATATAACTTGCCAAGATCATGAACTTTGTATTGATTAGTAAGAAATGTTTAAATTATGAAGCCATTAATACTTGTAGAACTTGAGATAAATGCAACTTGCCAGTTTAGGTTAACCTCATAAGGACAAATTTTAAGTGACAGACAGACGGTTCATTACTATTTGCAAAGGGGCCTTAAAAACCCAATAACAATGGATTCCTTTAATTTTGAGGCACATCACAAAATTAAATCAGCAAAATGATTTTTTTTAGCACACATAGTGTAGTTTTACAAACTTACTAGGATTTATTTAGAAATATCTGCAAGAATAGCACAACAAAGTTGTTAGTACACTGGTTCTCCATTATAACACTCAAGTTGGGGGCCAAGATTTATGGACTGATGTATTAAACATATATCAAGGTCATATTGTTGACAGGTTAAGCACAGATCGCTGATCCAGAGTATTGAGCCGGGACAATCAGGACCACAATGCTGTCTTGTTAAACACTAGTATAATATAAGGGCAAGACATGTCCATTAAATAAAGGCAGGGACAGAGAGGGTGTGAGATGAGCAGGAGGGGACAGCGGATAAACTTACTGTCTTCGTGAGATGAGCGGAGGGGACAGCGGACAAACTTACTGTCTTTGTGAGATGAGCAGGAGGGGACAGCGGATAAACTTACTGTCTTCGTGAGATGAGCAGGAGGGGACAGTGGATAAAATTACTGTCTTTGTGAGATGAGCAGGAGGGGACAGCGGATAAAACTTACTGTCTTCGTGAGATGAGCAGGAGGGGACAGCGGACAAACTTACTGTCTTCGTGAGATGAGCAGGAGGGGACAGCGGACAAACTTACTGTCTTCATGAGATGAGCGGGAGGGGACAGCGGACAAACTTACTGTCTTCATGAGATGAGCGGGAGGGGACAGCGGATAAACTTACTGTCTTCATGAGATGAGCGGGAGGGGACAGCGGACAAACTTACTGTCTTCATGAGATGAGCAGGAGGGGACAGCGGATAAACTTACTGTCTTCATGAGATGAGCAGGAGGGGACAGCGGATAAACTTACTGTCTTCATGAGATGAGCAGGAGGGGACAGCAGATAAACTTACTGTCTTCATGAAATGAGCAGGAAGGGACAGCGGATAAACATACTGTCTTCATGAGATGAGCAGGAGGGGACAGCGGATAAACTTACTGTCTTCGTGAGATGAGCAGGAGGGGACAGCGGATAAACTTACTGTCTTTGTGAGATGAGCAGGAGGGGACAGCGGATAAACTTACTGTCTTCATGAGATGAGCGGGAGGGGACAGCGGATAAACTTACTGTCTTCAGCAGAGTAGACACTATCATTCTGTGCTGTTGGACCCACTCCAAATTTATTAAATGCTGTGACCTTGACCTGATACAACAGATAGTAGTTATCTTTCCCAACCAGAGCTGATGCTTCACTTCCATTCCCTTGTACTTCAATCTATTAGATAAATTAACAAATGATGATATATATATATCCTGATTTCTGATGTGAAGTCATGATGTGATGATGTCAAAATGGAGAATGTGCAACTTTTCGCGGCAAAATCAGTAAAAATACATAAAATCACTAAAAAAGCAAGAAATAAAAAGAAAATTTATTTGTTTTACATGTAAGATTGAGATATATTTTATTCGTGAACACCAGCTATTCCCGCATGGCTATGCCATTCATGGAAATATTGCATCTGGTGTTCACTCAATGAAATATATTTCAATCTTACATGCAAAAAACAAACAAATATCGTCTATATATCTATTTTTCTTTTTTAACAAAATTTATATAACCTAATTTCAACTCTTCTAAAATAAAACACAATTTAAATTAAAATTCAATACTTTAAAAATGAGAATCTAAGACTTAATATATGTATATATGTAAAATATAGAGGCATACTTTATTCCATTTGATATTAGAAGTAAGCTCCTCTCCAGGTGGTGGTCTCCTTCTGTACTCCACAATATAACCAATACCCCATCCATTATGATCCTCTGGTGGTAATGCCTTCATAAAGAAAAACAGTCTGTTGTGAAAACAGTCTTTTATCCATCCATGTGAATTCATGTTTAACTTGCATTGCTAAACTGCACTTATTTATCATTCTTCATTTCAAGAACAGTATCATTGTAACTGAAAACAGTCTAAAATCAACTCATTCACCATAATTAAATAATATCATCAAGCAAAGAACAAGAGCGATCAGAGATCACATGTGTCGCATGATCATAGCCAATTCAGCAGTGGTATTGAGGGGTGTTTGGACAGTTTGTTCCCTATATGTCGCGGCTACTTTGAAGCATGTTGCAGCTAATGTGTAGCAGGAGACACAAAAATCATTAATAGGCCAAAACGCTTTTTTAATCAAGGGCCATAACTCAGCCAAAAATCATTCAACCAAAAAACCCATGTAATTTGCACAGGTACTTGAGGTGCCAATTAATCCTGTAAAGTTTCACTCAAATTGCACAAGTAGTATAAGAGAAGTAGTTCGGAAAAAACTTTGAAACATAAAAATAATTAATGGGCCATAAATCTGACAAAAATCATTAAATTGGAAAATGCTGATGACATGTACATTTTAGGATTAGTCCGGACAAGTTTTGTGAAAGACAGATGGGTGGGCAGACAGGTAGACAGACGATGGAAAGTAATCTACATGGCTATTTTGCAGAACATAAAAATCATTAAAGGGTTATAACTTTGACAAAATTCATTTGACGGAAAAATGCCGAAAACATGCACAACTAGGATTGATACTTATCATTCCAGGAATGATTGGGTGAAATTGCACTAGTAGTTTTTGAGGAGTAGTCCAGGCAAATTTTGTGTATACAAATGGACATATGGACAGACAGACAACAGAGAAGTGATCCCTATATGTTGCTGCTACTCTGTAGCTGGTAACAAAAAAAAAACACACAAAAAAATGCTTGTGTTACTTTACAGGGACTCTACTGAAGTTCAATATTCTAAGTTAAAGCTCTGTCATGTCAAAAACTTCAGTGAAGACTGTTTAACAATAAAGCAGACACATCTATCAGATGTACAATTATATAGGTGTGTAGAAGTGAATACTTACATCCCAGGTCATTCTTAGTGTACCCACACTACCACCACCCCCTCCAACATTCCTAGGAGGTTTAGTTGGATGAGAACCTGGTATTGTAGTTCGTTCTGAAACAAAAAATATATATCCATTTAACAATTGTAAAGCATCTATCTAGAAATATAACATGTACAGTGTATTACTCTTACACTTACTCTTTTTTAAAAATAACTATAACAGTTAAAATTATCAAAATATCTTTCACAGTGATGGAGCAAGATAACATGTCACTAGCGACAACATAGGCAAAAGACCGTGCGTTGTAATTTGATTACTGTCAACACTAATTGACTATCACTTGTCGTAAGGAGTTTTGTTCTAAATATTGACATGTGGTTTTACTAAATTAATAACGGTTAATGGATGTTGATAAGTAATAGCTCTGAAATGAGTGGGATTATCTATGTAACGGCTTTTCTTTATTGATAGACAACAAAGGATTATTGGGATATTTCTTTCACATACAAAAGTGCTTACATAATACCCCAAAAGATGTTCATTGAGCCAACATTACTTTTTGAGACAATCCGAAATTTAGACCACCCCACTATTAAGACCATTTTCTCCAGAACCACAAGGGGTTATACTGTAAAAAGTTTAGACATGTATATCAATTTTAAAATTGGAAAAGTATTCCAAGTTTAAAGAGTGTACCTTTGATAGTCTTTGAGAACCATCTTTTGTGTGTTTTCTCTTGCTTGTAAAATGTCTTACTAACAGTTTAAAAAAAAAACTGCAGCTTTAGATTTTTTATTGTTTTCACCACAATCAATGTGCTGCAATACAGGTTGAATGTTTCACAATATATCAGAATGTGGGTTTGAACATATTATATTGTTACACCCTACAAATCAAAAGAAAGAATCTTTAAAAAAAAAAACAAGGATGAAACAAGCATACTTGTGGGTTCGCTTTCCAGTCCCACGCCGTACATGTTAACTGCTTTAACTTTGAATGAATATCCGACTCCTGGACTAAGATTCCGTGCCAAGAATTGGCGTCTCTGTGAATCAACAGATCCCATGATCACTGTGTTCATCTGAGGTATATCTGCAAAAACATGGAGAAATCACCCATGTACAAGTCATTATTGGTAATTTAAGTTTAAACATGTACTGCACAATTATTGTGATAATATAAAATACCAGCATGGCTAATGGAAATATTTGCATGTTGAAAGTGTAGGACTTAAAGCCTATATTAAGTCTCCCTTCATATAATAGGTGTGAAACTTCCTTATAATTCAGACCAAAATATTGCTACAAAAAATAGGGTGTATTCCAACAATGGATTTCACAAAAAAACATTAATATCTTTATCAATTTAAAGAAATACTACCCGGGTGTAGATTTTCCGAGGTTTATGAAAAAAACCATGGAAACTGCTTCAAAAACCTTGGAAATAAACCAGTTTTACAAGGTTTTTTTTTAATTCCGAGGTTTTTTTTAAAACCTTGAAAACTTTATCCAAGGTTTTTGTATAAAAATCCTTGGAAATAAAGAAAACCTTGGAAACTACCTCAGAATTAAACACTCTGCCAAAAATCAGCTCGGAAAAAGCTTGGAAATAAGAACTTTGTCATTTTTTTGCTCGGAAAAGAACTTAGAAAATTTACGTAAAATTTGTTGGAAACACTTTGCCAATATTTAGCTTGGAAATGACCTCGGATAATTGAACTTAACTAAATTTCATCTCGGAAAATGTTAAGACATAATCATGATTTAACTTATAATGGGCATCAAAAGCAATAATCAACAGTTAAAGCAAACTAAGATAACAACCCGACTGTAGATTGCCAATGGATATTATTTAATCCATGGTCAGAGCAAACAATTGTCCAACAGCATGGAAAGGAGAGATTTGGTCCAGGGAATCAATTTTTAGTATGGACATTGTCAATGGCCAACTTCCTTTTCAATAAATTTGTACTTAAATCTTCTGAAGCCATTTTTTGGGGAGGAATCAATTAAGAAAATTTAAGTGTGAAAACATGGAAAAGTTAAATACAATGTAAATTCCTTGTTGCCATAAAATACCTTTTATTAATGGCTATAAAGGTATTGTAACTAATCAAAATAAGTGGAGATTATTCAAATAACTGATGATCAGAAAGACTTGAAAATTTTTTTTTTTATTTTCATATTTTTTTTTATTATTTATAATTATTGTTACTAGATATCTTCTCCATTTTTAAGAATAGATAAAAGAGCAAAACTTATAATTATAGAAAAAGAAACAATCAGTGTTTATGTCTATTAGTTTCCAAATGCATCAGTATTTTTCCTGCAGTTTCTTTCTATATATAGACTTAACTTAGGGTTTCTTGACAGCCTGTAAGCAACACTGAAATAAGAATGCTATTAATCTTTAATATATGTTTTATGCCATATAAAATAGTATATTCTACTAAGCAAGTCTGTGACATACATTCAGATTACAATTTACTCTGCCATTAATTATGTGTACAATAAACATAAATAGTTATTAATTGTCCTTTAAATATAATTATGTACAATTGAATGTCTGAAATATAATAACCAGTATGCTTGTTAATTTCTTATAATTAGGATAAATAAATACTGCATCCACTAAGATTTCACACACAGAATATAACACACTGATCAGATAAAACTAATGGCACCCCAGGTGGTTCCCTTTATCTATGCATGATCAATCTTCTCATTGAGCATTCTGGGATAGACCAGATTGTTCCATGTGATTATTCAGGGGGAGTCTGGGTTTTTATACAATCCAAAACAGTCTAAAATGACACTGCAACTGTGATTCTCTTTCAAGAACTTATTATAATTTTCAAGTTTTACTTTTATTTATCATTTGATATATTTGTACCTTCAATAAATGTCAAAAAAAAATGATGATGGCTTTGATATTTTGGGATCACCCCTGTTTCACATTATGATTGCCCCTTCAGTTATACTGTTGAAAAATTTGAATCTCAGACATTAATGGGTCAAGTGGTTATAGTTGGAAATAGTGCAAACCTGGATTTATTTAAAGCAATTATGGAGATATCTTGTTTTATTAATGTTAGGGAGCATATTTTGGAATTTTCAAAGAAAACATTTATCTAAGTGTGACAAGATTCAGGAAATGTTTGGTTGTTGTAATTGAACCTAAAGATCAATGACCTGGGACAGGAAGATAAACAAAAGAAACAAGATAGTTAAAATGTTCAGGTAAATAATTTTAGATACATTTATGCATAAAATCTGTTGTTGTTTTTTTTTTCAAATAAGTATTAAATACAAACTATTTTAGATCTATATTTTTAACCTAAATGTAAGCTAGTTTAAATACAATTGTTTAGAGGATATTTTATGAGTATAAATGCTATGTTTGTATATGATTGTATTGAACAAGATGAGTGCATTAAACTATGATGACATTATTTATAAACTTTCATCTTTCATCTATTATTTGAATCTACAAATTTTTAATTGCAGAGTCAGCTTGTAAGCAAGTTTGCAGGACTGTTCCAAACTATCCAGCTTTGCTGTGTTTTATCTTAGTATAAAGCAGAGGAATATACTGGAATGTCATTGGCATTGGCACCTTCAAAGTCAAGTGATTAAGGAAGCCAACTGCAGACCTGAGGAAAGGCTTCAAGGAATAATTACTACAGTATGTTTTTGTTTAAAAACTAGGTTTTGAAAGTTTCAATTTGAAATTTGAATGAATGAAGGTTTCTGGAACTGATTTTTTTATTGATAATTTGTTGGAAATGCTATTAATGTATCATGATGACTCTCCAGCTTTATTGATGCAGATGTCACTTTGAGCAGACAGATACAATTAGTGTAGGCAGTCGGAATCACCTGATGAAAAGCGTTATTTTTTGCAATATTTTTGGAGTGCTTTAGGTTGTAACATCCAGTATGACATAATCTAAAATAATAGTAACAGACATCGCTTCTTTTCTTCATCGCAGAATTGTCACACTGCTTACCAAAGTTTTCTTGAAATCCTAACACCACGGAGTTGAATAGATCTATAGATGTATGTAGATCTGTGCTAACACTTAAAGTACTGATGAAGAAAAAATAGAAATCAACATGAAAAAAATTAAATTCACTATTTCAAAACAGTAGACAAACATTTAAAAGTAACTACAGAAAAGGTCATTTGAAAATATTAAAGCTTTCATTTTAAGCAAAGGTCTTAAACAACTTGTCATTCAAGTAGTTTTGGATCACTCAAAAGATGTATTTCTTTTCACAAAAGTGCTGATTTTTTAAAACAATATATATCAACAGTGAACTGATATTTTTGTCTATGGAAACGTTTAAGGAACGTATCATTTTTTTTATTGATTAATAAAAAAGAAATTAAATGATGTAATTCTGATTGCCTACACATACTGAACTGTCCTGAGTATAACCACAGGTGTTCCTTAATCCAGGGCTGGATAGCTCCCTCAGAGGGAAGAAGCCCATCCTGGCTTCAGGAGTCAAAAATACAATGTTCAAAAATACAATGTTGTAAGGCAAGAAGTTTGAAGTCTTTGATCCTGACCACATGGAGAGGGAAGCGCCCAGTGGTGATTTTATATAATTGTTTTTCTAACTTCTTTCAATGGCTGTACTTTATTAAATATTTACTTTATTTATTTCAGAAATTGTATCCTGGAGCATTTTCCACATGTGACCCCTGTGATGGTGAGGGAAAAACTAAGGGACACTTTAAAATCATGGAGAGTGAACAGGAATTCAAAAGATAGATATTTGAATACATTAAAATATAGCCGGATACCAAAAAATTATAACTGAACATTGATTGTAATATTTACCATTAAAGACTATAACTAACTTAACTTTTCATTTGTAGTGCATTACTATTTACTTCACACTGACATTAAATGTTTCAGTGAGTCATGTGATCATTTTTTGCTCTGTATTATTATAAAGAATTTTCTTAATTCCTTAAAAGGACAATATAATTGCTCTTTTCAGAATATTTCATTGGATGTTATATTTTCTTATTTTCCATGGATATTCTAGAAATTTCCAAGGTTTTTGCTCAAATAAACCTTGGAAAATTCTCTGATGCCCTTAAGTAAGAATCCTCGAAAATATAACAGTATTCCCAGTTGTGAGAAACTTTCCGAGGTTTTCATTTAAAAACCTTGGAAAAAAAACCACGGAAACACTTTAAAAATCCTTGGAAATCGTTCCAATACTCCGAGGTCACTCATTTTCCAAGGTTTTCTAAAAAAAATCCTCGGAAATTATTTTACGAGGTTTTTATTCTGAAATCCTTGGAAATCGTTCCAATACTCCGAGGTCATACTTTTTACGAGGTTTTTTTTAATAAAAACTCGGAAATTTTTTACAAGGTTTTTCACCCTCTCCCTATCTTTCCAAGGTTTTTTTTAATAGCAAAGTTTTGCATTTTCTTGTTCCAATACTCCGAGGTTTTTTTCCAAGGTTTTTGAGCCAAAAACCTTGGAAAATCTACATCCGGGTATGGTCATATTTGATAAGAAAACATTGATAATTGCTACACAGTCACTTTGCAAATATAAAATAAACATGTTTTGACTTCACAAAAAGTAGATAAATTATGTTATGTTTAAAATTCTACACACTATATGTGGTCATAATATGAATATATGGTGCCATTTAAAAAACTGGCAGTTTTTAAGGAAAAGACCAACTTTATGGTGCCATTTAAAAAACTGGCAGTTTTTAAGGAAAAGACCAACTTTATGGTGCCATTTAAAAAACTGGCAGTTTTTAAGGAAAAGACCAACTTTATGGTGCCATTTAAAAAACTGGCAGTTTTTTAGGAAAAGACCAACTTTGCTTGACCTGTTATAAGGAATGCAACTTCTGATACATTTAATCATTCTTTTATTCAAATTAGACATATTCAGTAAGAATTTTAATAGATTTTAATAAATTTCTGTTATTGAAATATTTTACTAATTCAAGGATGATGAGCATAGAATATCTTTAAATTTTGATAAAAACAAGATAACACATATACTTTGGATAATGTCAGGTATTCAAATAAAAAGTTTGTTTGGTTGTTTCAATAAAGGTCGCCTTATGAAAACTTACATGAGAAATACTTCTTAATTTTTAACAAGGGACAAAATGTGTGTGATACACTGGTAATAATGTTTCTGGGTTGCTAGTCAAGGGTTCAAGGCCTATCTGTGATACTTCCACTTTCCTCGAGCAAGAACTTCAGTTTACACAGCTCAACTTCAGTGTAAATTAGTAGCTAAGAAGGTAGTAAAATTATGTGATAGCATTATGAGGGCTGTCTTAAGTGAGATTGATAAATGGATTATCCAAATAAATTAGAGTAAATGCCCAAAAATCAAAACATTTTCTTCTCTTTATAAATAACATGTTTTAAAGATTTCAAGTTCATTTAACCCATTACTTCATGAGCATTTTGTGAACAAGAGCTGTCACAGGAGACAGCCAAGCTCGACTAATAAAATACTGGACGCAGTAAGGAGGACAAAACTATGAAAGAAAAATCAATTATGTATTATTATGTATTAAGTTATAGTAAAAAAATAACATTTGTTAACATAAATTCCAAGATCAAGGGAAATAATTCTAGAAAAAGTCACGCTAGAGTTATGAACCATGTCACACAACATGTGTGTTATGATAAATATATATTTGAAGTTTGAAGTAGATACCTTAAAAAGTAAAGAAGTTATAATATTTCTTAAAGAAAATCCTAAGTTCAAAGAGAGATAAATCTGTGAAAATTGCTTCAAGAGTTATGAACATTGTCACATAAAATGTAATTGATGATAAGGAATAAGTATTTGAAGTTTGAAGTAGATACCTTTAAAACTAAAAAAGTTATAGTAAAAAATAACATTTTTCTAGTAAAAAAATCTAAGTTTATGGGGAGATAATTCTTGCAATATTGGTGCTAGAGTTATGAACCTTGTCACATAAGATATGGATGATGATAAGGTACATATATTTGAAGTATGAAGTTGATCCCTTTAGAAATAAATAAGTTACAGTAAAAAATAATAGTTTTTTTAAGGAAAATTCTAAGTTCAAGGGGAGATAAATCTGAAATTATTTGTGCTAGAGTTACGAACCTTGTCACATAAGATGGGGATGATGATAAGGTACATACATTTGAAGTATGAGGGTAATTTCCTAAGAAATAAAGAAGTAACAGTAAAAAATATTATTATTTTTTATGGAAAATTCTAAGTTCAAGGGGAGATAAATCTTAAAAATATTGGTGCTAGAGTTATGAACCTTGTCACATAAGATGGGGATGATGATAAGGTACATTTATTTGGAGTATGAGGGTGATCCCTTAAGAAATAAAGAAGTTACAGTAAAAAATAGTATTTTTTAAGGAAAATTCTAAGTTCAAGGGGAGATAAATCTGAAAATATCAGTGCTAGAGTTATGAACCTTGTCACATAAGATGTGGTTGATGATAAGGAACATATATTTGAAGTTTGAAGTTGATACCTTAAGAAATGACAAAGTTATAGTGAAAAATATTTTACTGCACCAAAACTTTAATCTGAAATCTGGACGCGGACGCCGACGCCGGGGCGAGTAGGACAGCTCTCCATATACTTTGTATAGTCGAGCTAAAAATGGCTGTTTTCATTGAAAAGTCTCCCGTTACAAGTTCAAATTGCTATAATACTATAAAAACTGCTTCAACACTAATCAAACTTGGCACAAATGTTGACTGGACCATTGCCCTTGCAATAACACGCTCAGGTTTAAATTTTCTGTTACCATGGCAACGAGGGGACATCTCAAAATTGCCAAAAATCACTATTTTGCGTTGATTGTTTCCATCAAAATTGATTTCAAAGTGTTGCAACTTCTCAATGGATTGAGATAGAGTGAAATGCTTTTCAGCGTTGGTTACACGTTACCTTATGATCAATCTGGGGTCATTTATAGCCTCTCACAAGTCCAAAATTTTCTTGGCGATGAGGGGGACTCTGCCCCCCTTCAAACCCCCCAAACAGAAGTGGGCACATCCCCCTTCTGGCAACCCCCTGATGTATCTTTTGGTTGGGGGGTAGGCCGAAAAAATGGTCACTTTTTTTAACAACATTTCTCAAACAAAAACAAGTGTTGGGAGCCTAAATAAGGCATTTTTTCACCATTTGAGATAACAAAAGGAGGGGGGGGGGGAAAGGCATGTATATGTAATGGGTTAAACAAAAGATTATCCTGTTTATTTTTGAAGATTTTGCTATTATTAATTCTAACTAGAAATTATCTTGTTACTTAAACAAGAACCGGTTGAACCGGGTGATGCTCCCCGAGAAGGTTCTGGACACAGGAAAGTATAAAAAAAATTAACAAAGGGCAAAAACTCCAAAATTAGGCAAAGCGGAGTTATGTTTTTTTGCACTGCACTTCTATTCAATGAGATCTATCTATCTATAAAGTTTCCTGATGATATCAGAGTTATGTCCCGGGTAAAAGTCAAAGTGTAAAAATGAACAAAGGGCAATAACTTCAAAATTAGACCAGGCTTTGTTTAGGTTCTTTAAGCATTGCAGTTCTATCCAATTATATCTAGCTACCTACAAAGATTCATGTTGATATCTCTAATAGTTTTAAAGTAATGTCCAGGACAAAAGTCAAAAAGTAAAAATAAACAAAGGGCAATTACTTCAAAATAAGGCAAGGCAGAGTAATGATTCTTAAGCACTGCACTTCCACCCAATGAGACCTATCTATCTACAAAGATTCATGTTGATATCTCTTATAATTTTAGAGTAATGCCCCAGACAAAGTTCAAAGTGTCAAAATGATCAAAGGGCAATAACTCAAAAAGTAGGCAAGACAGTGTTACAGTTCTTGTGCACTGCAAACTTACTCAATGAGATCTATCTACCTACAAAGTTTCATGTTGATATCTCTTATTCATTAAGAGTTATGTCCCGGACAAAGTTCAAAGTGTAAAATAAACAAAGGGGAATAATTCAAAAATCAGGCAAGGCAGAGTTACGGTTCTTGTGCACTGCACTGCTACTCAATGAGATCTATCTACCTACAAAGTTTCATGTTAATACATCTTATACTTTTAGAGTTATGTCCCAGACAAAGTTCAAAGTGTAAAATAAACAAAGGAGGATAATTCAAAAATTAGGCAAGGCAGAGTTACGGTTCTTGTGCACTGCACACCTACTCAATGAGATCTATCTACCTACAAAGTTTCATGTTGCTACCTCTTATACTTTTAGAGTAATGTCCCGGACAAAGTTCAAAGTGTAAAATAAACAAAGGGGGATAATTCACAAATTAGGCAAGGCAGAGTTACGGTTCTTGTGCACTGCACACCTACTCAATGAGATCTATCTACCTACAAAGTTTCATGTTGATACCTCATACTTTTAGAGTTATATCCCGGACAAATTTCAAAGTGTAAAATAAACAAAGGGGGGTAATTCAAAAATTAGGCAAGGCAGAGTTACGGTTCTTGTGCACTGCACACCTACTCAATGAGATCTATCTACCTACAAAGATTCATGTTGATACCTCTTATACTTTTAGAGTTATGTCCCAGACAAAGTTCAAAGTGTAAAATAAACAAAGGGGGATAATTCAAAAATTAGGCAAGGCTGAGTTACGGTTCTTGTGCACTGCACACCTACTCAATGAGATCTATCTACCTACAAAGTTTCATGTTGATACCTCTTATACTTTTAGAGTTATGTCCCGGACAAAGTTCAAAGTGTAAAAATAAACAAAGGGGAATAATTCAAAAGTTAGGCAAGGCAGAGTTACGGTTCTTTTGCACTGCACACCTACTCAATGAGATCTATCTACCTACAAAGTTTCATGTTGATACCTCTTGTTGTTTCAAAGTCGTGTCCCGGACAAGAAAAGGGGACGGACGGACGGACAGAAAGACGGCCGGACGGACAAGGCGGCGACTATATGCTCCCCCGAAATTTTTTCGGGGAGCATAATAAATTGTTGAAATGCTTTTACAGGAGAGAGTTTCATATAAGCTTTAAGCTTTCTACTCAATCCTTGGATGTAATTTATGTATTGTAATTTCATTTGTAAACATGGAAGAAGAAATAAGTATAGTTTGAACCACAAGAAAAGTTACTGATAGAAATAAAAGCAAACTATGAAAAATTTAATGAAAGTCTATGAAAGTTGTAACCACATACATGTATACAGAGGTTTCCATTCATTAGAATAGTTTGTTTGTCCATATATCATGTAGGTAAGTATAGGTGCACCATGTGTATCTACTGGATCCGTCCATCTGAGGACTACATCTGTATCACCCACTCCTAATTCATCTGATACTTGTTCAGATATCTTATCTGATGCACTGTAAGCTTCTACACCTGCTGGCTCACCGGGTGGACCTAAAATCATATAGCAGCATGTTCTTGTTTCGAATCTACTATAATAGTCACTTTCTTCCAGTTTAATATTAGTCTCCATAGTCATATTTTCCCTTTCTTTGTTTTGTCCCATCAAAATTTTTGTTTATGTGATATAGACAAGAATTGAATGTTCCCAGTGAAGGCAGTAAGTTGTAGGGCCATTAACCACTGAGCCAAAAAGGTCAGTTGCCATAAAAACAAGGTATGTTTGTAAAACATTACTATGCCCCATATGTTCCCAGGTTATGTGTTCTGACTTTTGACCTAGTGACCAAAAAATAAATAGGGGTTATCTACTGATCATGAATAATCCCCATACCAAGTTTGAAGTTTCTAGGCCTCAGCGTTCTTTAGTAATTGATTGGAAACCATTTAGTCTATGGACTGGCAGACTGGCCAACTGACCAACGACAGAAACTTTAAAAGATTGGAAAATATGAATGCTGAATTTCTTTTGCCAAGAATACAAACATACAAATTTATTAATCTATGATGGCATCACACAGCTTGTATAAAGACAAAGTAAATAAACAGATAATATGACATATACCTGTAACCATCAATGCAGCTGAAGCATTAGCAGAGTCTACTTGTGTTTGTGCTATACAGGTATACATTCCAGAATGATCATACTGTGCAAATATCAGGTATAATCCTCCTTCTTGGTCTGCTGTATTACCCTACAATCAAAACTTAAGTGTATCAAAGGGACTCCACTGAGGTTTCTTAACATGAGGGAACAGGAAGTAATTTTTTTGAGATAAATGTTCCATTTGATGTAGATCTTGACCAAAAACTTACGTGCAAAATTTCCGATTATTTGCTGAGAGGAAACATATTTCATATTCAGAGTCAATGAAACCTTGACCTTTGAACAATGGAACCCAATAAATCAATAAATATTGTTTACTCAATATGGTGGGTTCTCGAAAGAGTTGTAACATAAGATGTCTCTGTTATTTAGCACACATGAATATTGTACGTAAACAGAATAAAATATTCTAGGGCAAAATATTATCCTGCTATTTCAAGTAGGGTTTTGTCCATTTAGCAAACATTTCCTGCATGTGCCTTTTACTTTTAAGGCAATTTATTACCGCATCTATTTTATACATCCAATTTTGGAAGTATTCTTTTTTAAAATTCAAACACTAATTTTTGGAGAAGATATATAGCTTTTTAAATTTAGCTTTATTTGACCTTCAGTGAAATGGTTCTCCAGTTATACTGGTAAGTAAGTGATCTACCCATCAACCAACATTTACAAAACAATATACCCAATTTTCTTCGAAAGTATAAAAAGGCACTTTTACTGCATTCAAGGAGTAGCATTTGATAGCCTTTACACTCCTGTACAGAAAATAATGTTTATTGCACTTTCTCAGTCTTTTTCTTCATGTTTACAATAGTACTATAACCAAATTCATTGTATTCATTCATAACAGAAATATAGGAAATATAGCATTTTCAAAGCTTATACTACAAGGTATAAAACTTGAAGATGCTACATTATTGTGTATGATTTATTAAACATACCCTTCTATAATGTTCATTCCTCTCAATGTCTATCACTCTACCATTAAAAGCCCACATGTATATAAGATCCAGTTTATTCTGGTTGAATGAAGCCTGACAATACAGGAATGCAGTTTTGTTCACTTCTACACTCTGTGGTCTAGGTGGCTGGTATATAGTTGTGCGTTCTGAAATATTTAATATTATACTCTTTACCATACACATTTGTATATGTGTGCACCATAAACACAATGAATCAACTTCATACTAAAAATTTTGCCCAGCTTTGATTTAAAATGTATGCATGGACAGATAACCAAGTGCACAACAATATACACCAACATTTTTTGGGGCATATAACAAGCACTGTTATCTGACACTTTTTACGTAAATTTTAATAGATACCATGACAGAGACTTTGATACTGAGGGCTATAATTTGAACAATCTTGGTAGAGGTCCACATGACAATGCTATGCTCTAGGCCTTTTAGTATTGGAGTAAAGATTTTTTTAATAAATCTATTGTTCCTTTGGTTGCCGTATCAACAAGATTATTGAACTGAATCAAATTCTTTGAACAACTTTGGAAGCCCTCCACCCAAGGAACAATCCTGGCAAGTTTGGTTCAAATCATACTTGTACTTTTTAAGAAGAAGACCTTTTTAAGCTCACTATAATCTATATAACAGACAAACACACACAGGTGAATCGCTATATGCCATAGAATTGCACATTGCGCATCAAAATTGTTCATCTAGAGGCATTCGACTTTGATACTGTAAATTTATAGTAGGGCTGGGAACGAATAAGGAATCTGATGTTCGAATATTCGTTTTCCATATTCGAATATATTCGAATATTCGTTTTTACAACATTTGCTCAAATATTTCTTTGACGTATATGTATCCGAAATTGATTGTGTCCAATACTATACTACTTTAATATGTTTGGAAAAATTGACGATTAAAACTACCTTTATTACTACGTCAAAGTGTTTTATTTTATATATTGAAAATCGACATATATGTTAATTTTGAAATAAATTCATAATTTGATTGCCTTTTGTTCAGTTAATCCGACAGCTAATCATTCGTTTTATTAACGGGAGGTAACTCATGTGACTTGATTGTCCACCGTAGCCTCTTAGCCCCAATAACACATAATTATATTGAAACTTAACTTGTATTTAATATTTCTTTATTTATTTATAATTTTAGATAAGGTTTAAAATATTCTTCAGATAAATTTAGCTTTAACGCAGTAAATATCATACGGAGTCTAATTTCTACGGAATAAATATATTCTGACGGAATATAGACACTTCCCATGATTTAGTAACACATAATGCGTGCCGATTTATTTGTCTTCACAAAATTTAAGACAATTATTGATTAATCGGAAAGATTATAGCACAGAAAACAATAAATAAGATAATTAAAATCGGAAAGAATTTAATTATAAACTGTTTAACAGGTAAATTGCAAACTGTGAAACGGGTGCCTTTTTGATCAACTAGACCCCAAAGTTTTCACAGTTAATTGGCGATAATCGTTGACACGCGTCATACAAACGTGTGAAGACCTGGTCAAGTACAGGTTAATGGTTAAATTTACGATCTTAATTGAAATTTGAAAGTTATATATTATAACAAATTTTTTTTTCGAATATTCGTATTCGTTTTTCAATGTTCGAATATTCGGTAGTGTTTCGAATATTCGAATATTCGAATATAATTCCCAGCCCTAATTTATAGGTATTCAATATAAAATTTTTTTACATGTACTTTCTTGTTTGGTTTTCTAGTCAACACAGCAACATTTTATAACTCCAGTAATAAAACACTGTTATACACATTGTTTAGTTTCACAATTTTTATCATTTTGTATTAATAACCAAATATTTTACAAAATTATTTGCTTCAATTATTTACTTGATTTAGAAACCAATTTGTTATTCTAAATGACTTTCATTGATTGAAATATAACAAACCTTCACCGCCATATATACAGGTCTAAGTGTGGGGTATAGAATTAATTTCTACCAGTCATCAATCAAATCTCATATTGAGCATTATATCAGAACCAAATTTATATCGCAGTTTTAGACCTTGGACCCTTACTTGAGCATTAGGGCAGAGTGCAGGTGTAGCCAAGTGTTTTTAATCAAGCTTGACTTACGCATTATTGTAAGAAATGTCCTGTTCCTGTCTTCTCCTAGCTCATTCATAGCCCGACATTCATAATTCCCTTGATCTCCCATACTTAGATCCCTTATCTTCAAATCTCCCTCTATTGTAAGCTGTAAACGAGAACCAGAATCTGTTCCTGGGTTCAAGTTGGCACCATTACGGTACCAACTGATTTCTGGGAATGGAGCAGCTTCTGGTCGGCATGGTATTGTGATGTTACCCCCTACCGCACCAGCCATAGTTGATGGTACTGGAAACTTGGCAAAAGTTGGCTTCACCTCTACAATGATGGAAACAGATAAAATAAAAAATCTCTCCCTCATAATTTGGATACCAGACTTGTCCACTTTTAATATGATATTGTCATTTGTTGGTGAAGGGATTATATTACACACATTATCCAAATATTTAAATTTAGTGGTCAACACTAGTCTGGTTCACTGAATGCACATGTCTTTATCAGAGAACAAAACTAATAAAAGAAGAGCAAGCAAATTCAGGGAATATCTCATGCCAAATGATACGAAACAAAATATCAGTGGAGCCGATTTTGCAATTTTACTAAATACACTTGAGGTAAAAAATCTGTGCAAGACAAGATAGATGGACAGCCAATAATATTAAAAATTCTTAAATTACATACCTAAAATCCTGAGCTGAGCAGAAGTGGAGGTTACACCATGTGAATTTTGTGCAACACATTGATACATTCCACTGTCTCGTTCATGTTGTAGATTTCTCAAGAACAATGTGTTGCCAATGACAAGACGGTCCCCATCAGTACTGTTCTGTATTACTTGGGCATTCTTATACCAGGTATATGTAGGGAAAGGTACAGCGCGAGCTTCACATCGCCATGTTAACTGTCGTGTTCCCTTATCAAGATGCTGATCAGTAAGTGGAACGATAAAATCTGGCTGGGCTGAATTAATATATTTATATAAAAAAATAATAATAATAAGCAACAATATTGGCTATGCCACAAAACAGATTTTCAACAATATCTCATTTCTACATCTAGTTATCAATCAGAAACCATTTTCTTTATGTAGTAACTGTGCCCTTTTCTTTGACCCCAGGTCTCTTTATAAACTTACTATCCACCAAGTTTGATTACAATTCTATAAATTGTCTATAAACAATTTCCCCTTTGTACTTGCCTGATTTATAAAAAAAAATCTCAATTTAAATCAAACTAAAAAGGGACAAATTATAAAGGTCTGTGTCAATGTGTAACAATCAAGCATGTCTTAACAATGGCTGTTCATGATGTGCAACATAGCATTATTCACATACTCACACGTTTTGGATGGAGGGTGGGGATGATTACAACAACATGGCCTTTGTTGGCAAGTGACCGCTACTCAGAGGTAATTGCTCAAGTTATAGTGTACACCATATATTTTCTGTGACAACTTACATTCAACATAAAGAACATAGCTTTTCTTGTCAGCCTGTTGTCCACTGCCTTTACTACTGGTAACACGGCACGAATATTCTCCAGAGTCATCCTGCTGTACGTTGTTTATCTTCAAAATACGATTACTATCTGTCAGCTCATACCGTCCAACAACTCCCTGCGGAACTTCCCATTCATATGTTAGCGGCAGCCTAGAAGTATTAAAATCATGTCTTATTTTGAAAAATAACAGATTCCACTGTCTCATGTATTTCATTCATGATCATTTATGATATCATTTATAGTCACAAAGAAGGAAAGTGAAAAAATAACAATTTTCAAATGTGCCATTTATAGTAACGAAGAAGAAAATTTAAAAAAAAGTTCAAAATGAAAATAATCATGGTGAGGCAATTGACTTATAAATCTAATCATCTATGATGAAGGTGTTGATAGTGAATGTATATTTTAAATTTGAAGTAAATCCATGAAGAAATAAGAAAGTAATAGAATGAACAAGCAATTATCATAGTATTGCAAGCAATCCATAAGTCCCCTACCGGTCAGAACCCCAGCAACATTCTGATGGACCACCATTGGCCATTCAATTTTACCAGTGAATGAATGACATGAATGAACTTAAATCTTTTGAGTTCTAAGTTTGTCTATATCACAGTAATGTGTTAAGTTTCCCTGCCTAGTAAGGAAATTATGTTTATACAACCTTGTCATATTATTACGATGTGGGATTTTAAAGTAAGAAGTTGGAGTGAAAAATACCAATTTCTCGAAAAAAATCTAAGTTCAAGGGGGACATAATTTTGGAAATTTAATCTTGCTAGAGTATTTAACCTTCTCAAAAATGTTGAGTGATAATAAGAAACATATATATGAAGTTTTAAGTAGATACATTAGGAAGTAAAGAAGTTATTTAAAAAAGACATTTTTTTCATAAAATTTCTAAGTTCAAGGGAGGTAATACTGATAATTTTTGTGCTAGAGTTGTAAACCTTGTCACATATGATGTGGTTGATGACCAGAAACTTATATTTAAAGTTTGAAGTAAACACCTTAAAAAATAAAGAACTTATAGTGAAAAAGCTGAAAAATTTAAATCAGAAATCTTGAAATTCAGGCTATTTGTTGCCATAGCAACCAGAATTTTCAACATAGGAAGAAAAGAAAAAGATGTGCATAATCTCCAGACTGCCATCTACCAATATTTCAAGTTTCATAAAAATATTTTCAGTACTTTTTGAGTTATCACTGGATCCAGTTTATGTGTTAAATTTGCCATCTTTTCAGACTATTTGTTGCCATAGCAACCAGAATTTTCAACATAGGAAGAAAAAAAAAACGTGCATAATCTCCATACTGCCATCTATCCATATATCAAGTTTCATAAAAATATTTTTAGTACTTTTTGCATTATCGCGGGATCCAGATTTGTGGATGGACAGACTGACAGACAGACAGACAGACGGAGGGTAAACCTAAAGTCCCCTCCGGTTGAACCGGTAGGGGACTAAAAATAAGTAAACCATCTGTAAACAAGCTTGATTGTAAGTGTTTTGTATATAAGGTAGCAATCATACTTACGTCCCATAAGCAAAGCATTCCAGAGATATATTCATGCCAACCACTGGTGAACCAGGTATAACATTTATAAAACTGTCCTGAATTCTTGGCTCATATGTTCCGCCAGCTACAAATAAACAACAAGAACCGGTTGAACCGGGTGATGCTCCCCGAGAAGGTTCTGGACACAGGAAAGTATAAAAAAAATGAACAAAGGGCAAAAACTCCAAAATTAGGCAAAGCGTAGTTATGTTTTTTTGCACTGCACTTCTATTCAATTAGATCTATCTATCTATCTATAAAGTTTCCTGATGATATCAGAGTTATGTCCCGGGTAAAATTCAAAGTGTAAAAATGAACAAAGGGTAATAACTCCAAAATTAGACCAGGCTTTGTTTAGGTTCTTTAAGCATTGCAGTTCTATCCAATTATATCTAGCTACCTACAAAGTTTCATGTTGATATCTCTAATAGTTTTAAAGTTCTGTCCCGGACAAAAGTCAAAAAGTAAAAATAAACAAAGGGCAATTACTTCAAAATAAGGCAAGGCAGAGTAATGATTGTTAAGCACTGCACTTTCACCCAATGAGACCTATCTATCTACAAAGATTCATGTTGATATCTCTTATAATTTTAGAGTAATGTCCCAGACAAAGTTCAAAGTGTCAAAATGATCAAAGGGCAATAACTCCAAAAGTAGGCAAGACAGTGTTACAGTTCTTGTGCACTGCAAACTTACTCAATGAGATCTATCTACCTACAAAGTTTCATGTTGATATCTCTTTTACATTTAGAGTTATGTCCCGGACAAAGTTCAAAGTGTAAAATAAACAAAGGGGGATAATTCAAAAATTAGGCAAGGCAGTTACGGTTCTTGTGCACTGCACACCTACTCAATGAGATCTATCTACCTACAAAGTTTCATGTTGATACCTCTGATAGTTTTAGAGTTATGTCCCAGACAAAGTTCAAAGTGTAAAATAAACAAAGGGGGATAATTCAAAAATTAGGCAAGGCAGAGTTACGGTTCTTGTGCACTGCACACCTTCTCAATGAGATCTATCTACCTACAAAGTTTCATGTCGATACCTCTTGTTGTTTCAAAGTTATGTCCCGGACAAGAAAAGGGGACGGACGGAGGTTCTAACAGGAGAGTAATTATGTGGCTACTCTATTGTTCTCTCTATTGTTCTTTTTAGCCACACAAAAGAAAAAAGCCACATAAAAGCATTACGGAATGAATGACATCAAAGAGAAAGAACAGTTACCTATTGTCCCTCTAGCCACATAATTACTCTCCTGTGAGTGCGGACGGACGGACGGACGAATAAGGCGGCGACTATATGCTCCCCCGAAATTTTTCGGGGAGCACAATCAGTTTTTATTTCTTATATATATTTTACATGATTGTATTGTCTTTATATAGAATCTCACCAGTCATAGTTTTACAACCAATCATAAAAACCAGGACAATTTTAAGGTCAAACAATACAGTGTTAAAGCAGTAAGCATAAACTCATCAACAGATCCCCAGGGCCATTTTTTCTTCTATAACAGGGGCCGATATAAGGCCCATTCACAATTCAAAATTGCACCTTTTTTTCACAAAGCGGTGGAAAAAAATTCACAATTTCCAAAGAGATTTCACAAAATATTGGGACTTTGTCTTCGAAATACATTGTTTACCTTTCGGTAAAACTTGATTTACGCCAATTGCAAAAAAAAGGTCAGAAATTATAATCAAGCCTTCAAAGCAAACTGTTTCCGGTTTCAAAGTGCAGCAGACTGCCAAATAATTTGTCATTTTTTCACAATTTTATTACATATCTTGCTTATTTTCACAAAATGAACAGGCCAAGGCCCCTTCACAATTTTAACAAAAAATGCCCTGGATCCCTGTCTTTTATGTTCTAACTTTTTTTTATTTAATCTCTAAACAATTGCTGTTTATAAACTGAATGTAACCATAACCTTTGCTAAATGTAATTCATTTCCCTCATTTCCTTATCAACTTGGTAACTTGTTGCCATCCATAATTTTCAAGGAAAAATCAAAGTTTAAAGAGGAAATGATTCTGTAACATGGCTAACAGAGTAATGAAACTACAACATATGACGTGGGTGATAACCCCTAACTCCACCAAAAGGTAGAGAATCACCTTAAGCATGTTATGCACTTGGAACTGGTAAACATGCGTTTTAAACTGTGTAAATAATGGTTGTAGAGCATATCACCTACAGAAAGTAGCCCTGAATGTAATATTATTAGCCATAAAAGTAGCAAAATGTAAACAAATAGTATTTTGAATTCCAAATCACTGTAACTGTAGTAATTGACAAAAATCAACAAAACATGTTTAAGATAATAATCTAGTGAGAAATGTTTTGGAAACTATAAAAGGACACCAAAAAATGAAAGGCATCAGTTTATATATAAAGGGTATATGAGCAAAAAATCTATGTTTGGTAGGGGGTATAACTTGGTAAAATGAAATAACTGAACTTACCACTAGCGCGCACCTCTAGTCGTACAGGTTTGCTTGTTCTACTTGGACTCAATGTTGTACTCATGAAGTTCTGATTTAGATTTAAGGTAGTTAATGTGGCTATACAGTAATAGTAAAAATTATCATCTCTTGTCACCTCCGAAAAGTACAATTTTCCATTACCAGAAACAAATAGTCGGTTATTTAAGTCCGGGCGCACATCTGACTTTCTTAATTTATCTATATCGCCAGTATATCTATCCTCTTCAGATTTCTTCCATTGATAAACAACAGCTGAAAAAAATAAACAGTTTAAATATATATATTTAAAAAATTTTCATGTTATCTTGTAAATTATGAATAAATAAATAGAACTTATTGGAAAAAACTTTCTAAAAAAGTTGGTTAATTATGTAAAATCCATGAAACTAAGCCATCATCTGGAGTCCTAGTAAAGTTTTAAAAACTCCAGATTATGTGTTAATAAAGTATTCATTATGACTTCATTAATCATAATTTGGAATTACAAATTCTTTATTAAGTGCAACTAAGTCTTGATTAGAAGATACAAAGTCACAATTGGTAGTTTGAAGTCCCGATTAGGCTTTCATAAGTTATAATTTGGAATTATTCATCATATAAGTAGTAACTTAGTCATGGGTTAATAAAGTCTTACTTAGTTTTCTATAAATCCTAATAAGGGTCATAATAAGGAGTAACTTTGTCCTAATTAAGAGTTTTGAAAATGCTTTTTCTAGTGCTTCATTATAGAGAACATAAACTTTGAAATGAAAACAATGCCATATGAACAACTTCATATTTAAATGCTGATTATGCCACAGAAGTGCTATCAATTTTATTTCTCAAAAAAAAAATTATTCTTGGTATCTTGTTACAGTTTCCCATTTCCACGCTCTGTTGGCATTATGTGCCTTTTTATCATGAAACTGCTACGGCAACTGCCCAATCACACTTGCCTGATAATTAATTTTGTTATGTTAGTAATGTGATATCAAAAATAAGCTCCGCCCATTTCAACAGACTTGTTTCAATAGCTTACATTCTCATTTTTATCAGCCTTTGAAATCTACAATTTTAACTCTTACCATGACAAGTCTCGAATCAAGATGTGATATTTATTACTTTTTATTTTGTCTTCAATTACGAACAAATAAGATAGCGAATAGTTTAATGTAGTGATGTCATAACTTATTCAGTAAATGACATTGGAGAACTTGTAAATGTTTACTTTGTTTCGCCAGATTATTATTAAAGATATACTATGCTCATCTTAGAGTAAAATATTTTTATCCCAAAAATTAATTGAAATCTATGTAATTCTTTCTGAATATGTCTAATTTTAAAAGAAATTACAAACTATGTGTGGGAAGCTGCATATCCTATTACAGGTCAAATAAATTTGGTCCTTTCTTAAACAAGAGCTGTCCGTAAGACAGCGCGCTCGACTTTTTTATTGCTTGCCAATAAAAAAAGTTTTTGCAGTAAAAGGCAATACAAGAATCTCTGTATTTTTAAAGTGAACAATGGCCATGAGCATTAAGATATTTAGTGAAGAATTATTTTACTGAATTGTGTGATACCCTTGAACACTGCAGGTTCAGTGGATAGGAATGAATTTTTTTAGATTTTTTAAGTTTTTTAGTGCTTGCCTATAATACAAAACATTGACAGTTAAGGGCCATAATTCAAATAAAATCTTTGACAGAATTACCTTCTCCTGGACATGTTTGGGAATCATGATTGTAAACAAGTATTATTCCAACTTTCAAATTAATATCTCAAACAGTTCAGTCAAAAAGTGGACTGGTACTAAAAAACTTAACCAAGATTCTAAGTCGATAAAAGGCCTTAATTTTTAAAACAAATCCTTGACAGAGTTACCTTCTCTTGCGTACAGATGGGGGTAATGATGTGAAATAGCATTAAAAGTTTCAAAGCAATATCTCAAAGGGTTAAGGCAATAAGTGGATTTTACCCATATTCAATGTATTTTCTAAGTCAAAAAGGGGCATAATTCTGTCAAAAACCTTGACAGAGTTATGTCCTCTTGTCTGTTGATGAAGGTCGTGATGGTAAACAAGTATGGTCAGTTTCAAAGCAATACCTCCAATGGTTTTGAAATAAAGTGAGGTGGTACAAAAAACTTAACCAAGCTCAATACACTTTCTAAGTCAAAAAAGGGCCATAATTCTGTCAAAAACCTTGACAGATTATGTACTCTTGTCTGTAGATGGAGGTTATGATGGTGAACAAGTATGGTAAGTTTCAAAGCCATACTTGTAATACTTCTGAAATAAAGTGGGGTGGTACGAAAAACTTAACCAAGGTGTGACGCCGAAGCCGACGCCGACGCCGGGGCGAGTAGGATAGCTCCCCTTTTCATAGAAAAGTCGAGCTAAAAAACTGCCAGTTTTTTTAATGACACTATATATTCTTATTGTGTCCACCTATAGAGTGTAGAGTTTAAAACATAAGATATCTACTTTGTGTGTCGTCAAAGCATGTTTATTCTATATTTACAAAGAGACTGTGTAGCAATTATCAATATTCAAAAATATATAATTTGAGCAGTGTATATCTTTAAATAAGTGAATAAATTGTTTCGTTCAGAAAATAAGATGCATGTTTGTGTATCTTGTGTTTGATTGCCGATTTGATTTGATTGGAACTGAAATAACTTTTGAATCTTACATGTCAATGGAAAAAGTGCTGTAAAGTTTATGTGATTAATAGGGATATTTTTGGAAAAGATATTAAAAGGAAAGAATCTTACTTTATTTCAATATGTTGTATCTATTATCAAAGGAATTTATCTCAAGTCAAAAGCAAAAATTGGCCACCATTTAGAAATTCTAAATTTCAGGGGCGGAGGAATTTGTTTTCAAGAATTATTTCTTTGAACAAAAATGCACCTTTCTACAAAATTTGTTATTTAAAGGTAGATTACTTTGTAATTTTATCAGTTTTTATGTGTTACATGATAAAGCCTTGCCCCTTTCTAGCCCATCTAGCCCATGCTGATAAAATTGATATCAAAAGACAATAGCATGTTATTCTCTATAAACACACCATTATTAGTGGTATTCATACAAGAGCTGTCCGTAAGACAGCGCGCTCGACTTTTTTATTGCTTGCCAATAAAAAAAGTTTTTGCAGTAAAAGGCAATACAAGAATCTCTGTATTTTTAAAGTGAACAATGGCCATGAGCATTAAGATATTTAGTGAAGAATTATTTTACTGAATTGTGTGATACCCTTGAACACTGCAGCAAAGTTTGAAATGTTTAAGTCAAAAAGAGGGCTGGTAAGAAAAAAAAAAAACTAGTTGTTTGATACCCTTGAATATTACAGCAATGTTTATATGACATAATTTATGGTAAAGTGAACAAGTGGATAGGAATGAATTTTTTTAGATTTTTTAAGTTTTTTAGTGCTTGCCTATAATACAAAAACATTGACAGTTAAGGGCCATAATTCAAATAAAATCTTTGACAGAATTACCTTCTCCTGGACATGTTTGGGAATCATGATTGTAAACAAGTATTCCAACTTTCAAATTAATATCTCAAACAGTTCAGTCAAAAAGTGGACTGGTACTAAAAACTTAACCAAGATTCTAAGTCGATAAAAGGCCTTAATTTTTAAACAAATCCTTGACAGAGTTACCTTCTCTTGCGTACAGATGGGGTAATGATGTGAAATAGCATTAAAAGTTTCAAAAGCAATATCTCAAAGGGTTAAGGCAATAAGTGGATTTTACCCATATTCAATGTATTTTCTAAGTCAAAAAGGGGCATAATTCTGTCAAAAACCTTGACAGAGTTATGTCCTCTTGTCTGTTGATGAAGGTCGTGATGGTAAACAAGTATGGTCAGTTTCAAAGCAATACCTCCAATGGTTTTGAAATAAAGTGAGGTGGTACAAAAAACTTAACCAAGCTCAATACACTTTCTAAGTCAAAAAAGGGCCATAATTCTGTCAAAAACCTTGACAGAGTTATGTACTCTTGTCTGTAGATGGAGGTTATGATGGTGAACAAGTATGGTAAGTTTCAAAGCCATACTTGTAATACTTCTGAAATAAAGTGGGGTGGTACGAAAAACTTAACCAAGGTGTGACGCCAACGCCGACGCCGACGCCGACGCCGGGGCGAGTAGGATAGCTCCCCTTTTCATAGAAAAGTCGAGCTAAAAATGAAAAAAGATAAATTAATAATAATGAGTTCACTTACCTTGACTAAACCTTGAGGGTATATCTGGACATTCAATAACAGCACCTTGGTACTCTAATGGATTTACTGGGGCAGCTTGAATGTTTGGAAATTCTCCCAGACCTACAGTGCAAGGAAAGGAAATAGAAAGACTTAAAACAAGCTTGGTGCCACAGTTCATCATCATTTCAGTTATAACAATAAAGTAAACATTTGATGGTAATAACAGACTTGTTTTTCAAAGCTTATCAGTTTTAAAACTTGATTTTTTCCTAGGAATTGACATAAATATTTATAACAACGTGCATGTATACTTATAAATATTATGACATGGCTCTTGATATCAATAAAAAGTTATTTATTTAATAAAATGATGAAAGGACTATAAATGGGAGATAACTTACTTGCAAATGAGAGTTGGGCTGGTGCACTGATTATAGCCCCTACACTGTTCTCCACTAAACATTGATACACACCAGCATCCTTGGCTTCAGATGGGTCTTCAATTGTGAATTTTCCATTAGTTATAGTGTAACGAGGGTCTATTTTGGACTCAATTTGGGTAACTTCGCCGGATATATATGTTATCCACTTGTACTCTGGCTGTGGTATACCACTGGCGATACATTCCATGTACACCATGCCTTCAGCTTTGTCAGAGATTACAACTGTGCTTTCTGCCTCTACAATAAACTTTGGTCCCATCTGCACATCATTTAAATTCTTGAACGATGTACCATAATCTAAAACAAAATGGTATCAAACAAGTCAATAAATTTGCAGAACAGCCAATATTTTGGAATCAATTTGCATTTCTAATGTCAGAGATGGAAGCTAAATAACAACATTCTGACTAAAACATGTTTTTTTCCATTGACCACTTTGGCCATAATTGAAATTCTGCAATGGAGCTACCAACTATTTTTTCAATGGACTGGGGCATAAGTATCATCTTTTAGATAAGTTTCTGTTGTTCTTTTTAATTTAATGATATTACATGTAAAAGTCTTCAATTTTTTCACATTTTAAGTGCCTATACGCATTATTTGACTATTTATATCTTAACTCTAATCTAAATGCAATATGGTGACCTTGATATGATAAAGTCCTTAATATTTAAACAGGGCATCCACTGTGAAAATGGCTTTCTCTATTAAGTAAAGGCAAACAATACCCAGTCTTTAATAGGCATTTTCTGAACAGCTGTATGCAACTGCAAACCAAACTAAGAACTGCCACAGCTCTGGCAAGGATATCCCTGCATGCCACTTTGTCCATAGGGTATTTATTTTGATATACAGTTCATAGTTTAAATTACTGTCAAAAATACATCATCGCCCACTGTTTATTTTTATTTTTTGTTTCTTAGATGTTTTCAGACAAAATTAAGGTAGGAGGGAATAAAAAAAGCACATGAACCAAAGGCAAAACTCGAACATTTTAAATCAGTGACTATAATATAGTACTTTAGTAATTATAGCGAATTTAGGACATTTGCCCCTCTGATTTCACTTGCCCCCAAACCTAACAAGAGGGCCATGATGGCCCTGAGGTCGCTCACCTGAATAAAGGCACCCAGAGCGGGGCCAGTTTAAACTCCAGGGCTTTTATTTGAACAAACTTGGAAGACACCCATTAGAAGATGTTTCACGACCTTAAGTTTTTACTACACACATATAATGAAAAACAACGATCTACCCACCCTTTCACCCCCCCCCCCCCCCCGCAGGGCAAATTTTAACCCAAGGGCTTTTATTTGAACAAACTTGGTAGACACCCATAAGAAGATGTTTCATGCTAAACATCTTAGCTCTAGCTCATTGGGTTTTTTCAAAGAAGATTTTATAAGTTTTTACTATACACATATACATGTAGTTAAAACCAATGACACCCCTGGGGCAGGGCCAGTTTTGACCCCAGGGCTTTTATTTGAACAAACTTTGTAGACACTTACTAGAAGATGTTTCATGCTTAATATCTAAACTCTAGCTATTTGGGTTTTTTCAAAGAAGATTTTTAAGTTTTTGCTATACACATATAAGGAAAATCAATAACACCCCGGGCAGGGCCAATTTTGACTCCAGGGCTTTTATTTGAACAAACTTTGTAGACACTCACTAGAAGATGTTTCATGCTTAATATCTAAACTCCAGCTATTTGGGTTTTTTCAAAGAAGATTTTTAAGTTTTTGCTATACACATAATTATAAGGAAAATCAATAACACCCCGGGCGGGGCCAATTTTGACTCCAGGGCTTTTATTTGAACAAACTTTGTAGACACTCACTAGAAGATGTTTCATGCTTAATATCTAAACTCCAGCTATTTGGGTTTTTTCAAAGAAGAATTTTAAGTTTTTGCTATACACATATAATGAAAATCAATAACACCCCGGGCGGGGCCAATTTTGACTCCAGGGCTTTTATTTGAACAAACTTTGTAGACACACACTAGAAGATGTTTCATGCTTAATATCTAAACTCCAGCTATTTGGGTTTTTTCAAAGAAGATTTTTTAAGTTTTTGCTATATACATATAAGGAAAATCCAGGACCCCTGGGGCGGGGCCAATTTTGACCCCAGGGCTTTTATTTGAACAAACTTGGTAGACACCCATTAGAACATGTTTCATGCTAAATATCTTAGCTCTAGCTCTTTGAGTTCTTTAAAAGAAGATTTTTAAAGTTTTTACTATATGCATATAGGGAAAATCAATGACCCCCTGGGGCGGGGCAATTTTGACCCCAGGGCTTTTATTTGAACAAACTTGGTAGACACTCATTAGAAGATGTTTCATGCTAAATATCTTAGCTCTAGCTCTTTGGGTTCTTTAAAAGAAGATTTTTTAAGTTTTTACAATATGCATATAGGGAAAATCAAAGACCCCCTGGGGCGGGGCCAATTTTGACCCCAGGGCTTTTATTTGAACAAACTTGGTAGACACTCATTGGAAGATATCTCATGCCAAATATCTAAGCTATAGCTCTTAGGGTTTTTTTAAAAGAAGATTTTTTAAGTTTTTTTCTTTCGGTTGCCATGGCAACCAGAGTTAATGGAATTAAATTCTTTGAACAATTTTTAAAGGTGACCACCAAAGGAACATTCCTGTGAAGTTTGGATGAAATTGGCTTAGTGGTTTATGAGGAGATGTCATTTGAAGTAAAAGTGTACGGACGGACAGACAACGGACGGACGCCAGACGAAAAGCGATCACAAAAGCTCACCCTATCATTTTGTGACAGGTGAGCTAAAAATGCATAATAGGACATGTGCCCCCCATCACCTGAGAAAATGTAAATGTGAAAACCTGTAACCCACTTTGGAAATTTGCTAAATGTATATCAAATACAGTCTTAAAATTAAGATGCAATAATAAATGCATTATTATTGAAACAAGCAATTATAGTATTGTAAGCAATATAAAAGTCTGCTACTTGTTAGAACTCCAGTAACATTCTGAAGGGCCATGGCCATTTAATTATGACATTGTGGAAGACTGAATGAACATTAAATATTTTGAGTTCTTAGTTCATCTGTATCATTATTATGTGTTAAATTTCTATGCCTTATAAGGAAATTACATTTATACAACAGATAATAAAAAGAAACATCCACTGTTTGCCAAAGAAGGTCGTAACCTTCATTCTGGGGAAAATAAACATTTGTTTTGAAAAATTGTGGCACATACTGGTACAAACTGTTAACATAAGTTTTAATTAAATCCATTTTGCATTGTAGGAAAACTAGCCTTCACAAGATAACAAGTGCAGACAGAATAGCAAGGGGACAAGCTAACTCCAGTTTACCCTCAACTTTGATTGCTGGGGTATAAATATGTTTAATGACTATTTAATACCACTAATATATACTACTCCATCCAATATTAAGTCCTTTAGTAACATAATCATCCTCTACTTATGTTATCAAGCTAAAGAAAACACTTAGACATTAAACACTGTGCTTACCAAAGCCACGTTTGTTGATATTTATTCTGTAAACTTCATTTCTGCTTATCTCACATATAAAGTTCCTCAATTCATATCTTCCGGACACCGCTGCTACTCCAAATAATCCTCCTGAAATAAAATAAATGAATAATGCATCGCAGTGTTCTGGCCTCTTTTTAACAGCAGATACTATAAATTCTTGGCCATTATGTCAGTCTCAACTTTAAATAGAAAAGTAGTTATTCGCTAAAAATATTTTACCATAATCAGTGGGGCAATTTCGGATGGTAAGAATAATGGGGACCAAGAAACAGTTATAGACTGCCGAATTACAGGGCTCCAGATAATTTTTACAGCAAATCATAATAACTCATTGATTTTTTTGTGAAAAATTAAAACTCAAAAACTGAAATTTGCGATAAGTAATTATACTCCATGAAATTTTTGTAAATAAGTAAATTAAACCCATTATCATGTTCCTTCTTAAATATATTTGGCTATTAAATTTTTTTATATTTTTTGTCGGCAAATCGCTGACATAACTGATGCTAATTTAAATTATTGTTTACATGGACAGTGCAGAACATAGTCTATATCAATAAGCAAAATAGCACACCTTTAATCAATCTGACACAAAGTGTCAGTTAGAATCAATTAATTGTCAAGTTATTGATCAGTTTCGGACCACTGAGGTTACAGTCTGCAGTTTTGTTCTTGCTTCTGTTACAGAGACTGGCTTACAGCCCCACAAATGGGTAGATTATACATGCTAATTGCACCATTACAGTTTAGGATATAATATTTTCGGCAAAATTGATTTCTCTTTGATCTTTTGAAAGAGCAAAAATAAGGGAAATAGGATTTAACACTTCAATGATCACCAATTTATGTCTAGGTTTTGGTTATGCGGGAGAAATATTCTTCATTACATAATCACAATTTCTTATGCATTTTCTGACACTAGGAATTGTATTAATTTTGTATGAGTAATTGTATGATTTTCATGTGTAATTTATTCATGTATGCATCTTATCTGCAGCCTTGATTTAAATAAATATACAAGCAAATTCGTTGAATTTATATCCCCCGCCGAGTACTGGTTATTATTAACACAACAACTGAAGACATAAGGCTTTATTTATATATTAATCATGGCATCATAAGCAGTAATATTCTTTGAACTTGATAAATATTCAGGGCAATAACAGAGCCATAATTTTGTGTTAATTAGTAAAATCTGGAAATGCCAATGAGATGTATGCATACTACATAACTAATCAAGGGCCATAAATCTGAGTTATAAGTATCTGACCGGGAACAAGGCGACTATAAGCACATCTCCTCTTAGTATCCCATAAAGTTTCATTGAATTCCAGCCAGTAGAAGCAGAGAAGTAGCGAGGAAACAAATATTTTTCTATATGGATACTGCATAACTAATCAAGGGCCATAACTCTGAGTTAAAGTGTCTGACCGGAACAAGCCGACGATATGCGGATATGCGCATCTCCTCTTGGTATTGAAAGTTCCCATAAAGTTTCGTTGAATTCCAGCCAGTAGTTGCAGAGAAGTAGCGCGGAAACGATTTTTACTCCATATGCATACTGCATAACTAATCAAGGGCCATAACTCTGAGTTAAAGTGTCGGACCGGAACAAGCCTCTGATATGCCCATCTCCTCTTGGTATTGAAGGTTCCCATAAAGTTTCATTGAATTCCAGCCAGTAGTTGCAGAGAAGTAGCGCGGAAACGATTTTTACTCCATATGCATATTGCATAACTAATCAAGGGCCATAACTCTGAGTTAAAGTGTCTGACCGGAACAAGCTGACGATATGCGCATCTCCTCTTGATATTGATGATTCCCATAAAGTTTCGTTGAATTCCAGCCAGTAGTTGCAGAGAACTACTCCGGAAACGATTTTTACTCTATATACATACTGCATAACTAATCAAGGGCCATAACTCTAAGTTAAAGGGTCGGACCGGAACAAGCCGACGATATGCGCATCTCCTCTTGATATACTGCATAACTAATCAAGGGCCATAACTCTGAGTTAAAGGGTCGGACCGGAACAAGCAGACGATATGCACATCTCCTCTTGATATTGATGATTCCCATAAAGTTTCGTTGAATTCCAGCCAGTAGTTGCAGAGAACTACTCCGGAAACGAAATTCGGACGGACGGATGGACGGACGGACAACGCCAAAACTATATCCCCCTCCCGATTCCATCGGCGGGGATAAAAAGGGCAATACTTTAAAATATGTAAAGCTGGTATAAGAGCAATTCAACAATGAAGTCCAAGCTTATATCCCTTAAACATTATTTGTCATAGCTCGAACAAAGAAAATGCAAATTAATCATGCAAAATAACAAAGGGAAACAACAGCCACAACCAAACCAACCTTGACCTTGAAGCTAGGTTTCTAGGTCTTAAGCATGATACACCATTTCATTATGCTACATATATATCAAAATTGTTTGAGTAATAGGCTACATTTTGCACGATGATGACACCAGAGCAATCATAATAGCTTCAAAACAGAAAAGCTAAAAATCAAAACAGTAATATGGTAATTTTTCAAATTATTTCTTCATGTTCCCCTCGTGTTTGCAATCATTATGGATTTTATTATATTTCTTAGCCAAATGCGGAGTTAGACCTTAGTCTCGACTCTTCATGGCCCAAAAGCAATTCCAAGCAAGACCTAATGACTATTACACCAATCTAGTTGCCAGGATTTTCAAAATTAAAAACCTTGTTAAGAATTATTCTAGTCATAAGCTAACACAAGTTAGAACCCTTTTCCATTTTGTGAGATAGCTGTAGAGCTGTCAGCGATAGAAACAATAATGATGCATGGCCGATAATTGATACACATTTCAAAAATTGTAAATTTTGACTAATTAATTGAATGTCTAGAAATTATGAAAATTCACCTAGAACAGATATAAAAAATTAAATGTCCATGTCTAAAACTATGCTGTTGTTACATAATGGAAATATGTCATAGCAGTGATGGTCAGGAAAAAAATCATGCAATGGGCATTCATAAAAAAGACACTGATATATCTTTGTTATGCTTTGCACTTAATCAATGACAGCTATAGATATCTGGATACCTTTTTCATTCTTAGAGACAGTCAATTCGAAAAGGTTGAAAAACAGGTAAAAGTCTGATTTAATCTGAATACATGAATGTTTAAAACAAATTGAATTCCCCCTTGACAACAAACTTAATATTATTTATATTTTTTTCTGCTTTTAATTGAATTACTACAATATTAGACTATCAGACAAGAAATTATTGCACAAGGAAACAAAAAATATATCCTATATAAAAAGATATTAAAATAACTTCAGTTAAATAGCCTTTCACTAACAAGACAAATTATAATAATTATTCTAACACTCACGTGGTTTTGTCACTAGACAAAGAAGGAAAAAAACTGGTGTTAAACTGCCAATAAACACCGGTTAGGGACTACTTGTATAATTATGCGCTGTTATGTTTTCACCCTCGATTGTATAGTTTACAAAGCATTTTAAAGCAACAATAAAAAGCATTTTTATTTATATTTTCAGTTCGTATAATGTTTTCTTTTCATACAATACTGAAATAATAAGAGGATATTTTTTTGTTTGAGTGAAATATGGAATATATTTTCATGAAACATGATAAAATGCCACATATTTTGCCGGGACGGCGAGTGAAAATATGTGGCATTTTATCATGTTGAGTGAAAATATATACGATATTTCACGAAAAACGAAAAAATAACCTTTTTATTTAATTTCATTATCAAAGAAAAAATGGTTACGAACCCCCTTGCTTGCTACGCAACTGCAATTGTACAGCGTGCAGTAATATAATTATTGTGTTGCACGCAATATTTAGCGCTACATTGTGACGTCACGTAAACAACTCTTTAAATGTCTGTACAGCGTTAATGACTGAATTACAGATATTAGTGTCCGGATTTATTTTCTTAGACCATTTTCTATCATTCTAGATAGTTTTCAAAACAAAATTCAACAAAAAGTTTTTTGTATTTATCAGTTTTTTCAAACAAAATGGCGAAAGAAGTTCCTTAAAATAAATATGAGTTTTGACTCCGCCCACTTTCATATTTATATTTCATATTTACTTTTAAAAAATATGAAATATATTTGACTGATATAGCACCATATTTCATTGGTAAAATTAAATAATATCTCACATACACTAACGCCATATATTAGATCCATATCAGTTAATAAATATTTTGACAATCCGTAAGCAGCGTAATGACGTCATCCTAAGTAAACAACTCATTCATAAACAAGCTGACGTTATTTCATACATACAAGAATGATAAATGGGGCACTGATGTAAACACAATACGACGTAAGTTTTTATTGTTGAAAACTTGATAAAATAACGTTTTTTTTCTTTTTATTTCTTTTGTTTGATAATTTCTAAATATCTTCACAACATTAGGGTGCGAAAATCGAACAGCGTTATACGAAAATCGGCACCGGAAGTTATTTCCGCTTGAAAAATAACATTAGTGATTTTCCTTATTTTATCGTGTTAGAATCAAAATAACATCGGCCGGAGAGGTGTATATCGGCTATTTTACACCGGTTTTGTCGTTTTGATGATAAAATTAACCACTCAGGCCTACGTCCTTCGTGGTCAATTCCTACGCATCAAAACTCCAAACCGGTGTTAAATAGCCGATATACACCTCTCAGGCCGATGTTATTTCTTAATCAATGATGAAAATTAATTTACTCACTTCTAGCATCATACTTTAATACAAGTATATCCCGTGTTATATCACTGTTGATAGGTTCATTCCTGTCAATCCATATGTCAGATGTCAATGATATTTCTTGATTTGTTGCTGTCCACACATATCTAGCAATTACTGTTGAAGAGTCTCGCTCTCCACTGGTATACCATTCAAGTCTACATGCAAATAGATTTCAAAATAAATATATGTAACAAGCACAATTTAAACTAATTTTCCCTATGATGATATTGTCCAGCATGTTGATGTTTCAAAATATTAACCAAATCTGTGAATAAATTACAATGTTCTACAAAGTTTATACAAATTTTCATATCTGACCTAGGAAATCAAGGACATTTAAAGGTTACAGTCATACTGAATTGCATTATACATAAAAAATAAATTGTCCTCAGTTTTTTATGTCTGAGTTTGAATCAAATTTGTTCATTCAATTCAATAAATTGACTTTTAGGGTCAAGATCATTTAAAGGTCTAGGTCATATCTGAATTACTCCACTTGAAGATTTGTCTGAAGTGTTGTTTAGTCCTCAGTATGAATCAAATCAGTTCATTTTGCAGTCAAGGTCATACTTAAATTATTTAAAACCCTAGTTTTGTCATAAGTTTTGTTTTGTCAAGTTCTTGTATGAATCAATTTGGCCGATAAATAACAAAGTTATGGCCATTAAAGCAAATACCAATTTCATGACTTGACATTTACAGTTAAAGACACATTTGTACTGCTCAACATGATACTTAATGCTTAGTGTTGTTTTGTCCAAAATTTAATCAAATCCAAGCATCAATAATAAAGTTATGGTCAATTTTGAGCACAATTCAATCATTTTACAATCAAGGTGCAGGTCTAGTTCAACTTTAAGGTATTTTCCAAAGGGTTGTTATGTCCAAGAATGAATACTTTATATCCATTAATAACAATGTTATAGCCAAGTTTAGTAAAATTTAAGGAATTAACTATAAAGGTTAAGTTCATTATTAAGTCAATGTCAAATTTTATAAGACATGCACAAGTAGTCTCCATGTCCAATACTCCTGCTAAGTTTCATTGTATTATCTAGGCAGTGTTTGGTGAAGAAGCACATGCACATAGATGACCAGACAACAGGAAAAATAGACAGCCTATAATAAGCAATATACTGCCTTATGACTTGATTATGAAAGGGTATAATTACCCAACAGAAATTCTTGTTTTAATATTCATATAAGGCTGTGTGTATTATCTGCAGTATTAAAGTTTGATTTCTTTGTGATGACACACTCCTCTTTATTACACTATGGAAACCATTTTTTTTAAAGGTACAAGACCCTAGGGACTCAATATTTTCATTTCTAAAACTGACCTTTGATTGTCTACCTTCCTGAGATGAGCTAAAACAAATGTATTTTCAGCAATGTCATCAATACTCAGAAGGATGGCTCCATTTTTCTGTGAAGAAAAAATATACATATTTGAAGACAAAACAAGCAAATTTGTTGAATTTATATCCCCCGCCAAGTACTGGTTATTACTAACACAACAACTAAAGACATAAGGCTTTATTTATATATTTATCATGGCATAAACAGTAATATTCTTTGTACTTGATAAATATTCAGGGCAATAACAGAGCCATAACTCTGTGTTAGATAGTAATATCTGGACATGCCAATGAGATGTAAATTGCCTTTGTGTATCCATGGTTGCCATAAAGGTTTGTTGAAATCAATACAGCAGTTGCAAAGAAATAGCAATATTGCTCTATATGCGTACTGCATAACTAATCAAGGGCCATAACTCTGAGTTAAAGTGTCTGACCGGAACAAGACGACTATATGCACATCTCCTCTTGGTATTGACGGTTCCCATAAAGTTTCGTTTAATTCCAGCCAGTAGTTGCAGAGAAGTAGTGCGGAAACGAATATTATGTTCTATATGCATACTGCATAACTAATCAAGTAGCACGGAAACAATTATTGCTCTGGTTGCATACTGCATAAATAATCAAGGGCCATAACTCTAAGTTAAAGTGTCTGACCGGAACAAGGCGATGATATACGCATCTCTTCTTGGTATTTAAGGTTCCATAAAGTTTAATTGAATTCCAGCCAGTAGTTGCAGAGAAGTCGTGCGGAAACGAATATTATGTTCTATATGCATACTGCATAACTAATAAAGGGCCATAACTCTGAGTTAAAGTGTCTGGCCGGAACAAGCTGACGATATGCGCATCTCTTCTTGGAATTGAAGGTTCCCATAAAGTTTTGTTGAATTCCAGCCAGTAGTAGCAGAGAAGTAGCGCGGAAACGATTTTTACTCTATATGCATACTGCATAACAAATCAAGGGCCATAACTCTGAGTTAAAGGGTCTGACCGGAACAAGCTGACGATATGCGCATCTCCTCTTGATATTGATGATTCCCATAAAGTTTAAATAATTTCCAGCCAGTAGTTCGGAAACGAAATTCGGACGGACGGACATTCTCACAGGACAGTAATTATGTGGCTACTCTATTGTTCTCTCTATTGTTCTTTATAGCCACACAAAAGAAAATAGCCACATAAAAGCATTACGGAATGAATGACATCAAAGAGAAAGAACAGTTACCTATTGTCCCTCTAGCCACATAATTACTCTCCTGTGAGTGCGGAAGGACGGACAGACGGACAACGCCAAAACAATATCCCCCGATCTATCGGCGGAGGATAAAAAGTGAAAAACATTCTTTGTAAAAAGTTTCCATTTCATGTCATTATTACAATGATATGTGGAAAATTGTCTATAAGATTTCATTTTTTACTTCCAAACAATTTGAAATCATTTCATATAAGGTACAGGCATTAATAAAATAGATATTTAGTACCCTGTATTTATTTTGCTTTCTGAAAACCAGGCACTCTGGCTGGCTTATTTTACCAGAATGAGCATCATTATATACTTTATGACTAGAATTACAAACTTTTATTACATGCTTTTCGGTGGTTTATAGAAATATATCAGTGATATAAAACTGGTAATTTCACTGTTTGAAACAGTGAAATTACCACTTTGATAATTTCACTGTTTTGAATTTAAGCCCCTTACGTTGTTTCAGTGAAATACCAGCGTGCACAGTACTGGGTACCAACTTAATGACGTGACGTCGTAAATGACGTCACGTTGTATTATTATTTGGCGCGCTTTTCATTCAGTATTAGGTTTAATGTCTTTTTAAAACATTTCTTTGCATGTAATTAAAAGAAAATTTGTTTAGTTTAGAGTAAGATTGAAATATATTTCACCTTGTGAACACCAAAAGTTCATATTTCACTCGTGGCTGCGCCACTCGTGAAATATACCTTTTGGTGCTCACTCGGTGAAATATATTTCGATCTTACACTGAACTAAACAAATATCCTCTATATATATAAAATTAATTCAATTATCATTCTATCTACAACAAAGTCAACATGGAAGGTACTTCATCATTCTCATTGTTCACACCAAGTTAAAATATTTCTATACATGTAATTTCCAACTGTTTATTTGAGGTAATTTAGTGGTATTGTTATTTTACCTGACATATATGTGCAGCATCATCATAATTTCGTGGCTGAAAAGAGAACTGGTAACATCTATCACCATTTGGTATCCAATCATCTGGGCACACTGACAACAACAAAATACAGGCAAGTTATATAATTATATATATTAATTAAAATAATTTATACATATCAATTCTTTCTTTTGCATGTATTATAATATATATTATATCTGACTTCATGTAATTAATTAACATCCTTTTTAATATAATTCTAGACATGCCATCATCAAAATCTAATAAAAATATTTCTCCCCCCTTCCCCACCCTGTTTTTAGTTAAATTTATACTTACCAAACAAGTTGTTAAAGTTCTGTGCCAGATTACTACCAATTGAAATCAGGATTAAAAGGACAGCTTTCATTTTGACATATCTAAAATAAAAATATGATCATTGAATGCAATGTAAATATCACCTCGGTCAATATTATATTTTTCGGTACATATTACATCTAAAAGGTACATATATGTTTTATTATATAATCTATGAATCCCTTTTATATTGGATATAAAATCTGCCATTGAATACGACGGAAATCGACATTTTTCAGCTTGTCTACTTTTTCCATAATTATGCTCTGACATTTTAATGAGCGCATTGGCACACTAAATTTGAAATATTCTTAAAAATGTAAAGATGGTAACTAAAATAGACTAACTTGACTGCTCAACCTTTTTCTCAAAAAAAAAATTAAAATAATAATAACAACAAAATTGGCCTCACATCACATCATAGCACCTGTCTTTCGTGGGCTTTACAGAAAAATCTATTTTTAGAGAAAAATCTACTCATTGAATATACTCGTAGAAGAAAAAAAAGTGAATATACTCTTGTATTCAAGTAAAATTACATCTTAACCATTGAATCGGAGAAATTCATTTTAAAGCTATTCATAGATCATATAATGAATATGCCATATTATGTAGGGGCCAAGGGCGTACCTTTATAGCATACAGAGTTGTAATTAACATGACGGTACCATCATGACGAGGTTTGTCAACAATTAACATTTTAATATAAAATACATTCAAACTTTACCAAAGCAGCATGCCACTGGATTAATTTTAAGCTCAAAATGGAGATAATTTTATAAATACAGGTGCTAGAGTTATGAACAATACAACATCTTGGTGATGATCAAGGGGAAGATAATTCTGGGAAATACTGACGCCAGAGTTATGAACCTTATCACAATATGATGTTTGTGGGTGATGATAAGGAACATATATACCTAATGAACTTTAAAAAAGCATGATGTATAATGTTTCCATATGTATGGTTCCATCAAATGTATGTCAAACATGTTTATTTACATTATAAAGCATAAAATAAACAACTGAAATTATTTATTTTGAAAAATGTGGCAAAGTTTATTTGAGCTTAAAAAGTGAACAATGTACAAATTAAGTTCTTCATTCAAGTCGAAGATACTTGCTTTTTATAGAAATACATGTAATTTGTCAAAATATGAGAATTATACTTTTGTTTGTTATACTACAGTGTAGAATGTTGGTGTTAAACAGAAAATTCTGTCAATTTTTTAATAATACATTCAAAGTTTCACCAATATCGTAAATATTAATACATTTATAAGCAGTAAATATTTTTTCTTATGTTTTAAAATTGTTGCAGAATTTTTTACCCATCTAAAGGCATGAGGCTATATCAATCACGTATCAAAGATGGCTATTAAAGGCTATCACACTATGTTTAGGGGTGAAAATACATTAATACAGACAGGGGCGAAGCTAGCATTACGCACTTAATTGCATGTGTGTAACATTCAGATCAAGGAAAATGAAAATTCAAATATACTTTAAACTAAGAGAAAACTAAATGGTACAGGCGATGGTAATGTTTGAGGGTTCAGATACACAGTGTTTATTCTAGGATTCGAAAAACGGGGGATTTTTATCGAAAAGTGAGAATTTATTACATTTGTTGATCTTTTTCCTTTTTTGTCTATGTAAAATTTCCCCTCTTCCTCTCAAAAAATAGGGGTGAATTCTCAAAAATATGGGTGAATCACCCCATCGCCCCTCCTAGAGTAGACACTGGATACATGATTCAAAAAAAAAATTACCTCTAATTATATAATTGGTTCTAATATAAAATAATATAGATCTTTCAAGTATTAATGTATTAAAGTTTCAAAGCTTTAAACCTTTAATTACTATATAGAGTGAATAACATTAATAAATTTACACTATAAATGTTTTGTCAACACAAAGAGTTAATCTATAAAGAACTCAGACATAGCAGAAGTTCGCACTAGAAAGTTATATACATGTAGTGCGTGTATTTTTAAAATGGTGAATAATAATTGTTGTGTCCCTCCTTACAGATGCTTACAAAAAGATTCAATTTTTTGATGGACTTGGGGGGGGGGGGGGCTTTTGTCCTACAGGTCTGTATTTTTGATGGAGGGGGGGGGGGGCTTTTTTGTCCTACGTGTAAATTTCATGGGGAGCTTTAGTCCACCTTGTCATTTTTAGATGGGGAGGTTTGTGTCCAGGAGGGGTGGGGGGTAGGGTCTGGGGGGGTATAGGAATTTATAGGAACTTGACGCCCTGCTAGTGCTGAGGAGCAATATTCATGTGGTTATCAAATTGACTGGATAAAATTCTTTTATCTTTGACATGTTTTATTTGATAGAGAATTATGTCTGGATCTCAGCATGAAATGACTTTGTGTACAGAGTGCACTAAAGAGTGCTGGAAACCATTCAGTTTCTTAAACATCAAAGCAGAAGGTATATGTTTTTATCTTTATGAAACTTTTTGGGATTCTTTTTTTAAAAACAAAAATCGAGTAAAACAAGTTGTATGTTCAAGACACGTAACCATGTCATAATAATATGCAAACATAATTTGCGTATGGTTTGGGTTTGCAAATTGATCTTAACCATTTGTGCAGTGATGTACAGTACATGTGCGTATCAATTAAGGGTATCTGGACATTTCACCTTGACATTATGGTCCTGGTCTTTTCGGCAACTTTTTTGTTACAGTATTGTATACTGTCCTGATTAATCAGTATACATGGGCTTACAGACACTTCTTCCCCAGACACTTCACCCTAGGCCCTTTATTGCAGACACTTCACCCCTCAGACAGTTCACCCCTCATTTTAATAAAATTGATTGAGACACTTCACCCCTCATTTTTTTTTTATTTTGTGTTTAACAATTATTTATGTAGAAAATGTTTTATGCTAATTTCAATTGAACTAAAGGTGATATAACTAATTGAATAATATTTCTAGTGAAGTGTGTGAACTTTTGTGTGAATTTTCCTTTGATATATATAATAAGAGTATATAATCTCTTTTACACTTACTTTGTGTCTTTAATTGACAGTATCTTGTTTTATGGTTTGAAAGCAAAATAGGAATACAAAGCTGTTAGTTAGCTGTAATGAATTGTGATATTTGTATTAATTATCATGTATTAATAGTTTAAGTAATTCATATTCTTTTAATGTAACTGAATAATTTTGTTTAACAAGCTCATATTTTTGAGATATCATAACTGCAGATTAGCTTTAAGTTTCAATTTTATTAGCATCACCAGTAAATCAATAATTATTGCTAAATGGCCATTTACAAAGAAAATACATGAAGTATGGCAAAGACATACAATACAAAATAGTAATAACAATACAAACTCATACAAAGACTTTCAAGTAATTTTAAGTTAGCCTATAACCCATTGTCAAATAAATTTTGAGTTGATTTAATTCTTGAAGTTTTGGTACTTAAGTTTGTTTTCAGTTTGATCCTTACCATATCAAGTTACGTTTATTTGGTGACGATTTGTGCTTTAACCTTTTGCTTAAATTAATTTACATAACTGGTGCAATTTATTTGTTTAATAAATGACATTATGAGTGATCTTTGTATAAATGTAGGATAATTGTGTCTGATAATGATGATAAATAATTTTTGTTTACTACATTTGTATATTTTATAAAGCAACCGATTCATTCATTCATTTATATTCATTTTATTTATTTATTTCTTCAATTTTATAAATATATTTAATTTTCATACAATTATACCATTTTAATTCAATTATTTAATCAATTATGAGATAAATGTTGAATAAACAACCAATCAACATGTTGAATAAACAAGGTGACATGCAATTAACACTTAATGGATGGAAGTGCATTGTTTATCATATATATTTAAAAAAAAAAATTGGATGAGGGGTGAAGTGTCTTACTGATTTTGGGGGGTGAAGTGTCTTCAGGGGTGAAGTGTCTTCAAAATTTAAGGGGTGAAGTGTCTGGGGGGTGAAGTGTCTTGCTACCTATACATGTATGACCTATGTTGTTACAGCTTGTCAAGTGATTGATAATTGAGATCACTCAAGATAATCCAATCAGTTGACCAATCGAGCTGTAACAACAAAAGACATAGTGAGTCAAGCGTCTACGTTCCCTTTTACAAGAATAGTTATATTATGAATGTGGCCGAAAAAATGTTTTTTTCCCCTGTTAAATACGCAAATTTCCTGTAACTCCTAAAGCTTTCTAGCCCAACAAATTTTCCCCTTAGGGCTTTTTATTATATAGACGATGGTCGCCCTTAAAGACATACATCTATGAAATATCAGATTATAAAATCGGTCTGTCTTGCCGTCGAAATATTGAGACTAAAAGCTTTCCAACCCGGAAATAAAATGAGTCATAAATTACAAGTTTATTGATAACAAGAACAAAACAAATTCAACCAATTACACAAATAGAATTGAAACTAAAGATACTTCCATGATTGGAATTACAGATACAGCGAAAGGTCATAGATTTAGAAATGACAAAAATATTTGATAAAATTTACCTGTAACTTACCTGTATTTTTTTCAAAATGGCGCTTTTAGTTTTTTCGCAGTGATCTCCCCTTATCAGCATCTGATTTCAAAGGGAGGCGATGAGTCAAACTCCTCACAGTGATTACCTCCCTTGGCAGAACGTAACATAGAAAATTTAACTTCATTTTTCTCTTTCTGTTTTACTTTTAACTTTTCGTACCCAAGTTCGTTATAGTCAAAAAAATACCACTATGCAAAATAATGAAAATTAAATTCAAAAGTTAAAAAATATAAAATATCAAAATATTGCTATTTGAATCCTGACGTACATATTATATACATACGTATATATTTAAATGAGCTGAAATCATATTACCATTCAAAGACCCTGCGATCTTTGACCTGGTGACCCCAAAATCAATAGGGGTCATTTACTAGTTATGATCAATCAATACGTGAAATATGAAGACTTTGTGATAAATAGTAACCAATATAATAATAGAAAATCATATTGACATTCAAGGCCCCTGTGACCTGGACCTAATGACCCCAAAATCATAAGGAGTCATCTACTAGTTATGACCAATCAATATGTGAAATCTTACTACTTTGTGATGAACAGTTTTCAAGATTATCAGCGGAAACCATTTTGACATTCAAGGCCCCTGTGACCTTGACCTTTGACCTAGTGACCCCAAAATCAATAGGGGTCATAAATTAGTTATGACCAATCACCATGTGAAATATGACCACTTTGTGATAAATACTTTTCAAGATAATCAGCGGAAACCATTTTGACATTCAAGGCCCCTGTAACCTTGACCTTTGACCTAATGACCCCAAAATCAATAGGGGTCATCTACTAGTTATGACCAATCACCATGTGAAATATGACGACTTTGTGATGAATACTTTTAAAGATAATCAGCGGAAACCATTTTGACATTCAAGCCCCCTGTGACCTTGACCTTTGACCTAGTCACCCCAAAATCAATAGGGGTCATTAATTAGTTATGACCAATCACCATGTGAAATATGACGACTTTGTGATGAATACTTTTTAAGATAATCAGTGGAAACCATTTTGACATTCAAGGCCCCTGTGACCTTGACCTTTGACCTAATGACCCCAAAATCAATAGGGGTCATCTACTAGTTATGACCAATCACCAGGTGAAATATGACGACTTTGTGATGAATACTTTTTAAGATAATCAGCAGAAACCATAATAATAGTAATAATAATAATATCTTTATTTAAAGAAGGTTACACATTAAGAACATACAATAACAATCATATATATCTTATTTCCAATGTGGCCTTCTGAAATAGAAAACAACAACAGGACATGCATAGGTAGAAAAATGAATGTATAATATGTAATTTTTAGAATATTACAACTCATATACTTTCGACAGACACTCAACAATTTGTTTGAACATATACGTATATTGCATCATTCGTTTGTTCGTTCATTCGTTTGTTCATTTATTAACTAATTAATTAATCCATTCATTCATTCACTCACTCATTCATTCATATGAACATCAAGATATGCTTTGTATTTTTCTTTAACCTTTTACCCCATGAGCATATTGCGAAAAATGGCCGTTTTCATTGAAAAGCCTCCTGTAACAACTTCAAACTGCTATGAAACTATGAAAAATGCTTCAATACTAATGAAACTTGGCACAAATGTTGACTACACCATAGCCTCTGTAACAGCATGCTCAATGGTAAATTTCCTGTTACCATGGCGATGGGGGGACGTCTCAAAATTGCCAAAAATCACTATTTTGCATTGTCTTTTTCCATCAAAAATGATTTCAAAGTGCTGCAACTTCTCAATGAATTGAGATAGAGTAAAAGGCTTTTCAGCGTCCGTTACTAGTTACCCTAAGATCGACCTGAGGCCATTTTTAGCCTGTCACATGTCCAAAATTTTCTTGGCGATGAGGGGGACTCTGCCCCCCTTCAAACCCCCCAAACAGAAGGGGGCACATCCTCCTTCTGGCAACCCCCTGATGTAATTTGGATGGGGGACGGTGCCGAAAAAGTGAACACTTTTTTTAACAACATTTCTCAAACGGAAAACAGTGATTGGGGTCTAAATAGGGCAATTTTTTACTGTTTGAGGCCTCAAAAAGGGGGGGGGGGGGCAAAAAGCCGTCGAAACACGCTTATATAAGGGAAAAAGTTTTAAAAAAAATGATGAAAAACCTTGGAATTACACAAAAACTAGATTTCCCATGTTAACACATGCCCTAACACCGAAATTTGGTGAAAAATCGTTGTTTTTTGACATTTTTTATTTTTTTAATTAACAAAAAATGATGAAAAACTTTTGAATCACCCAAAATCTAGTTTTTCCATGTTAACATGTGGTCTTTTACCTAATTTTGGTGAAAAATTGTAGTTTTGTAACATTTATAATTTTTTTAGTTAACCCTTTCCCCCATGAGCATATATATTGTGAAAAATGGCCATTTTCACTGAAAAGCCTCCTCTTACAAGTTCAAACTGCTATGAAACTATGAAAAATGCTTCAATACTAATCAAACTTGGCACAAATGTTGACTGGACCATTGCTTTTGTAACAACATGCTCAGTCTTAAATTTCCTGTTACCATGGCAACGAGGGGACATCTCAAAATTGCCAAAAATCACTATTTTGCCTCGATTTTTTCCATCAAAATTTATTTTAAAGTGCTGCAACTTCTCAAGGGATTGAGATAGAGTCAAAGGCTTTTCAGCGTTGGTTACACGTTACCTTATGATCGGCCTGGGGTCATTTTAAGCCTCTCACAAGTCCAAAATTTTCTTGGCAATGAGGGGGACTCCGCCCCCCTTCAAACCCCTCAAACAGAAGGGGGCACATCCCCCTTCTGGCAACCCCCTGATGTATCTTTTGGATGGGGGGCGGCGCCTAAAAAGTGCTCATTTTTTTTAGCAACATTTCTCTAACGAAAACATGTGTTTGGGGCAAAATAGGACATTTTTTCACTATTTTGTAACCAGGCAGAAGAGAAAGTGATTTGCCTATAGTATACAGCTAGGTCAGTCTGCACATCCCTACACTGTAAACAGGCAGAACAGAAAGTGATTTGCCTACAGTATAAAGCCAGGCCAGTCAGCACATCCCTACACTGTAAACAGGCAGAACAGAAAGTGATTTGCCTACAGTATAGAGCCAGGCCAGTCAGCACATCCCTTCACTGTAACCAGGCAGAGCAGAAAGTGATTTGCCTACAGTATAGAGCCAGGCCAGCCAGCACATCCCTACACTGTAACCAGGCAGAGCAGAAAGTGATTTGCCTACAGTATAGAGCCAGGCCAGTCAGCACATCCCTTCACTGTAACCAGGCAGAACAGAAAGTGATTTGCCTACAGTATAGAGCCAGGCCAGCCAGCACATCCCTACACTGTAACCAGGCAGAACAGAAAGTGATTTGCCTACAGTATATAGCCAGGCCAGCCAGCACATCCCTACACTGTAACCAGGCAGAACAGAAAGTGATTTGCCTACAGTATAGAGCCAGGCCAGTCAGCACATCCCTACACTGTAACCAGGCAGAACAGAAAGTAATTTGCCTACAGTATAGAGCCAGGCCAGTCAGCACATCCCTACACTGTAACCAGGCAGAACAGAAAGTAATTTGCCTACAGTATAGAGCCAAGCCAGCCTGCACATCCCTACACTGTAACCAGGCAGAACAGAAAGTGATTTGCCTACAGTATAGAGCCAAGCCAGCCTGCACATCCCTACACTGTAACCAGGCAGAACAGAAAGTGATTTGCCTACAGTATAGAGCCAAGCCAGCCTGCACAACCCTACACTGTAACCAGGCAGAACAGAAAGTAATTTGCCTACAGTATAGAGCCAGGCCAGCCAGCACATCCCTTCACTGTAACCAGGCAGAACAGAAAGTGATTTGCCTACAGTATAGAGCCAGGCCAGCCAGCACATCCCTTCGCTGTAACCAGGCAGAACAGAAAGTGATTTGCCTACAGTATAGAGCCAGGCCAGTCAGCACATCCCTACGCTGTAACCAGGCAGAACAGAAAGTGATTTGCCTACAGTATAGAGCCAAGCCAGCCTGCACATCCCTACACTGTAACCAGGCAGAACAGAAAGTAATTTGCCTACAGTATAGAGCCAGGCCAGCCTGCACAACCCTACACTGTAACCAGGCAGAACAGAAAGTAATTTGCCTACAGTATAGAGCCAGGCCAGCCAGCACATCCCTTCACTGTAACCAGGCAGAACAGAAAGTGATTTGCCTACAGTATAGAGCCAGGCCAGCCAGCACATCCCTTCACTGTAACCAGGCAGAACAGAAAGTGATTTGCCTACAGTATAGAGCCAGGCCAGCCAGCACATCCCTACACTGTAACCAGGCAGAACAGAAAGTAATTTGCCTACAGTATAGAGCTAGGCCAGCCAGCACATCCCTTCACTGTAACCAGGCAGAACAGAAAGTGATTTGCCTATAGTATAGAGCTAGGTCAGCCTGCACATCCCTACACTGTAACCAGGCAGAACAGAAAGTGATTTGCCTACAGTATAGAGCCAGGCCAGCCAGCACATCCCTTCACTGTAACCAGGCAGAACAGAAAGTGATTTGCCTACAGTATAGAGCCAGGCCAGCCAGCACATCCCTACACTGTAACCAGGCTTTACATTTTTAGAGGACCAATTTCAAATTATAACTTGATACCCCAAATATTGATAATGAACATTTCCCAAAGGTGCAGCAGGACAAATCACTGTAAGCAATTCAGCAGTTCTAGGGTTTCAAACATGTTTCCTAAACTAAAAAATGATGATATCAATTTAGATAAACATTAAAGTCGAAAAGAAATTTTCAGAGAAAAGTATAACAATTCAATTTAACATTTATTTCGTGATAAAAGAGAAAACATTTTTTTACATAGAAAACTCATTTGTATGGTTGAAAAACATTTCTGAGACCATATAGGCTTACCTTGCAACTTGCCTTAGGTAAAGTTATCTCCTTTTTAATATTCAGCTTTAAAGATATATAAACATTGTGTAACTGTGACAGATACCTGTGACAGATGTCTTCACTCCAGTGAAATTATCCTGATCCATCTATATGGTACAAGACAGACTTCATTAATTTTTATCTACATGTATTATTTTTATTGCTTTCATGAAACATTGTCTCAACATTTCTCCATTCATATTCCTAGAGTATTTTCCAGTTTTAGGAACCTGTCGCACGAAAACTGGAAATAGTATACAATAAGTATCTCAGACCAAAACCAGTTTTTGTTCTGCCATATATTATGAGCTTGTGACATTGACTGATTCACATTTCTTATGCAGATGCAACATGATCTTTTTTTTGTTTATTCATTTAGGTCGCATTCATTCTTTTACTTGGGAACACACACCATTTTTTATGGATTATTCTTCTGCGGATATTTCACAAGTTTTATGTTTAAATGTTGAATACTGCTTTAGCCGGTACTATAGGTGGTGTGGACGGTAGCTTGCAATTGCTGTCTTAAATATGTACATGTCTCATTCTTGATTTGTATAAATATATAGATACATGTAGAACAAAAACATGTGATCAAATGTTAAAAATTTAATTGTAAAATGCAGCTTAAGCGATAATGAAACAATTTCGATATGATATAAAATATTATTTTGCACATACAAGTGACATAGTGTTTGGTTATCCTAATTTACACAAAATTTCAGTCACCGCAATAAGATTTTTATGGAAAACTGCCCAAAGGTGACAAATTATCATAGTTAACAAGAACTGTTCATATGATTTACATGTTTGTATACAGTTTATAAGTAGCTCTGTAAGATCAAACAATTGCACAAAGTGGGAGCTGCCTAACAAAGATACAGATAACATATATAATTATGATGATATGCAATTTTACAAACAACAAACTTGAATCTTATCTTTACAATACAAAAATAATGATAATCTTCACATTGACCATGCTTTTTAATAATTATCTTGTTCTAGGTTTACCTTGACAAATAAGATTAAAGCATTTTATGTTAGTCCTAGATATTATGTACTTATTTTCATTCTGATAATCAAGGCACTTATGCCTAAGAAATAGATACAATTACTCCTATAAAATATAAACGTAAGTGGTGTCTTCAGATCACTATAAAATGTTCACGAAAAATAGAAATAATAGCATTTACTTGTTAGCATTTACTTTTATATATAAAATGGAAAATATGTTGTTTGATAAACAAAAAACAAAGACAATTTTATCACACATCCGTGTCCATTTTGTGACATGTAAAAATGGTATTGCACGGCCGTGCATATTTTTTGACATGACGTCATTAGCGTTATACATAGTGTTAAGACGCGTTAGATGTTTGCGTTATACTATAGGCGCGTCAATGAAAAATGACTCTTTTTTCACTTGAAACAGTCTTTATTTTTGGTATGTGATAAATAGAATATTAAATTCGTGTAGGTCCATTACTGAATTTATTGAAATCCTTGAATGAAATAATATTATGCTTGCCAGAGGCTCGCATAATATAATTTTATTCAACTCGTGCAATTTTCAGTGTTGAACTTAAACTCATTCAATATCCTCTATTTTGCATCAGGTGTGTCTACACTTGTCAAATCATCTGTACTCAATATGTAAAAGAAGCTTTGGATAAAAATAATTTCCAGGTTGAAATGTCACATGACCAGTAAAACTTGTCACGTTATCCATAATGAAAACACAACTTACACTCATTTCTGTTTGTTCATAAATGAGATCTACTGTCTTGTGATAAAATACCCTCACAACAGTCATCTTTATAGCTGAATGCACAAAAAACTAGAACTATCGCTGAATGCGATTCATACCCCCACCAATGTCCTTGACAGAAGACGACTTGGAAAGGTGGTCAAGAGAATAACTTTAGTGGCACAAATACATATACATAACTAGAAATGTGTCCATAGGACACGGATGCCCCCACACGCCACTGTTCTGTCAATCTTACGACTGTAGGTCAAATATTTTTTGGACTACATGTGCAACAAGTTGAAAACTAAAAATCAACAAAGTCCCATAATTCTGTTAAATTTGGTCAAAGCAAAAATTCCTTCCTTTACTACCATCTACACATTAAGGTTGTTAATCCCTGAAAGTTTAAGCAAAATCTGCCATCCGGTTTAAGGAGTTGCGTTCACAAAATTTCTACATAGTATATAATGAAAAAATCAACAAAGGGCCATAATTCTGTTAAATTTGGTTGCAGCAAAAATTCCTTCCTTTACTGCCATCTACACATTAAGGTTGTTCATCCCTGAAAGTTTAAGCAAAATCTGCCATCCGGTATAAGAGGAGTTGCATTCACAAAATTTCTACATAGTATATAGTGAAAAAATCAACAAAGAGCCATAATTCTGTAAAATTTGGTCGCAGCGAAAATTCCTTCCTTTACTACCATCTACACATTAAGGTTGTTCATCCCTGTAAGTTTAAGCAAAATCTGCCATCTGGTTTAAGAGGAGTTGCGTTCACAAAATTTCTACATAGTATATAGTGAAAAAATCAACAAAGGGCCATAATTCTGTTAAATTTGGTCGCAGCAAAAATTCCTTCCTTTACTACCATCTACACATTAAGGTTGTTCATCCCTGTAAGTTTAAGCAAAATCTGCCATCCGGTTTAAGAGGAGTTGCGTTCACAAAATTTCTACATAGTATATAGTGAAAAAATCAACAAAGGGCCATAATTCTGTTAAATTTGGTCGCAGCGAAAATTCCTTCCTTTACTACCATCTACACATTAAGGTTGTTCATCCCTGTAAGTTTAAGCAAAATCTGCCATTCGGTTTAAGAGCAGTTGCGTTCACAAGATTTCGGGACTGACGGACGGACGGACAAGTGCAACGCTATATGCTCCCACATTGTGGGGGCATAAAAAGAATTATCTATGGTGAAAAAAAAAGACAAATTGTACAGGTAATAGTATAAATATATATTGTCAAATCATGTTAGAAATTATGTACATATACTATATTACACAATGAAGTCATTATGTACATATACTATATTACACAATGAAGTCATTATGTACATATACTATATTACACAATGAAGTCATTATGTCCATGTAACTATTTGTAACACATTGTTTTTCTGAACACGTGGTGGTGAATAATTTGTTCTAAGTAACTATTTCTTTCCTTTTTTCGCAATCCTGTTTACTCTGTCAATATGTCTTTTCAATTCTTTATTCTCTTCTAAGTCCGACATTTCCACTGGTTTTTCATTAGAACAGCCTGCAATTGGGCACCTGAAACAAAAACAAAAGGGCCATAATGGCTAGATTGCTCAGTTGTCTATAAATGCTGTAAATGATACAACAAAGTAATATTAATGATTTTAATAAACAGCAATAACAGCAAGGTTCTGATCACACTCATCACAAGATTGCCATTATTGACAGGTAGATATTAATTGTATTACTGTCAGTTAAGGATAACTATTTATTGACGCGGTGGTCAAGTCCACTATTACGGTGTAAAACAGTTATCATATTGTGTTATTATCTTTAGGCACGCAGGCTTAATTAATCAACTGTCAGCGTAACGCAGTAGGTAAGCTTGTCAGCTTATTTTCTAGTTAAATATCAATGCAAGACTGGTTCGGATTGTGCTTTTTTCTCGAAAATAATGTCTATGTCTATAAACAATATGAATATGTTATATTTTTTCTTGACGTAAAGAAGTGTTAAGTGTTGTGTTAATTTCTATTAACTTCTCATTTCAATTTCTTGTTTCCAAAAGTAATATCTAGAAAGTTGGTACAGCCTTATATTGAATACTAAACGGAATGAATACATGTACACAAATTGTTTCAACTGTAGCTAAGTTGGCACGAAATACTATGATTACTGCATATTTAACACTACACAGGATAAAAGAATATTAATACCGGTATAATTTAAACATTAGATATTATTACAAAACTACCTTTATTTTCCAATTCATTTGCATCTTCAGTAAAATTGGAAAAAAGGGAAACAAAAAAAGAAAAGGATGAGTTAGACAATTTTGAGGCTCGAACTTGTGAAAATGTTTTATTTCAGGTCATTGCATGCCAATGACCTTACCAACTTTGCCATCAAGACATTTCATATTCTACTTTTATCTTGTACTATAACCGCTTCTTAAATACCTGTTTTACCTATTCAGACAAAAAAGTAAACTTTACACAAAAAATGCAACGTCCCTCTCACATTATCAAAGTGGCACAGTACCCACATACCTGTACATACAACAGTAACATTTTGTTATATTTCTATTAAAGAAAATCATTTACAATAACAAATTTGTTTCTATAAACGAGAGCCACGGAGCGGAAACCACGCTCGACTTTTTTCTTACTTCTAAAGTCAGACACAAATATATCATAGTAAAGGGTACTTCTAGAAAATGTTATTTTCTTGTAAAAAATAAATGTCATATTTCACCATGACAGTTAAGGTCATGGTTGGTTGAAATCCCACCAGCTGTTTGACCTGTGAAAGCTGACAAGAAATTTTTTATTTTTAGCTCTGGCAGTCATTTTTCGCAGCGAAGCAAAAAGTGCTGGCGGTATGCAAAACTATGGATGGTACTGATCACTTCTGTGAAGTTAGGTTGAAATCTCACCACCAGTTTGACCCGTGAAAGCCAGATAAGATTTTTTTATTTTTAGCTCTGGTGGCCATTTTGTGCAGTGAAGCGGAACATACCGACAATAAGCACGAGGGATGGTACTTAACACTCCTGTAAAGTTTGGTTGAAATCCCATCAGCAGTTTGACCTGTGAAAGCTGCACAAGCTTAATGCAGAGGGACGACCAGATGAACAAATGGACAGACAGCGAAGTCATTTATTACAATGTAATATCCAATTAAAGCAAAAACACAATAATTTTACCTTCAAGGACAAGGTTATTTATGAGTTCTATATGGCAAATTTCTCAAATAAAATGTCATCATTTAAAAAAAAATAAAGGTTAAAAGTAACACCACTATGCTGACTATACTTGAATTACTTTTCAATGTGAAGCATTAGCTAAGCCATTGACTGAATGACGTCATTTTATTAACATGGCACCTTTTTCAGTGCTAGGTTTTCTCATGAACTTGTTGTCAATTAACAATTTGCATTATTATAAATTTATTATACTAGTTGCTGATGGAATATACTAGAGAATATAGCCTTACTGACATAACTACAGTAAACTCCGCTTATAACGAACTCATTGGGACATTCAAAATCTGTTCTTTATATTCGGAGTTCCTTGTAAGTATAAAGCGAATTGTATCAGTGAACAGATTTACATATAACAAACTGATTGTTTACCATCGTCCTCCATTTTGAAGAGCATTTGATTAGGAAAATTAACTTTATTGGGTTCGTCATTGTGGTCTCCCTTACATTGATTCAAAAAAGAAATAATTGCAATGTTTTGCAAGGTCATCAGCATTTTAAGAATAATGCCGCTGATTGGCATACTACTGGCTCTGGAACCTTTAAGTTTAAACCACTCAAAAAGTGCCGAGTCCACATTATCATATTTTCCGAAACGATGTCCCTTCCATTTCGGAGGATGTTGAGGGTTGATACCCCTCTAGAATACAATGTAATTTCTTTTAAGACACAATACCCGAGAGCATACTACATGTATTTCAGTTTAAGTTTTACTCCCTTTCTCAATATCTCATAAAATATCACATTTTGTTCCTAAACTCAGCGCTTTTTGTTTTCTTTCCATGATTTAAAATAAACAAGATTTTCGATTTTTCCTTCCTTTTATATAGAACATCTTCTTTTATATTTTAAGGGTGACTTTTACTTATGAAAGATATAGATTTCTTTTATTATATACCTATAAATTTTTTCCTTGAAATACACGCAAATCTTGAAGGGCAAATACGCTTCAAAAGATAGAAATTTCCGTATAATTTTAGTGACAAATACGGTACCATATATGGAAGTGTCAGACTGTTTTTGACGTTGGTTCCGATCTTAGCTTTGTATATCGTTGCATTTGAAAACAGGAACCAAAATTATTAAAGGCGTGGCCAATTTTGCAAGAAGTACGTAATCATCTGTCAGTCATGAATATATTTTTTGACAACTACATTTCATTTTCTGAATGAAACAAAAAGGTATATAATAGAAGGAAAATTATGTTGTAGTAGCTTTCTGAGGTTATGTATTTTTCTACTTGCAACATTCGAAAATTGGTATCTCGCTCGACCTTTGGTCTTGCTTATCAAATTTGCACCGCTGCTCCTAGCAAAATACAAAGCCTCAGAAAGCTACTACAACATAATAATCCGTATTTATTGCAATCAAGTCAAGCGTACTTTGTATTTTTCAATGGATTCTATTCTGAAAAGAAAAAGCATGGGTAATTATGTTGAAAACCGATTGCAAGTGATCATAATCATTTTTCTTTAAAAAAAGAAATAATGGAATAAAATGAATAACCTTTTTATTTTGGAGACAAGAACTTGTGCTAAAAATATCCTAAATAGAAAGCTATTACGTACTGCTATACAAACTCATTTTCATAGCTGTATTGAAGTACATACCGGGTACAAAAATAAACGGTACTTTTGGCCGGGTATTAATCTGTGCCAATGAATAAAGAAAGTAGAAAATGTGGAATCTATTTACGGATAGCCAATATTTTGCAATTTGTTTAAAAGTGTCATTTTCTGTTTTTTAACTTAATTGGTACTAAACAAGAGCTGTCACAGGAGACAGCGAAGCTCGACTAATAAAATACTGGACGCAGTAATGGGGACAAAACTATGAAAGAAAAATCAATTATGTATAATTATGTATTAAGTTTTAGTAAAAAAACATTTGTTAGCATAAATTCCAAGATCAAGGGGAATAATTCTAGAAATAGTCACACCTTGTCACACAACATGTGTGTAATGATAAGAAATATATATTTGAAGTAGATACCTTAAAAAGTAAAGAAGTTATAATATTTCTTAAAGAAAATCCTAAGTTCAAAGAGAGATAGATCTGTAAATATTGCTTCAAGAGTTGAACATTGTCACATAAAATGTAATTGATGATAAGGAATAAGTATTTGAAGTTTGAGGTAGATACCTTTAAATCTAAAAAAGTTATAGTAAAAAATAATATTTTTTAAGGAAAATTCTAAGTTCAAGGGGAGATAAATCTGAAAATATTGGTGCTAGAGTTATGAACCTTGTCACATAAGATGGGGATGATGATAAGGTACATATATTTGAAGTATGAGGTTGATCCCTTAACAAATAAAGAAGTAACAGTAAAAAATAGTTTTTTTTTGAGGAAAATTCTAAGTTCAAGGGGAGATAAATCTGAAAATATTGGTGCTAGAGTTATGAACCTTGTCACATAAGATGGGGATGATAATAAGGTACATATATTTAAAGTATGAGGTTGATCCCTTAACAAATAAAGAAGTAACAGTGAAAAATAGTATTTTTTGAGGAAAATTCTTAGTTAAAGGGGAGATACATCTGAGAATATTGGTGCTAGAGTTATGAACCTTGTCACATAAGATGGGGATTATGATAAGGTACATATATTTGAAGTATGAGGTTGATCCCTTAACAAATAAAGAAGTAACAGTAAACAAGAGGGCCATGATGGCCCTGAGGTCGCTCACCTGTATATAGCCCCCCCCCCACCCCTCGGGCCAATTTTTACCCAAGGGCTTTTATTTGTTTATTTGAACAGACTTGGTAGACACCCATACGAAGATGTTTCATGCTAAACATCTAAGTTCTAGCTCATTGGGTTTTTTTAAAAGAAGATTTTTTAAGTTTTTACTATACACATATAGTTAAAAACAATGACACCCCTGGGGCAGGGCCAGTTTTGACCCCCCGGCTTTTATTTGAACAAACTTTGTAGATATTTACTTAAAGATGTTTCATGCTTAATATCTAAACTCTAGCTATTTGGGTTTTTTCAAAGAAGATTTTTAAGTTTTTGCTATACACATATAAGGAAAATCAATGACCCCCGGGGCGGGGCCAGTTTTGACCCCAGGGCTTTTATTTGAACAAACTTGGTAGACACTCATTAGAAGATGTTTCATGCTAAATATCTTAGCTCTAGCTCTTTGGGTTCTTTAAAAGAAGATTTTTTAAGTTTTTACTATATGCATATAGGGAAAATCAATGACCCCCTGGGGCGGGGCCAATTTTGACCCCAGGGCTTTTATTTGAACAAACTTGGTAGACACTCATTAGAAGATGTTTCATGCCAAATATCTAAGCTCTAGCTCTTAGGGTTGTTTAAAAGAAGATATTTAAAGATTTTTCTTTCGGTTGCCATGGCAACCAGAGTTCTGCATGGAATTAAATTCTTTGAACAATTTTTAAAGGTGACCACCAAAGGAACATTCCTGTGAAGTTTGGATGAAATTGGCTCAGTGGTTTATGAGGAGATGTCATTTAAAGCAAAAGTTTACGGACGGACGACGGACGGACGACGGACGGACGGACGGACGCCGGACGAAAAGCGATCACAAAAGCTCACCCTGTCACTTTGTGACAGGTGAGCTAAAAATAGTATTTTTTGAGGAAAATTCTAAGTTCAAGGGGATATAAATCTGAAAATATTGGTGCTAGAGTTATGAACCTTGTCACATAAGATGTGGTTGATGATAAGGAACATATATTTGAAGTTTGAAGTTGATACCTTAAGAAATGACAAAGTTATAGTGAAAAATATTTTACTGCACCAAAACTTTAATCTGAAATCTGGACGCGGACGCCGACGCCGGGGCAAGTAGGACAGCTCTACATATACTTATAGTCGAGCTAAAAATGAGTTCCTTTTTCTTATAACCATGCAAAATTCGGGCCAAAAATTGATGTTTCTTATAACAGGAATTTTGCTATGACCGTGTCTTCTATAAGTGAAGTTTACTGTATAACCCTCATCTAGCACCTAAGATGATATTTATCTCATTCAGGTTATATTCTCCAATATATCCCATTAGCAACTTGTTTGACTTATGTTATACATGTATATGTAAATGAACAATGTAACACTCATGTAATCATGTGTTCACATACTTCGCTTTCTTCTTCCTTTGTTTGATATACTGTTGGATACCCTCCATGTCATAATTATGTCCACAATTTTTGTTTCTTACTGGGTTTACCATCTCCATACCAGTGTAGGGACATTTTGTGTTCACATTTTCCTGGGTCATTTCAACCTCTGCGTCAGTACCTGGTGCTGGAAAACCAAACTCTGCTGCCGAGTAGGCTTCATCTGTCAAAACAATAATTTTATATATGAAAAACAAACGAAACAAAAAAAAACCAACTATTTTTCTCTGAAAATATATGAGATTAAAAATGTGTCTATGAAAAAATAATATACATGTATGTATGTCTATGAAGTGATAAACAATATTTCTATGAATTGATAAACAATATTTCTATGAAGTGATAAACAATATTTCTATGAAGAAATAAACAATATTTCTATGAAGTGATAAACAATATTTCTATGAAGTAATAAACAATATTTCTATGAAGTGATAAACAATATTTCTATGAAGAAATAAACAATATTTCCATGAAGTGATAAACAATATTTCTATGAAGTGATAAACAATATTTCTATGAGAAACAAACAATATTGAGTAATAAACAATATTCTATAAAGTGATTAACAATATTTCTATGAAAAGATAAACAATATTTCTATGACAAGGGTTCCCCCACACTCCAATCTTATGACTCTAGGTCAAATATTTTTGGGGCTACATGTGCCACAAGTTGAAAACTAAAATGCTTTACTAAGTAAAGGGCAAGAACTTTACAAATACTGAATAAATCCACAAGCAAAGCCAAGGTGCATAAGTACATATGCTGACCAACATTCTTGTTAATTTTCAGATCTACAGGTCAAACACTTTTTGAGCTATGCGAAAATTTCAAATTTATACTAAGTCAAGGGCAATAACTCTAACAAAACTGAAAAAAATCCACATGCGAAACCCCAGGTGCATAGCTTCACAGTGATGTTGATCATTATTCCTGTAAAGTTGTTTGATTTTAACTCAAGCGCTCAAGGAACAAATAACACAACATAATGGAATGGTTTTTACCAAGACAAGGGCAAAAGCTCTAGAAATACTGGATAAATCCACAAACAAAACCCCAGGTGCACAACTACACATGCTGACAAACATTCCTGTTAAGTTTCATGACTCTAGGTTAAATATTTTTGAGCTACACACAACACAAATTATAAATTGCAACTTTCACTAAGTCTAGGGCAATAACTCTGATTAAAAACAGAATAAAATCTACAATCGAAACCCCAGGTGCACAACTTCACATGCTGAGCAACTTTCATGTAAAGTTTCATGACCCTAGGTCAAATACTTTTTGAGCTACATGTGACACAAAATGAGAAGGGACGGACAAATGGCCAGACAGACAGGCGGACAAAGGTAAATCTAAACCCCACCTATAGTGGGGGCACAAAAAGTAAAATTAAAAAGCAATATTAAAAACATTTTAATGCTTAATGGTATCTAACTTTGTTCTGTCAAAGTTTTGTTCTCCTCCGTAGACAGATTTTTATCTACATGTATTTGTAAAAAAAGTGTGATTTGGGGCTGGAAACTGCTAGGAAACCAGTACAGTGTGAGATTGTACAAAATAAATCAACAAATTGTGCCAAGGCAGACAGCGACAGACTACATCAAAACAGTCACAAAATTTACCAATACAGTGACAGTTGTAAAACAGTGACAGTTTGTGCCAAGAAAGACAAATTTCAATATCAAAACTCTTATCATTATGGCATAAGTCTGCCTATTTCTCTTTTGTTTCTAAATGAGTGAAAAACTAACCTGGATGTAAAGTTTCCCACATTCGTTGATTGAACTCCTGTACCTTCTCATGCTGTAGTAACATTGAAACAGTGGTTCCTGCATCCAGCTCAACCAGTTTCTTGTCAAGAAGACTTTCTAAACTCACGCCATTGTCCTGAGGCTAAAACATAATATAACTAGTTACTTAAAAAACATTAGGTACAGGATGTTTTTATCACCTTACAAATTTTATGAACTCTATATGACTTGTACCCACAACAAAATCCCACATAAAATAATGAGATACTGCATGGTGTGTACCAAACAAGCAAATTTATTAAATTTATATCCCCTTCCATTACATACAAATCACTTGACTAAAGCCTTATAGTAATCACAGGTATTCAAGTGAAAATGAATTTGAATACCTGCATTATACAGTGTACTACAAAACAGCTCTTACAGTAAAAAATATCCTTAAAATATACAATAAATTAATGCCATTAATGATCAAGGATATGGAAATCTCCATTTGGTATTGATGGTTCCAAGAAACTTTTGTTGAAATCCAGTGAGCAGTTGCCCAGAAATAGCACAGAAATGAAAGTAATTGTGTACATATACTGAAGCCAAGAATGAATAACATTAAAGGAAAATTACTGTTACCTAAAATGTTAAAATGTTAGATTTACACTACAGCTTATGTTATTCTATTATTTTAGTCATCTTTTTATTAACAAAGATGACTAAAATAACAGAATAACATCAGCTGGATCAGAAAAATTACCTGTTGTTTAACATATTCTACTGCCTCCTGAAGATGTTTTATTTCTTGGTCCATCTTGACGAAATTCAAGATCACTTTCCGTATCTCATTAATACTTTTCTCTGACTGTTCTACAAACAAAACATATTGTTTTTTATATTCAATAACAATTCTTGTTAACATGCATATATAAGAATACTGTTTGGAGTGATAACCTTGACAATAAATTAAAGGTGTTTTTTTCGTGCAATATCTTTATTTCCTTTATTGTAACCGCCGTCATCATGTTAAAGGCGACGAACATGTTATTGTTCATATGCTGAATAAAGAATTGAATTGTGTATTTTTACAACTCTTACCTACCTAAACAAATTTCCATTTAAAGATTCACACTACACTTCAAAACTCATTTATGGAAATTAAAACTGGTACTTCTTGAAAGTCTAGGTCAAGTTAGTGGCCCGTGTTCATGATAGTTCAAACTACAACCTTCTAATAATTTGGTAAAAAGAACATTTTGAGGCAGTTTTTGTACACAAAAATGACATCAATGAAAAAATAAACATTTACCAAATTTGGAAAGATCATCACAGATACCCTGCTCTGATATAACAAAGTGACCATGTGTATATTTGTTGAATAACTAGAAATGTGTCCATAGGACACGGATGCTCCAACATGCCACTGTTCTGTCAATCTTATGACTCTAGGTCAAATATTTTTTGGACTACATGTGCCACAAGTTGAAAACTAAAAATCAACAAAGGGCCATAATTCTGTTAAATTTGGTCGCAGCAAAAATTCCTTCCTTTACTACCATCTACACATAAAGGTTGTTCATCCCTGGAAGTTTAAGCAAAATCTGCCATCCGGTTTAAGAGGAGTTGCGTTCACAAAATTTCTACATAGTATATAGTGACTAAATCAACAAAGGGCCATAATTCTGTTAAATTTGGTCGCAGCAAAAATTCCTTCCTTTACTACCATCTTCACATTAAGGTTGTTCATCCCTGGAAGTTTAAGCAAAATCTGCCATCCAGTTTAAGAGGAGTTGCGTTCACAAAATTTCTACATAGTATATAGTGACTAAATCAACAAAGGGCCATAATTCTGTTAAATTTGCTCGCAGCAAAAATTCCTTCCTATACTACCATCTACACATAAAGGTTGTTCATCCCTGGAAGTTTAAGCAAAATCTGCCATCCGGTTTAAGAGGAGTTGCCTTCACAAAATTTCTACATAGTATATAGTGACTAAATCAACAAAGGGCCATAATTCTGTTAAATTTGGTCGCCGCAAAAATTCCTTCCTTTACTACCATCTACACATTAAGGTTGTTCATCCCTGGAAGATTAAGCACAATCTGCCATCCGGTTTAAGAGGAGTTGCGTTCACAAGATTTCGGGATGTACGGACAGACGGACGGACGTACTGACGGACGGACACTCGGACTGACAAGTGCAACGCTATATGCTCCCACTCTGTGGGGGCATAAAAATGTCAAAACTATTTAATTGACGAAGTGGTAGAGTTATCTTTGTGCCCGAGTTATCTCTCAGACCAGTGTAAAATAAAAAGCTTGTTTAGAGAATTAATTGATGATGCTCATAAAAATTTCTTATTATCAGTTATGTACCATCCGAATTTCATGAAAACTATAGAATAGCTTGATGGACAATACTTCAGCAGAACTCATTATTTAACACTCTGTAACTCACTGTGATTTAAGAAAAAAACTGCCTGTAAAAGTAATCTTTGCTGATTTTGTTTAGCTTGCACTACTTTGAATTCAGTTTAAAGATGTTTTCCGGAGTTTTCATATAGACATATAGGCAAAGTTAAAACTGTTCAATAGAATTTCTTTAAACTTGCAGTACTAGTCTTGTCACAGTGTTTTTTTTAACTATTTTATCTCTTATTGTCTTCTTTCACTATTAACACTTTAACCACATTGATGTGACTAGAATACATTTTCAGTCTCACCTTCCTGTTTATAGTGCTTGGACTTTCCTTTTTTGTTTGTTTTTCTTTTCACCTTTTACTAACAATCCAACGTTACACTTAATTCCTGCCTTTAACACTTGTATTAAAGGGGTTGACAGTATCCAGAGATAGACAGATAGATAGACTTGGCATGTTATTAAAATACAAGCAAATTCGTTGAATTTATATCCCCTGCTGAGTACTGGTTATTACTAACATAACAACTGAAGACATAAGGCTTTATTTATATATTTATCATGGCGTAAACAGTAATACTCTTAGTACATAATAAATATTCAGGGCAATAACAGAGCCTAAGTGTTAACTAGTAATATCTGGACATGGCAATGAGATGTAAATTGCCTTTTTGTATATATGGTTGCCATGAAGTTTTGTTGAAATCAATACAGCAGTTGCAAAGAAATAGCCATATTGTTCTATATGTATACTACATAACTAATCAAGGGCCATAACTCTGTAATGAAGGGTCTGGTCTGAACAAGGCAACAATATATGCACATCTCATCTTGGTATTAATGGTTCCCATAAAGTTTAATTGAATTCCAGCAAGTAGTATCAGAGAAGTAGCTCTATATGCATACTGCATACATTGTAACTAATCAAGGGCCATAACTCCGAGTTAGTGTCTGACGGGAACAAGCCGACGATATGCGCACCTCTTGTTTTTGAAGGTTCCATAAAGTTGGCCCTATATGCATACTGCATAACTAATTAAGGGACATAACTCTGAGTTAAAGTGTCTGACCAGAACAAGGCGACTATATGCGCATCTCCTCTTGGTATTGAAGGTTCCCATAAAGTTTCGTTGAATTCCAGCCAGTAGTTGCAGAGAAGAAGCATGGAAATGATTATTGCTCTATATGCATACTGCATAACTAATCAAGGGCCATTACTCTGAGTTAAAGGGTCTGACCGGAACAAGCCGACGATATGCGCATCTCCTTTTGGTATTGAAGGTTCCCATAAAGTTTCGTTGAATTTCAGCCAGTAGTTGCTGAGAAGTAGCACGGAAACGATTATTGCACTATATGCATACTGCATAAGTAATCAAGGACCATAACTCTGAGTTAAAGTGTCTGACCGGAACAAGGCGGCGATATGCACATCTCCTCTTGGTATTGAAAGTTCCAATAAAGTTTCGTTGAATTCCAGCCAGTAGTTGCAGAGAAGTAGCATGGAAACAATTATTGCTCTATATGCATACTGCATAACTAATCAAGGACCATAACTCTGAGTTATAGTGTCTGACCAGAACAAGGCAACAATATGCACATCTCATCTCCTTTTGGTATTGAAGGTTCCCATAAAGTTTCGTTGAATTCCAGCTAGTAGTTGCAGAGAAGTAGCGCGGAAATGATTATTGTTCTATATGCATACTGCATAACTAATCAAGGACCATAACTCTGAGTTAAAGTGTCTGACCAAAACAAGCTGACAATATGCGCATCTCCTTTTGGTATTGAAGGTTCCCATAAAGTTTTGCGTTGAATTCCAGCCAGTAGTTGCAGAGAAGTAGCACGGAAACGATTTTTGCTCTATATGCATACTGCATATCTAATCAAGGGCCATAACTCTGAGTTAAAGTGTCTGACCGGAACAAGGCAAAGATATGCACATCTCCTCTTGGTATAAAAGGTTCCAATAAAGTTTCATTGAATTCCAGACAGTAGTTGCAGAGCAGTAGCGCGGAAATGATTTTTGCTCTATATGCATAATGCAAAACTAATCAAGGGCCATAACTCTGAGTTAAAAGGTCTGACTGGAACAAGCCGACGATATGCGCATCTCCTCTTGATATTGATGATTCCCATAAAGTTTCATTGAATTCCAGCCAGTAGTGGCAGAGAACTAGCGCGGAAATGAAATTCGGACGGACAGAAGCAGGACGGACGTACACACAAAATGATACTTATGTGACTTTTCCTGCTGTATTACACAAGGAAACAACAATATATTTAGTCAAAATCAGTTTAAATGAGCCAGACGTAGACCATATGTCGGCCATTTTGAAAACAGTATGTCAAAAAAAAAACCTCATCATTTAAATCGCAGTAATGGTGTTTTACTTCAGTTTTTTCATGTTTCAGGTCAAATTTCTACATGTTATTTTGCATAATTTTAAATATTAAAAGTATCTTTACAGTGTAACTCAAAATTTATTTTTTCAACAAACAAGAACATTTTGTAATGATGATTGTTTCAGATGTATTTACAAATTTAACAGATTATTGTTGCTTTTAGCAGAAGTTTGTAAAATGTTGTTCTGTTTTACATAAAAATTTATAGATTTAAACTATTTTGCACAAAAACTTTGTTGTTTAGATGTTTGAATAAAATACAGTGCACTCCAGATACAACGAGATTGTTGGGACTTCGGATGATTCCTCGTTATAACCGGGTCTCGTTATAACCGGGACAGAACAAACGTTATAACCGGGACAGAACAAATTGAGAAATCCGACACCGTTGAGCAGCATTTATTTCTACTTTCGCTTTCACGTGCATCCTTTTTAAAGAGTATATAAATAATGGGAGGTAACTCTTTGCAATCAGAAGTTTTTGGTTTATTTAAACATGCATGTATATAAATATATCTAGCTATCATAGAATTTAAACAAAACATGAAAACACAATCTACGTCTAACCGCTTGTCTATTTTCATTTATATGTACATTTTAAAATTTGTTTTCAAAAGTCACGCAGTGCATTTCTCACGAACACCGAATAACACTGCAAGAAATTAGCCACTTCCTTTGTGCTAATCACTCAATGAAATTGTTATGTTATGACATTTCGTCACCTTAAGGCCAATTTAGCCCGGAGCGCTGACAAAACAAGGCTGACACATTTGATCGCTAATTGCTCGACCCATTATCTCGTGCCGCGTCAATAATTTCTTCATTAATTGACCTTTATTATTGGTCATCATTGTTTTTCTCAAGGTGACAAACTGATGCAGACAAAGTGCAAATGAAGTGACATCGTTAAAATTCTGAAAAATATGCATGGGGGGCGAAATTATGTACGTTGTTACCGATATCTCCCTAAAACTGATCTCGTTATAAACGATAAAAAATGAAAGGAAAATAGAAGGAAAAAGGCCGGGACACACTAGAATGTACATTTTAAGCAGTATCTCGTTAAAACCGATCTCATTATAAGTGGAGTAGACTGTATGTCAATTCTGACCAATTTTAATACTGGTCACATAGAAATATGCCATTTATACCATGAAATAAGTGATGATGCGGAATTAGTTACATGTGTATGTTGAGAATGAAAATCGAACAGAATACGTTTAAACCTGCAACCCTCGTAGCCTTATTACTGGACCATCACCAATGACCTAAGCCAGTAACAACAGAATATAATGTTAGGAAAAGATATCATTTTGTGTCAATTTTCCAATCATTTTTCAAAAAATGATGTCGTGACTCGTGTGAACATAATAATTATATCGATACCTTTGTTACTTTCCAAAAAATCTAGAGCAACTTCATTTGCAATATCCATCCCTACTTTAATGTATTCTTCTACAGTGTTTATAGATTTTACTGCCTGGTCTACAAAGCCAAATCCAGCCATTATAATGATTATATTCAAACTCTGACACTAACTATCATACAAATGACGTACATTCTACAAAGGGAGGGAATTAATTAACAGTTCATACAATTCATGATTCGTCCCATATTCGATTCGCTACACCCTATTATCAAATTAAATAGAGGATATTGAATGAGTGTACATTCAATACTGGATTTTTTGAACGAGTTGAATAAAGTTACATTATGCAAGGCTCTGGCGAGCATAATATTATTTTATTCGACAATTTCAATAAATTCAGTATTGAAATTAGACGAATATGATATTCTATTTATCACATGTCTAAAATAAAGAGTGTTGAGACAATGCAATTATTGTAAAATCCAAGGAGGATATAAGAATAATTAGAAGTTAAAATCGCTTAAATAATTAAACAGCGAATCTGTTTACACTTTCTCTCTTTGTTTTTCATCATGAAATTTTCACACGTATCTTTCTACAGTAGCATAAGACGTTAGTAAATTTAAAACCAAATAAGAATTAAGCTTTTTTTTCAATGTGTTATATAGAAATTGTCGATCTATAGATGTTACGAACAGGTTGGGAAATATAGCAAATACTATAATTTACGATGTTGCAAGTTTGAAAGTATACTAAAATATCAAAAGTTAAATATGTTGAAATCATTGTTTCTTTGCGTGGTTTAATCAAATGCTAATGTTTATTCTTGTATACCAGACTGTTGTTTCTGTTAGTTTGATCCATGCTTGGGATGGGGGTTGTGCAAAATGAGTAACATGCTTAAAATGACATAATTTCAGCACGTTTTAGCATAAAACGGAGTGTCTTAGGATGATGTACTTTCGCCAGTGGGGATGAAGTTGTAATTTCGGTAAGAAAATAGTAAATAATGAATTGATATTAATCTCCATAAATAGTTAATTTATTGAGGTTTACAATTTAGAATAGGATAGAATGTGCAAGAAAGACCAGTGTTTGTTGTTCAGATAGGAATATCCGTCTCTATGTACCCGCCCATGGTCTACCTACTCGACAGGCTTTGTTACCTCCATGTTGGCGGGTACCTTCAAAATATTCCAGAACTGCAGCATGCTACAGATATTATCATTCTGAAATCAATTATAGCGCTTAATTCTATATAATTGTCATTGTTGAAATATGAAAAATATGCCACTAATAATAACAAGAGGGCCAAGATGACCCTAGATCGCTCACCTGACTCATCGAACTCATCCGAGCAATTACTTAGACAAGCATCTTAATCAAATTTGATGACAATTGAGTCAAAAATGTGACCACTAGAGTGTTAACAAGGTTTTTCCATATTTGGGCAGTGTGATTTAGTTTTTGACCCCAGGTGACCCATATTCGAACTTGGCATATAAATCATCTAAACAAGCTTGTATACCAATTTCCAGGATATTTGGATCAAAACAGTAGCCACTAGAGTGTTAACAAGTTTTTTTTCTATGTTTAGCTCCTGTGAACTAGTTTTTCATCAGAGATGACAAATGTTCGGACTCATGATGATTGAGGCAAAAAATGTGACCACTAGAGTGTTAACGAACAAATGTGGACGAACGACGGACGACAGATGACGGACGAAGTACGGCGGACATTCAATGATCCTAAAATCTCAGCCTGAGCTAGCTCAGATGAGATAAAAATTGAATCCGCTCTATGCGCACAATGATCACTTATACCAGACATGCATAAAAGGAGACACATTGTTGTGAATTATTTTTTATTAATACCCGTATCCATAGAGTTAAATCCTAATGAACTATTGCCAATTATTGTATTAACAATTTCGCCTATAATGTCGAGTGTCCAGTGATTGTCTGTTTGTTTGTTTGTTTGTTTATACATTTTCTTAAAGTTTTCTTCATGTGAAAGTCTTTTAAATTTCATTTTGTAAAATGTCATCACATCATATCTATTAATGCCCTGCCGCGTATATAGGGAAGTGGTTATAGAAATCTATTTGCAAAATATTCCTGTCAGCTCCATTACGTTCAAACAGGTTTAAAAAAGCGGGCCATAACGGCCTTGTATCGTTTACATTACAAGTTGTTATTTCTTTTATCTAAGAGGCACACCTTTTAAAACATTTGCAGATATTCTACGTTACATGCCAGCTATCAAATATTTTACATTAGAACTCTTATATTCTCTATTTTACTATATATAGTAAAACTCTGTGACCTTAAATGTTAACTATTTGACTAAAGGGGCATGCTTTATGTTACTTTGAAAAGGACTTCAAAGCAATGCTACATGCCAAAATCTAAGCTCTGAGCATTATAGTTTTACACAAGGAGAAATATGTGTTTTCCTACATATGTCTATATAAACTAAGATACCCGCAGGGAAGGGTCAATTTTGACCCCATACAATTCTATTACTTAATTAGAAGACCACAAAATGGTGCTACATGCCAGATATTTATACTCTGAGCATTAGTCAAAATTCTTTGTTATTTAGTTCCGCCCATTGTTTTCACATTTAGGGCACAAGCTTTCTATTACTTTGGGACCATACCACGGAAGTGTACATTGAAGGTTCTATGGTAACCGCCGTATATCACATCTGCGGATATTTCTAAAGTTGAATTTTTACCATTTTATATTTAAATGTTGAATTCTACTAAAGTCGGTGCTTGGGGGGGGGGGCGGTAGTTTGCAATTGACAGTATACCGTCCATGAACAGACTTAATCAAACCGAGCCTGCAACATTTTCAATTTTGCCGTTTTGGACATTCTTTAGGGATTCTTATTTTCTCTATTTTCAGAAAAATATTCTTAAGACTCTTTACTATTTAATTCTGTGTAAACTAATTGAGCCCCATGGTTGGGCCATTGTTATGCCCCACAATGTGGGAGCATATAGCGTTGCACTTGTCCGTCCGTCCGTACGTCCCGAAATCTTGTGAACGCAACTCCTCTTAAACCGGATGGCAGATTTTGCTTAAACTTACAGGGATGAACAACCTTAATGTGTAGATGGTAGTAAAGGAAGGAATTTTCGCTGCGACCAAATTTAACAGAATTATGGCCCTTTGTTGATTTTTTCACTTGATACTATGTAGAAATTTTGTGAACGCAACTCCTCTTAAACCGGATGGCAGATTTTGCTTAAACTTACAGGGATGAACAACCTTAATGTGTAGATGGCAGTAAAGGAAGGAATTTTTGCTGCGACCAAATTTAACAGAATTATGGCCCTTTGTTGATTTTTAGTTTTCAACTTGTGGCACATGTAGTCCAAAAAATATTTGACCTAGAGTCATAAGATTGACAGAACAGTGGCGTGTGGGGGCATCCGTGTCCTATGGACACATTTCTAGTTTTATTCTGAGTTACCTTTTTACAGACAAGGGTGCCAAGGGCCGGTGGGGACGTGAACGTTAAATTGCATTTTCCAGTACCGTCCATGAACAGGCTCTGTAACATTTTCAATTTTGACGTCAGGGATTCTGTTTTTTCTCTATTTTATGCCCCTTTTTTTAATGAGCATGACTTACGGACTACTCTTGTGATTATTACTCATATTTTTGTGTTCTGATATGAAACGCATGATTCAAGTTAACAGATACTAAAATTAGTTAAAGTACTGTAAGGAACTTTGTTAAAAGTATTTATGTTATTGCATTCTGATCATAATTGTTAAAGTCTTTTAAAATTTTTTCTTTATAACTGTTTATAAGGCAAAGAGTTAGAAAAAAATAAGAAGTTCTGGATAACATTATCCATTTTGTTATTGTGAATAACTGGAGAATAATCAAACAATATCAATATGATTTCTTCGTTTTATGACTTAGATCTGTTGTTTTATCAAGTGTTCAAAAGTAAACATAAGTGTTCTAACTTTTAACATACCTAACTTTGAACATGTTCTATGCGTTCAATATCTGCATGTTGCATCAGCATTGAACGAGTCTGGCATTTAAAAGTAGAACACATGTGACTAGCGTATTGATGACGATTTTTGGTCTCGTTGATATCTTTAAATACAATGACGTACATATTACTTTATGGTCTTTTATATCCGGCGTACCTGAGGCATTTTCCCATACAATACGTAATTTAGCAGATAAAACGTAATTGAGACCATTTTTACGAGGTAACGCCGAATTCTTCAATGATTCCCATCATTATAAATGTCAGTAAACTGTAGGGAAGTCATCAAATATGCAAATCAAAACATACCTCTCTGTGAAAAATATTTGATTTAGTTGATTTAGATGTAAATGCCCAAAACTTTATGATTTTTTTAAACATTAGCTCATTAAATTTCTCAAACTGCATGGCATATGTTTCAACATGTTTAATGACGTAAACCAATCTCTATCCAGAGTATAAGCATAGTCATTAGCGATGATATATTTCTATTTAATACGTCTTTAAATGTCCCCATCTCATTTAACATTGTTTTGACTCACTGTAAAAATGAATATTCTTGAATGAATGGTAAAATGTTTACTCAATTATTGATTCTAATATGATGGACATTTCGGGATGTAAAAATTACCTTTTTAAATGTTATACGTAGAGGCGTCGATTTTGGCCACATCCTTAGAAGTACTGCCACCACTGTAGTCGACACAAATAGGGATTTTTTTTCAACCTCATGTGATAAATTGACATGAACGTCCTTATTCAAGGAAGTTACATCGTGGTGATATTTGCGCCGATTTTTATTTCGGCATCAGTGTAAAAAAAGAAAGAAATCGAAAACCTCTTTTTTAATTTCTTTTAAAGATAGATTTAAATCTAAAGAAATACTGACAATGGACATGGTAGGATATCATGCCAAAATATACAATATTCCGATTTTATGACACAATGTTAGTCTGAAATTTTGTGACACAATGTTACCATGGTTACGTTTTTCCACAGAACAGTATAAAAAGCTGTTGAAAAGTTGAATTTTTATATGCTGCAAAGTCAATTTGTGCAGTACATGTGTTTTAATGTTTTATAAAATTCCACATTATAACTTACGTTTGATTGCTTAAAAATGAAAAAAGCTCTTTTTAATTTGTGACATTGACAAAATGTAAACGCATATATTTAACAAAATATTGCCCCTAAACGAACAGTGCCACATGGGTTGATTGAATTGTGAATGTTTATGCATTTTCTCAAACTCTTACATTATTTTGTCAAGGGGTCGAGGTGTCATCTAGGAGACTTTTGTAAGTTTGTTTTACAGCGCATTTTTTTTCAGCTCACCAGAACCGAAGGCTTAATGTGAGTTATGAGTATAAAGGGGGCGGGGGTGCTCCGTTGTCATGCATGAACATTCATCTTCTTCTCTAAAACTGCAGGGCAGATTAACTTCAAATTTAGTCTGTAGTCACACTCAAATTTGCTTATATCATTTCAATTGCCCCCATTTTAGAGGTCAAAAGAGCTAAAAATAGAAAAATCTTTAATCATCTTCTACTGAACTAATTGATGGATGATCACCAAACTTTGTCTGCAGCATTCTTAAGTAGCCTTTATCAAATTTGCTCATATTTATTTGAATGGCATCTTTTAGGGGCCACTAGCGCTGGAAATAGAAAAAATCTAGTAGCGCGAGTTGACAGTAAAAATGAACTTTGGGTCAAAATATCTTCAAATAATTCTAAATTAATTTGAAATTTTCTTTTAAATAGATGACAAAGCGATTACAATATCTAAGCCTGAACAACATTCACCAATTAAGAAAATGCCGAAGTTGACGACAGCTCATCCAAAAGCAGTGAAAAGAGTTTTTTTTAAAAACAGAAATAAATGCAAAGATAGTTAAGACATATATATACTTTGAAATAAATTGAAAATCGTATTTTTATACTTTCCTTCGGCCGCTTTGAGTGAAACGCATTTAGACGCTTTTCATTTTGGGTCATTCTTTTTTACAATTTGAATAATTATTCTAGAAAAACGAAGTGCGCGAATGATCTGAAATTTTGCACAAAGACCTACATAAAATGGTACAAAATATTTTCAGTCACATCCACGCAGTCAGATCAGGATCCATGCTGTTCGCCATCAGTTGCTCTACTTGTAATGGTGTTTGTAAGCGAACAGCATGGATCCTGATCAGACTGCGCTGGCTGATCTGGATCCATGCTGGTCGCAAACGCATTACGTTGGTTTTGTCGTGACGCGGCTCAATTAATATCAACCACCACTAGCACCAAATTCTTGTGGAATAGTGAAGATGCATGACACGCGTCTTTTTTGGGTGTAAAAACTAAGGGCTCTGAAAGTTAATCAAAACAAGGACATTCTTACATTTGTTTACAAATAAATCCTACTAATACTCATGTTGCAGCAACAATCTATATTATATGCTAATGACAGACAAAACAGTGGCTAGTTCTCTGTTTGTAGACATGTGCAATTTGTTGTCTTGTTAACCCTTTTGCAAGAGCCAATTCAAGGTAAAAGCAGACACAATCTTAGTACGGAGAATAAAGACAAGTCAGACTTGGTGTATTCTCAGCGGGGCTAAAGTTGTAATTTTCAACTCCCATCTCGTTTTGATTTACAGTAAACATCAATCAAATATTTAGAACCTACAATCAAGCTAGAAATATCATCTATAAATTGCTTAAATTTATACAATAGATCACTTTCACCATACAGACCACTGGAAAACTTTGCTTCATACGAAAGTACATAGGCCAGTTTAAAAGCAACTTCTTTATAAAGACAGGTTCCGGTGCGGTCGATAGTTTAATACATGTATATATATTTTGTGTGAAATTATAACACCAAACAGCGGACAACCCGCTCCATTTTTCTCAAATAAAAGCAACGTAGAGAAAAGGGGGCAATTATTCTGCCCCCCCCCCCAGTGCAATGATTTTTTTCCCTCAAAATAAAAGTTATTTACATAATTTTTGTAAAGGGCCCTCCAATATTACCAGTCATTAAAACATAAGAAAATCTGACAAACATTTTCAAAAGAAAATTTCAAAAAATTTAATTTTGGTTGTCATGGTAACCAGATTTAGAATGCAATGGAATGTTTTAAACATACTTAAATAATTAAGATCACTCTAGGAACAATTTTGATAATACTATGTAGTTTACACCAACATAATATTATATATACTGACAGTGAATGCTGACAATATTTGACATTGATCCTACTGTCTACAGTTCTAAATGAAATATAGAAAAACAACATGATTGTACTCAGATTTTATTTGTATACATATCAATTCATTGTAAAGGAGTTTTTAAAAACAGTTAAAACTAAAGCTATCACTAAATGTGATTAATACCCCCGCAAGACTGCTTCGGAAATGAGGAAGTTACTAGTAACAGAATACTTTGTAAAAGAATTGAAATAGAGTTATGGTTGTGGGCAATTAAAGATAGTTGTGATCCTCGTGCGTTGCATTTCCGTTCACTGTGGTTGACCATTGATGAAGTTTTATTTGATTACTCTGTAATAAGTCCAGATAGAGTTAGGATTCTTGAGTACTGCACTTCCTCACATAGCACCTGACCATTGTATGAAGTTGCATTGAATTCCAAACATCAGTTTTTAAGTTATGCACCAAACAAGGAAAAGGAACAAAGGGTTATAACTCTGCAAATACTGAAGATGGAGTAATGGTTATTGTACACTGCATTTCCTCTCATTGCGTTTGACCATAGTATGAAGTTGTATTGAATTCCAACTACTAGTTTTCAAGTTATGCACTGGACAAGAAAAAGTAACAAAGGGCAATAACTATGTAATTATTCCAAATAGAGTTATAGTTCTTGTGCATTGCACTTCATCTCACTGTGCTTGACCATTGTATGAAGTTGCATTGAATTCCAACCATTATTTTTTAATAATGTACTGGACAAAAAAAGTAACAAAGGGCAATAACTATGTAATTAGTCCAAATAGAGTTATGGTTCTTGAGCACAGGACTTCAATTCACTGCGCTTGACTGTATGAAGTTTCATTGAATTCCAACCATTAATTTTCAAGTTATATACCGGACAATAAAAAATAACAAAGTGCAAAATCTCTCAAATGAGTCAATGAACAGTTATGGTTCCTGTGCATTGTGCTTCCTCTCAATATGTTTGACTATTGTACGAACTTGTATTGATTTCCAACCAGTAGATTTCATGTTATGCTCTTGGACAAGGAAAAGTAACAAGGGGCAATCACTATATAATAACTCTGGATAGAGTTATGGTTCTTGTGCACTACATTTCCTCTTATTGTGCTTGACCATAGTATTAAGTTGCATCAAATTCCAAACCATTCAAGTTATGCACTGGCCAAGAAAAAGTAATGAAGGGCAATAACTCTGTGATAAGTCAAAATGGACCAACCACTGGGTGACTCCTATATAACCCCCCAAACTTGGTTTCAGGAGTATAATAAATATGTAGTTAATAAGTTAGATTATACCTCGTACAAAGTAACAAGCCAATAGTTAAATGTATAAATTTTTGACATTTGAAAGTTACTGCATCAATATAATGTAAATACTACAATTTTTTTTACATTTCAAAGTGTAGTTCCAACTAGCAATCTCTTTTTCTATTCATACAATAAACTTTTCAAGTGTATAACAAGGTGTATTAATGTTGAAGAAGACATATAATTTTTCTAGTTGTCAGCTATTTTTTCTCTCGTGGGTATGTATTATCTGGCCATTTAGCTTGTGGGAAGACTTCCTGACCAAACAGACCTAGTTTGATAACGCAATCCTCGGTAGGGACCATCACCACAATACTGCCTTCTTCCTCTTCCCCTCCTACACCAAAAATAGATAGAAATATTTAGAAACATTTAGCCAGCTAAGATAGATGATTACACAGTATTTAATGAGTTTTATATTTAATACTTCAATATTGTTAGAGAACTTAGTAAGCCGTTATGCAAAATATATCAACAGGTAGTTTGTGAAGATAAAATTTCATTGTTTTACAAGATTTTGAGTGCAGTACTCTGAATCATATTCTTATATCTTAACATTTGAAAAATAGAGGCATAACAAGCAGCTATTTGTCATAACAAATGATAAGTGATATACACTATCAATTTTTTGGTTGGATTTAACGTCACAGCAACACTGTAGAGACCAGCTTTTCTGGTGGAGAAAGACCTCTAGTGTCCCTCTGTGCACTATTTTTGGCACAAAACCCGAGTAGAACAACTGACATTCCGTAAGCTTACTGGATAACTTCTCTCAAAAAGCCTCTGATGGGATTGGACATTTAGTGGTGAGAAGCAATTGATTTTAAGTCAATGACCTTAACCATTGGCCACAGACGCCCCTACCATATTAATATCAATTCTAATGTACACAGTTAATCAAAATGTCAAAACATTCTTAAAATCAACTGCTATGCATATAGGTCTTAAAGATGAACAATTTCTGCATAATAATACTTAAAACCCAATACACTTATACTCAAGCACTAAAATATTTTTAGATAATATTAATTTTAACAACATTAAGATGGAAAAATAGAGAATATTTGTTTGTTTTGCATGTAAGATTGAAATATATTTCACTGAGTGAACATCAGATGCAATATTTTCACGAGTGGCATAGCCATGAGTGAAAATATGATAGCTGGTGTTCACGAATGAAATAATTATATTTCAATCTTATATGAAAAACAAATAAATTTTCTTTTTATTTCATGCTTTTAAGGCGATTTTTAGTATTTTTTTTTACTGATTTTGCCCCGTAACGTCATGCATTATCCTTTATGATGTCATCACATCATCAATTTTGAAATATAGTTCTGTTAAATTTCTCTAATTTTGTTACATTTTTAACATGATGTATGGTGAAATCGACTGTCTTTCCCTAAAGAAGCAAAATTTATGTATGACAGCTTTTATATTTTCCTGTTATTCCATTTAGTTATGATATTCTTTTCATTCGCATTTAGATTTAAAGTCCGGCTACAGTGAATATTATATTTTATAAATTTCACTAGTGTTTATCAGAATATAATCATCTGATATATTACAGTAAAACACTGGAAAGCATGAAATAAAGTTGTGATGTTCAGATTTTTTGGCTTATCATTTAGATTCTTATAACAACTTCTTCTGTCTTACCAACAGTTGGTAAAGATGGCTTTGAGAACAACGAAGGTTTCGTGCTATTGATGAATTTTCTATAAACACATCCAATATCTTCAAGAACCTGCAAGAAGATAACAAAATGTATATGAAGCCAGACCTATATAATGCAAAGTATTGTGGGGCCTGTAAATTCAAAGACAATCAATATTTCTGAACTTGCATACATTCCAACGGCATGACTTTTTTTTTATCATATTTAGACAGTAGTGAAGCTGTAACTTAAACAAGAGCCTGTTGAACCGGGTGATGCTCCCCAACTAGTTTTTGGACACAGAAAAGTATATCTTTTGTAGTTTCAGAGTTATGTCCCAGACAAAGTTCAAAATGTGATAAATCCAAACTTAGGCAAAATAGAGTTACTGTTCTTTGCACTGCACTTCTACTCAATGAGATCTATCCACCAACTTGTGGGTGACACGTCGTCTCAAGATGTTGATCATATCTGTGAAATAGTTGTAAAATCCAACTTCAAATAACGAAGTTATGGGCCGGACACAATTTTGCTGCAAGGTCATACTGTTACCTTGACCTTCAAGGTAGCGACCCAAATGTTGTGCGCAACACGTCGTCCCAATATGGTGATCATTTCTGTGAAATAGTTGTAAAATCCCACTACAAATAAGAAAATTATGGGCCGGACATGATTTTGCTGGAAGGTCATGCTGACACCTTGACCTTCAAGGTAGCGACCCAAATATTGTGCGTGACACGTCGTCTTAATATGATGATCATTTCTGCAAAATAGTTGTAAAATCTGACTTCAAATAACGAAGTTATGGGCTGGACACGATTTGGCTTTAAGGTCATGCTGTGACCTTGACCTTCAGGGTAGCGACACAAATCTTCGCGTGACACGTTGTCTCAATATGGTGATCAATTCTGTGAAATAGTTGTAAAATCCATCGTCAAATAACAAAGTTATGGGCCGGACATGATTTTGCTTCAAGGTCATGCTGTGACCTTGACCTTCAAGGTAGCGACCCAAATTTTGCCCGCGACACATCCTTTTAATATTGTGATAATTTCTGTGAAATAGTTGTAAAATCCAACTTCAAATAACAAAGTTATGGGCCGGACACAAATTTGGGACGTACGGACGGACAGACTGACAACCTGGCGACTATATGCTCCCCCGAAATTTTTCGGTAGCATAAAAACAAGAACTGTCTTTGGAAAAAAACAAATGCCTTCCAAGCAGGGCCTAGTAAAGGAATCATGACCTTTTATTTGTATCAAAGACATGGTTACTACAAAAAGAGTGTTATAATACACAATATAGAAACATTAACAAATGCTTTCTCATACTCTCGGTGCATTCAGTTATACCACAAAGCATCCATGAATGAATGACAGAGATAAAACCAGGAACTATTATGACATGCAACTTTAAAATTGTCAACCTTGCTTTTATATAAGATTGGTACAGAATTATGCCTAGTTTTTTCAAAATTCATTCATGGATGACGAAATTGATGACTGGATATAACCACTGATGTACTCATCACAAATTGTTTAAACATACTTTTAACATTTTATTAAAAAAAAATAAAACTAGAAATGTGTCATCATGCCACGGATGCCCCCGCATGCAGCCAAAATTTCAGATGTTATAATATTTAGTTCCAAATTTGTTTGCACAAATTATTGTTTTCATTTTAAGTTCAAAGCCCTTAAAACTTTTCAACGTTTACACAAACCATTTTCATACAATGTTCAAGGCACTGAAATTATTCAGTCTTAACCTTTTGAAAATAGCATATTTCATATTTGTAGCCAAATAATGGCTACATACATTTCCACAAAAGTATGAGTGCTGAAACTGAAAGTTCAAAATTTTTCCAATATTCAAGAAAGATAAGTTTGTCCAAAATCATTGAACCACGACCAAATTCAAACTTAAACTGCTTGTTCCTAAGATGTATCTATATTATTTTCAAAGTGAAAGGGACATAGCTCTGCCAAAAAATCATCGAACCATGACCAAATTCCAACTTGACCTGCCCATTCCTTTGACATATCCATATGTCAAATTTGAGTTGAATATGTAACACTGTTGGGTAGATAATGAACAGAAACTGTAAATTTCATATTATTTTCAAAGTGAAAGGGGCATTACTCTGCCAAAAATCATTGAACCATGACCAAATTCGAACTTGGCCTGCGCATTCCAAAAACATATCCATATGTCAAATATGATTTGAATGTGTTGTACCGTTGGGGAGATAATGAACGGAAACTGAAAATTTCATATTATTTTCAAAGTAAAAGGGGCATATCTCTGCCAAAAATCATCGAACCATGACCAAATTCGAACTTGACCTGTATTTTCTCATGACATATCCATATGTCAAATTTGATTTGAATGTGTTGTACCATTGGGGAGATAATGAACGGAAACTGAAAATTTCATATTATTTTCAAAGTAAAAGGGGCATAACTCTGCCAAAAATCATCGAACCATGACCAAATTCGAACTTGACCTGTATTTTCTCATGACATATCCATATGTCAAATATGATTTGAATGTGTTGTACCGTTAAGGAGATAATGAACGGAAACTGAAAATTTCATATTATTTACAAAGTAAAAGGGGCATAACTCTGCCAAAAATCATCGAACCATGACCAAATTCGAACTTGACCTGTATTTTCTCATGACATATCCATATGTCAAATTTGATTTGAATGTGTTGTACCATTGGGGAGATAATGAACGGAAACTGAAAATTTCATATTATTTTCAAAGTAAAAGGGGCATAACTCTGCCAAAAATCATCGAACCATGACCAAATTCGAACTTGACCTGTATTTTCTCATGACATATCCATATGTCAAATTTGATTTGAATGTGTTGTACCGTTGGGGAGATAATGAACGGAAACTGAAAATTTCATAGTATTTTCAAAGTAAAAGGGGCATAACTCTGCCAAAAATCATCGAACCATGACCAAATTCGAACTTGACCTGTATTTTCTCATTACATATCCATATGCCAAATTTGAGTTGAATATGTGCAACCGTTACTAAGATAATGAACGGAAACTGATGATGACGGAATGACAGAATGACGGAATGACGGAATGACGGAAGGACGGAATGACGGAAGGACGGAAGGACGGAACAGGGTAACACTATATGCCCCGGCCATTACATGGCGGGGGCATAAAAATTTGCAAGTTTCATTAATCTAGCAAACCTAATGAATTAAATGCAAATAATTATTAAAAATTTATGTTTTGCTGACAAATTCTGGCTTTATAAAGAACTTCCAAGCATGATAATGAAAAACATGTACTATCGGAACATGCAGGGTAAATGTGATCTCAGATAACTAAATTTGTGTTGTTATTTTCAGCTCATTCTATTATTTAACAATATTAAATATCAAATCAACAAAACTGGTGATTTTCAAACAACTAATACTTAATGACATGAATAAATCCATACTCTCACATCAACTTACATCTACAATATTTCTGAGGATCATGGGCTGCAAGTAGGGTGAATATCTCCTAACCAGAGCATCTTCTGGGCTCCCAGGATTCATCATTAAATACAACATGACTGACTCTAACATCATCTTTAGTATCCCCTTGTTTATGCCACCTTCTGGTTTACGCCATGGTTGAATGACCAGTCGAACTTTATCATATGTGCTAAATACAAAAATAGTTATGTCTGAAACATCAGTTAACATCTGGAAGACAATATTGCCTGATCATCAAAAAGTATTGATATTCCAAGTAATTCTCAGTTTGTACTTGAAAAGAATGTCACATAACTGCCAAAGAACATTCAAAAAATTATGAAAGTGATTGTAAAAAGAAATGTATAAAGAAAAAAATCACCTCACAGAAGGGGCTTTATTTTGTATGACATGTTCTTCATCTTCTGGGTACTTTCTCTTTTTTATCCTTAATCTCCTTTCCGTGTTGGAATCATTTACCTCATTAGCACCAATGCCCCCCTTTGAATCATTGTCAATTTCTGTTGCTTCAATGTCTTGTTTCTTTGTGTCACAAATTGTGTTGGTGTCTACAGTTCCTCCAGTACTTCCTCTATCAGTTTTTATCTCTTCAGTGGTTTCGTCAGAACTTGATTTAGATTTTGCGTTTATTGCGATATTTTTACATTTGCTTTCAGTACTTTCTTCTTTGGTCACAGGTTCACTTTTTTGTCTTTTCTTTGTCTCTATGGCAATTCCTGTATCAGTTGGTACAGAAAGTTTCCTTTTTGATACTGCCCTAATATCAGAATCTATTGTATCTGCAGGAACATTCTGTTTTTCAATTTTGGGTTCTATTTCTTTTCCCGTATCTTCTTTTCTTCTTTTTGGGTTCTGTCTGCTTGAGAACTGTTTTACTGATGAACTATTAGCATCTGTTTGCAAATATATATATAAAAATTACATCACTTTGCAATAAATATATGGTACATTTTATAAACCGTAACTCAAATTAATCATTTAAATGGAAAGTTGGTTTATATAGGATAGCAGATGGTATTAACCATTCTTACTTTTCCCTTATCCATTGCAATTAAGATGGTTCATAGTCATGGCCTTTTAAATGCAGGCATGATGTATTCACATACACTGATCAAACGCTTATTAACACTAGAACTTCCCGAGTCGCATGTGTCGCCTTGTGAACAATATAGTTTAGGAGAAATGGCCTAGACAAAAATAAAGTATGAAAATTAACAAAGGGCAATAACACAAAAAATAAGAAATGCAGAGTACCGGTTCTTGTGCACTGCACTTTTTCTTAATGAGATCTATCATCATATGAAGTTTCATGTCCATAGCTTATATACTTTAGGAGAAATGGCTGGGACAAAAATAAAGTATGAAAATTTACAAAGGGCAATAACTCAAACAAGAGCTGTCACAGGAGACAGCGAAGCTCGACTAATAAAATACTGGACGCAGTAAGGAGGACAAAACTATGAAAGAAAAATCAATTATGTATAATTATGTATTAAGTTATAGTAAAAAAAATAATATTTGTTAACATAAATTCCTTAAAAAGAAAAGAAGTTATTATATTTCTTAAAGAAAATCCTAAGTTCAAAGAGAGATAAATCTGTAAATATTGCATCAAGAGTTATGAACAATGTCACCTAAAATGCTATTGTTGATAAGGAATAAGTATTTGAAATTTGAGGTAGATACCTTTAAAAATAAAAAAGTTATAATAAAAAATAACATTTTTCTAGTAAAAAAATCTAAGTGGGGAGATAATTCTTGCAATATTGGTGCTAGAGTTATGAACCTTGTCACATAATATGTGGATGATGATAACGTAAACATATTTAAAATATGAAGTTGATCCCTTTAGAAATAAATAAATAACAGTAAAAAAAATATTTTATATGGAAAATTCTAAGTTCAAAGGGAGATTAATCTGAAAATATTGGTGCTAGAGTTATGAACCTTGTCACATAAGATGGGGATGATGATAACGTAAATACATTTGAAGTATGAGGTTGATCCCTTAAGAAATAAAGAAGAAACAGTAAGAAATACATGTAGTACTTTTTGAGGAAAATTCTAAGTTCAAGGGGAGATAAATCTGTAACTATTGGTGCTAGAGTTATGAACCTTGTCACATAAGATGGGGATGATGATAAGGTACATATATTTGAAGTATGAGGTTGATCCCTTAAGAAATAAGGAAGTAACAGTAAAAAAATAGTATTTTTTAAGGAAAATTCTAAGTTCAAGGGGAGATAAATCTAGAAATATTTGTGCTAGAGTTATGAACCTTGTCACATATGATGTGGTTGATGATAAGGAACATATATTTGAAGTTTGAAGTTGATACCTTAAGAAATGACAAAGTTATAGTGAAAAATATTTTACTGCACCAAAACTTTAATCTAAAATCTGGACGCGGACGCCGACGCCGGGGCGAGTAGGACAGCTCTCCATATACTTCGTATAGTCGAGCTAAAAATAAGAAATGTAGAGTACCGGTTCTTGTGCATTGCACTTCTTCTTAATGAGATCTATCATCCTATGAAGATTCAAGTCCATAGCTTTTATACTTTAGGAGTAATGGCCCGGACAAAAATAAAGTATGAAAATTAACAAAGGGCAATAACTAAAAAATTAAGAAATGCAAAGTACCGGTTCTTGTGCACTGCACTTCGGGTCTTATAAGAAGCATGCATACTAAGTTTGAAGTCTATCCGACTTATAATGACTGACTTCTGCTCCTGACAAGCTTAAGGGGACGTCAACGCCAACAACGACGCCGCCAACAAAAGTAGCCCCTATTATGTCGCCTTTTTGAATGCGACACAAAAAAACCTGTGTTTAAATAGGAAAGGGAAAAGTAAGACCAGAATATATATTTTATGGACAAAAAATAGTTTGTGGGGATACAATTATTAAGCGGGTCAAGACCACCCCTTTCTTTGATGGCAAAAATGATACGAGTTGAATTGTACAAGTTTGAAGTGAATTTAAATTAATTGTATTGACATGCAGTAAATAAAACAGTGATTCATTATCTACACTAATTAGTGATATACACTATCAATTTTTTGGTTTGATTTAATGTCGCACCAACACAGTAGAGACCAGCTTTACTGGTGCAGAAAGACCTCTAGTGTCCCTCTGTGCATTATTTCTGGCACAAGTGGACACCTGAGTAGAACAACTGACGTTCTGTAAGCTTGATGGATAGCTTCTTCCATAAAAGGATCCAAAGCCTCTGGCGGGATTGGACCTTCAGCGGTGAGAAGCAATTGATTTAAAGTCGCAAACTTTCTGTGATAAACCCGTTCACCCTTCAAGTAAATTAAAAGAACAACTAGGAGCTTATGTCTATTAACAAGAAAAGGCCAAAATGATATAACGAAAAAATGCTCCAAAGAAAGTTGTAGATACACAAAAGCAAGTACCTTTCAAGGGACCAAAATCTTAATCAATATACAAAGACTTTCAAATCCAATCACAAACTACACAATTTATAACCAACATGTGATGAATCTTCTTAGTTGATCTGTGTCATTCATACCAAAATAAGCTAAATAATTCACTTAACATACCAATGTTCAGTATGATATAGATCTCTATAACAAAATTCTCAAACTGTATTGACAGTAATCAATCATAAACTTACTTATTATAAATAAGATATTAAAAAAGACCTTTTCCATCCTAAAATCAGTTAACAACTCTCCCAGTTAAATGTAAAAAAATATTTATCTGATAATTCTATTTTCATGGTGACAATCCTCATTTATTTGTTTTACAAATAACTGGCCATTTACCTGTAGGAAAAATATAATCATACAGCCAAATGTAAAACAATGATGTAACATATAAAGTGTATTGAAAATTTAACCGATCACAAATAATTTGACATTAGGATATTTCCCTATAGATTAATTTATTACCCCCACAGACAAATTTTATTTTCTGTATCAATCCATTTATCATATTGGTAGTTGATTTAAATGCTGATTATTCTAACAAGATGTAGATTTTTAAAACAAAATTGTTTAATGGAATAACTAATATATTTGCATTTTTTTGCAAAATAATACTTAACAAGTGGGCCATTGACACTAAAGAGCTTACCTGAGCCTAAGGACAGAATGGCTTTAGACCATTGTGATTTTGTCCAATGACTGAATTACTTTAAATCAATCATTAGGGATTTTTAACTAGTCATGATTATCCTCCATATCAAACTTTCAGAATATAGACCAAAGGCAAAAGATCATGTTTCTTGCTAAATATCTAGGCTCTCGGTGTTTGGGTTTCAGAAGATTTTTTTTTATAACAATACATGTATGTTACAAGCCATGACTCGGCCTGCCCCCTTCACAAAGGCAGATTCTTGAAATTTGCACTTTTTTAAAACTCCTTTTTTGGCCTTGTACCTTACTTATGTAACCATTTGTACAATTTTTATACAAAGATCATTCCTGTGTAGTTTGGTAAAAACCCAACAATTGATTTCAGAGGTGATGTTGTTTTAAGAAATGGTTGATGACAGGGGATCACAATAGCTGTGCTGATGAGCTTAAACAACATTGTCTAATAAGACAACCAATAACCAAAAAGTCTTTAGATCATAAATCTAAAGAAAAAAGAGACTACATTCTGCACAATCATGCAAACCAACTGTACAAAATAGGCTATAATTACCTGATTCAGTGTAAAAATACGACTTTTCTCCTTGATGTGATGGGTCTATCCAATTTTCATCAATCTATTCACAAAAGAAAATTATAAGAGTACAATAAAAGAAATAAAAAGCAATGGAACAAATGTTTTATTTCAAGATCATTTGACAAATATAAGTAATGGCGTAGAATAGATGTTTTTAATGATTATAACACCTAGATCGTTCACCTGAGGTTTTTGCTAGAAAATGTCATAAATGTCATAAAATTCTTCATTTTAAAGCACACTAAGAGACTGTCCAGCTTTACTGGTGAAGAAAGACAGAATGTGTCCCTTGACAAGCTGTTCCGTAAGCCAACTTGATAGCTTCCTCACAGTAAAACAAACTGGGGAATCAAACCCTAAGCAGCGATTGGCAAGTTTATTCGATGTCAACTAACTGAACCACTCGTTTATGGACCTCACAAATGTCTTCTTCAATGCAAATGTAGTAAATATTTTTAAAGTTTAGGTTGCCCATTATATTTAGTTATTCATATAACTTTTATTTGATTTTACATGCCAAATATGAAAGGTCAAGGTGTTTGTGTTGGTTGTTTTCTCTATAGATCACAGCAGAAAGCCACTGTGGCGTAGAAAATTTAGGTAAACTGGGACAGAGCCAATTGTGACCTAGGGATACGGTTTATTATACCTTTGTAGAGGACCATGAAGTAAGGCAACATACTGTGAACATTGCAGTGTCTGTGGAGATATTTTTAATGTTTGTTTGCACTATACATGTAGATTTAATAATGACCACCTGGGGACAAAGATTGACAGAAGAGGCATGCTTTTCTTAACTATTGAGATAAATCTCAAATATCTAAGCTCTACTCAAAATAATTTCAGAAAAGAAGAATTATAAAGCCTGTTGTCAAATACAAATTAAAGGACCCAAATGGCAAGGGCATTTTTTTACATCAGGACATGATTTATGTGACAATGGGTAATAATCATTAAACTACCAAATATAAAACTGTTACCTGATCAGTTGGTACACTGTTATCCACATCTTCATCTACATGCACGCCACGTCCTTTAATATTTTTGTATGCATGAATGACCCAAGGCCGTGCATTAGGCAGTGAGACAAATCTAGTACATGTGACACCAACTTTTAACACCTGAAAATAAATTCAAATATTCAAGATAAATAAAATTAGATAATTCTTAATCAATAGTAATGTTAATGATCTTACAAGAGAGCCATAATGATACCTTCATCACTCATCTGTGATCTATTGCTTAATATGGATACAGGAGTAGGTCTTTCTGTCACATCAGGACACGGCCAAGAAGCTACAGTTTGTGCAAAGTGGTATTACTAAAGAAAAATTAAATAGGTTTCCAAATGCATACTAAGTGACTACCAAGCTAGATTCAATTTTTGTTTTTATCTTTATCACATTGTTTAATTGTAAAATGCAAAGCTTTCACAGAGATTGATGGGTAAGACTTATTTCCTTTAATCTGTATATGTAAGCATAATCAAGGAGGTCGCATAAGACATGAAGACTTTATAACATGACCACAATAAAACATCAACAAAGAGAAGGGTAAGGTCTCTTTCTAAAGATGCATGGAATAGATATGCTCTGGAAAATATACTCTTTACATTTGATTATCTTTGGTGACCTTGATTTTGTATAATTTGATTTTGAACATTTGTGAAATAATCCATTATTCATCTCCAACTTAATTTACAAGTTCAATTTCAAAATATGATACCAGATAATCCTAAAATTTCCTTTTAACAAAACTATTCCCCCTTTTTTACTTAAATTTTGTCTTCTAAGGTACATTTCTCAAAAAGTGTCGAAGTTAATTGCTTCAAACTTGGAATATCTGTTCAATTTTTAAATTGGAATGAATTTTTGGAGGACAGTAACTTTATAATTTATTTTTGTGTCAGAAATGCCCCTTTTTTATTTTTTTGAAAAGCTTTTTATGTTAAGAAAGTATCACAGATATACACCTTAAACTTGGAATACCTACCTACTCACTATCAAAGCATTTCTAAGAGGTAAATAATTCAGAAAGCCTTTTTTGTTTAATTATTTTCATTTTTTGACTTAGAGATTTTGCTTTTTTCTCAACTTGTAATATTTGTTGACTATCAATGTCAGGTAAGTCTACTTAGCATGTTTGCACAATTATTCCTCTTTTCTATGTTGCTTTTATTTACTATTCAGCACTGAGAAAAGCGCAGTGTCCTGTCCATGGATAAGTCTTGTTTATCAGGCCTATGACCTTGATGTGTGGCCTTGACCTTGGTCACAAGGACCTGAATTTTGTGATTATCTCTCTGGCTAACACTGATAAACATTTGTACCGATTTCAAGGTCCATACATGCATGTAGAAGTTACTCTGAAAAAGCATTTGTTGAGGACTTACAAATGTGACCTAAACCTTTGACCTGGTTCATGCACAATAAACTACATCTAATGAAAATGCCATATGTATCAAACAATATTTAAGTAGAAGATTTGCTTCAGACAAAATAAATCTGATGACCTTGCATAAATTGACCTGGATTATGCTGGTAACACTATAAAGATATGCTCTGGACAAAATCTTGACATTCATTCTTAGTTTACCTTGACCTTGCATATATGGATAATGTTGGCAAACATTTGTACTACTGTTGACCTTGACCTTGCATATATTGACCAACATTTTTCAGGCAAAACTTAATATCATAATTGTGAACATTCTTTATACAATTCTTCAATATTACAAAATTGTCCACCTTAATTTTGCACCTGTAAAAAAAACATTTGTGCCAAGTTATATCAAAATCTCTTAATGCATGAAGAAGTTCTCCGGACAAGTCTTTTCCTTTAAATGTAACCTTGACAGTTGACCGAGAGACCTGCTTCATGTGCCTGACAAACATCCAATCATGGTTAACATTATTTTGTGTCAAGATATACATAAATTCCTCCATGCATATAAAAGACAATCCTGGAAGCTGCCTGGACCCGGCTCGTCTGCCCACACACCAGGGGCAATCTCATTTCACATCTGTATTTCATGGATGCATAAAAAGCAGGCAACAAATCCTTTTAAAGGGTAGTTAAATGATATTCAGTAAGGAATATTGAAAAAACTAGAACTGCCACTATCATGGCGTGAATACCCCCGCATACCACTTTGTCAGAATCAACAGTGGCCATTTAGAGCTCAAGGACAACCTCCCTGCCAAATCTGAGGTTACTAAGCCAGTGCATTGCTAAGTTATGTATTCTACATGCTTCAAATGTGAAAATGTCAAAATCAATACATTGCAGTCAGGACATTCTTTAGCAATTGAGAAGAAAAGCTTTTTTTTTGTCAAGGTCCCTGTGACCTTGACCTTTGACCCAGTGACCTCAAAATCAATAGGGGTCACCTTATAGTCATGATCAACATCCATGCCAAATATGAAGACTGTGGGTCAAAGGAATCTTAAGTTAATGGGTGGACAAACTTTTTGAAGTCAAAGTCCCTATGACCTTGACCTTTGATCCAGTGACCTCAAAATCAAAAGGGGTCATCTACTAATCATGATCAACATCCATGCCAAATATGAAGACTGTGGGTCAAAGGAATCTTAAGTTATTGGGCGGACAAGCTTTTTGAAGTCAAGGCCCCTGTGACCTTGACCTTTGACCTGGTGACCTCAAAGTCAATAGGGGTCATCTACTTATCATGACTAACCTCCATGCCAAATATGAAGACTGTGGGTCAAAGGAATCTTAAGTTATTGGGCGGACAAGCTTTTTGAAGTCAAGGCCCCTGTGACCTTGACCTTTGACCTGGTGACTTCAAAGTCAATAGGGGTCATCTACTTATCATGACTAGCCTCCATGCCAAATATGAAGACTGTGGGTCAAAGGAATCTTAAGTTATTGGGGGGACAAGCTTTTTGAAGTCAAGGCCCTTGTGACCTTGACCTTTGACCTGGTGACCTCAAAGTCATTAGGGGTCATCTACTAATCATGACTAACCTCAATGCCAAATATGAAGACTATAGGTCAAAGGAATCTTAAGTTATTGGGCGGACAAGCTTTTTGAAGTCAAGGCCCTGTGACCTTGACCTTTGACCTAAAAATCAATAGGGGTCATCTACTAATCATGACTAACCTCCATGCCAAATATGAAGACTAAGGGTCAAAGGAATCTGAAGTTATTGGGCGGGCAAGAAAAAAACGATGGACAGCCGGACGGCCGGAAAGCCGGACGGCCAAGCTGATTCCAGTATACCCCCCTTACAACTTTGTTGTGCGGGGGTATAAAAAATCAAGTAGAACAAACTAAAATCACCCCCAAACACATTAACAATATCATGCAGACCAGTAAGCCTAAAGCACAACAAATTTGATCCAGTGTATAAATTTAGCTTGGCTACAAGAACTATGATATACTATTTGGCCTCCTCCTCAGAGCTTCCTACGCATACTTCTCCATTAAGTATACACATCTTGCACTGAGGCTATTATCAGACAAAATTGACGTTAAATGTTTCTGAAAATTATCAGGAAGGATGGAAAGTAAAACATTTTCATGGAAAGTATATCAAATTAGCCAACAAAAATAATTCTCTAAAGAGCTCTGACAAAATTCTTGAGAAGTAACTGAAAATTCAATTTGATGTAAATGTTGTCACTTATTTCAAGGCAAATTGAATATTCAGTCATTTTCCTTTATGTTGAAGGATTGCAAGTAAGATTTTCTCATAGAAAATTAGTAAATGTACATTGCAAAGAATCTGTTCAGGAAATTCAGGAATGTACTTTTAATGTCCATCTCTAACCATAAAGGATAGCCATAGTTTTTCTGAGTAAAGTTGTTGTTTATATGAGGAGGCAATTCTAATGGCAGTTTTTACAGATATTAAACATTGTATTTACCATTCCTAGAGGGAATTTTGTCTGTCCTCAAATTTTGTTTGCAGAGGAATAATGATAGTTAAATATATACACCTTGACCAAAATGACAGATGAATGTATGAAAACCATACCCAGTGCCAGATAAATGTACATGTACTATGAGAAAATGACGGGAAATGGACAAAAGCCCTCCCGGATAAAAGCCCTCCTGTCCAAAAATGACAAGGCGGACAAAAGCCCTCCCGTGAAAATGATAGGGCGGACAAAAGCCCACTGTGAAAATGACAGGGTAAGGTATTCAACATACATATACATATATATATTTGCTGGCGAGAGGGCTTGTGTCCGCCTTGTCAAATACAGGGGGAGGGCTTTTGTCGACCCTGTTATTTTCACGGGAGGGCTTTTGTCATCCCTGTTATTTTGACAGGAGGCCTTTTGTCCGCCCTGTATTTCACAAGAGAGCTTTTGTTATTTTTGGACGGGAAGGCTTTGGTCCGGGAGGGCTTTTGTTCTACATTAGCAAATGACAGATGTATGTACATATACTAATGAATGTACATGTACCATGACAAAATGACAGATGAATGAAAATGTACAATGACCAATTACAGATGTATGTACATGTTTGTTTGATTAGGTTTTATGTAACACTGACAAACTGTATAGGTCATATGGCAGCATTCCAGCTTTACTGATTGAGGAAGACATCAGGTGCCCTTCTGTTCATTATTTCAGACATGAACTGGCACATGAGTGCGGTGATTTCATGTACCATGACCAAATGCAGTGTCTATTGTTGATTTTTTCCCTTCTTTCTCTATGTAAAATTCCCCCCCTGCCTCTGGAAAAATAGGGGGGAATGTCTCCATCCCCCCTCCTAGAATAGACACTGCAAATGACAGATGAATGTACATGAACCATGACCCAATGACAGATATATACATAGCAGACACAATAAGACCTGTTTAATACAGAATGTATGATAATTCCACGAGCAATCACTATAAGACCAGTTTAATGCAGAATGTATGATCATTCCACAAACAGTCACTCTAAGATCAGTTTAATGTAGAATGTTATGATCATTCCACAAGCTGTCACTATAAGATCAGTTTAATGTAGAATGTTATGATCATTACACAAACTGTCACTATAAGATCAGTTTAATGCAGTATGTATGACCATTACACAAACTGTCACTATAAGATCAGTTTAATGCAGTATGTATGACCATTACACAAACTGTCACTATAAGATCAGTTTAATGCAGTATGTATGACCATTACACAAACTGTCACTATAAGATCAGTTTAATGCAGTATGTATGACCATTACACAAACTGTCACTATAAGATCAGTTTAATGCAGTATGTATGACCATTACACAAACTGTCACTATAAGATCAGTTTAATGCATTATGTATGACCATTACACAAACTGTCACTATAAGATCAGTTTAATGCAGTATGTATGACCATTACACAAACTGTCACTATAAGATCAGTTTAATGCAGTATGTATGACCATTACACAAACTGTCACTATAAGATCAGTTTAATGCAGAATGTATGACCATTACACAAGCAGTCACTATATAAGACCAGTTTAATGCAGTATGTATGACCATTACACAAACTGTCACAATAAGATCAGTTTAATGCAGTATGTATGACCATTACACAAACTGTCACTATAAGATCAGTTTAATGCAGTAATGTATGACCATTACACAAACTGTCACTATAAGATCAGTTTAATGCAGTATGTATGACCATTACACAAACTGTCACTATAAGATCAGTTTAATGCAGTATGTATGACCATTACACAAACTGTCACTATAAGATCAGTTTAATGCAGTATGTATGACCATTACACAAACTGTCACTATAAGATCAGTTTAATGCAGAATGTATGACCATTACACAAGCAGTCACTATAAGACCATATTAATGCAGAATGTATGATCATTCCACAAATAGTCACTGTAAGACAAGTTTAATGCAGAATGTATGATCATTCTATGATCAGTCATTGTTAGACTAGTTTAATGCAGAATGTATTATCATTCCACAAGCTGTCACTATAAGACCATATTAATGCAGAATGTATTATCATTCCATGAACAGTCATTGTAAGACCATTTTAATGCATAATCTATGATAATTCCATGAGCAGTTACTATAAGACCAGTTTAATGCAGAATGTATGATCATTCAACAAGCTGTCACTTTTAGATCAGTTTAATGTAGAATGTTATGATCATTCCACAAGCAGTCATTGTATAATCAGTTTAATGCAGAATCTATTATCATTCCACAAGCAGTCACTGTAAGACCAGTTTAATGCAGAATGTATGACCATTCCATGAGCAGTCATTGTTAGACTAGTTTAATGCAGAATGAATGACCATTCCACAGTAGTCACTATAATACCACTTAAATGCAGAATGTATTATCATTTCATGAGCAGTCACTATTAGACCAGTTAAATGCAGAAAGTATGATCTTTCCACAAGCAGTCACTATAAGACCAGTTTAATGCAGAATCAATGATCATTTCACAGCAGTCACTATAAGACCAGTTTATAAATAACATTCACAGATGAATGTTAAACACTAACCCAAATATCTAACGATAAACCAAGCTATTTTATTGATTCCAAATTCTAATATATTCTCAAGTGAATCATGTAAAATCATTGTAATTTCATGAGTTTATCGGGTTAATAATAAGTGGCAAAATGTTTTACACTGAAAGCAGGGAAGTGGTCTATCACTTGATTCCTTTTTAGTGTTAAGACCATGGTTAATGACCGCTTTGTTGACCTGTGACATTAAATCTACTTAAACATTATGAAGAGTTACTTCAGCAGAAAGACAGTGATTACTTGGAGTGGGAATTAGCCCCTTTCCAAAATTTATATAATGAATTACAAAATCCAACCATTATAGTTTTTTTAGTTTAACTAGGTGTAAGGGCTGTGTTGGAAGTCCGATAATTTTTTCACTTTTCATAAATGATCTAGTTACTTTTCTGCATGAAAAATGTAATAGAGGTATTTTTGTATCCAATGACATTGAAGAGTTAATTGCTCTTATGTTTGCTGATGATGTGTCTAGCTTTTCTGACACTGTTTTAAATCTACAGCAGCAAAAAAATTATATTGAAGATTATTGTAAATCTGTTAAGATGAAGATAAACTTAAGTAAAACGAAAATCATTGTCTTTAGAAATGGCGGTGTTTTGAAACAAACTGAAAAATGGTTGTTTAATAATGAACCTATTGAAGTTGTTCCATTTTACAAATATTTAGGTGTATTTTTCACACCAAAGTTAGTATGGTCCAAAACACAAGAGATGCTTGCACTACAGAGACTAAAAGCTTCTGCTTGTATATTCAATTTTCAAAGACAATTTGGTCACATTGATCCTATTGATATGTTCAAAATTTTTGATTCAATGGTAAAACCTATATTGTGTTATGCGTCAGAAATCTGGGGTTATAATTATGTTGATAAGATTGAATCTGTACAAGTTAAATTCTGTAAACAATATTGTAACTTGTCACAAAATACAACAAGCTATTTTGCTCTTGGTTAATGTGGAAGATTACCTCTCTGTACTATCTATATGACAAATTGTGTTAAATACTGGTTAAAACTGACATGTATGGGAGATCATAGGTACCCAAAACATTGTTATTTGATGTTAAAACGACTACACGAATCTGGACGGAAAACATGGGCTGGCAACATTAAAGATATGTTTTTTCAATTTGGTTTTGGATACGTATGGGTCTCTCATGATGTCGGTGATGACTTAAATTTCATTAATATGTTTAAACAATGCTTATTTGATTGTTATTCAGAAAACTGGCATAATGCTGTTGATTCTTCTCCTAAAGCATTACATTACAAGTACATGTACTGTAAGACTTTACTTAATGTTGAACGATATTTAAGTTTAGATTTAGCATATAAGTATAGAAGAGCTTTTTCTAATTTTCGCTGTTCATGTCATAATCTTATGATAGAGAAAGGTAGACACATTGGAATAGATAGAGATTTAAGATATTGCTTTCATTGCCTAAAGACAAATATTTATGTTATTGAGGATGAATATCATTTTTTCTTTTTTTTCACTATATAACAATATCAGAGCTGTCTATTTTAAAGATACATGGTTACATCATCATTCCCACCATTTATTTTATTCTCTCATGTCATCAACAATAATAAATGAAGTAATATCTATTGCTAAATATATATATTATGCAATGAATGTAAGAAAGGAAGAGCTTAATACTGTATAATTATTTACAAATTCAATTCATTACATCTAGTAACAAATGTATTTGCAATTTATCACTCTACTGTTTGATGTATTGTTGTACTTTGTATGTTGGGCCTGAGGCCTATATTACTAGAAATAAACTGAAACTGAAACAGTAAGACATTTTTATTTGGTTCAATGTACATATTATAACTTACTAAGGCATTTAGCTGGATCCATATTCTTATTATAAATTATCATTGTACATGTGAAAAAAGGGACCTTAAAAGTTTCAGTAATATGAGAAAAACAATTGTGTATGTGTCCAACAACAACAAGCATCAGACAATAACCTATTTTCAGACATGAAATAGTATGCTGAAACAACATTGCTTACATCATTTAGCAGACTAATGAACATTGTTTCTTGTTATGTCCTTTTAGTGACTGTGTTAGGGTAATAGGATACAAGAAATTTGATCAATTCAAGACACAAGTTTGAACAATCAGTACATAACAGTAATTGCTAAAACTTTGCCATTTTGTATCAATTTACATTTTGTTAAAACAACCCATACTTTTCTGATATCATTAGTAAATCTGTTTGACTTGCTAGGTACATAAAAGTTTTTTTTGTCAGCTGATAGGTTGATTCATGTCAACATCAAGCCGATAGGTTGATTCATGTCAACATCAAACTGATAGCTTGATTCATGTCAACATCAAGCTGATAGGTTGATTCATGTTAACATCAAACTGATAGGTTGATTTATGTCAACATCAAGCTAAAATGTTGATTCATGTCAAATCTCAAACTGATTGGTTGATTCATGCCAACATCAAGCTGATAGGTGGATTCATGTCAACATCAAGCTGATAGGTTGATTCATGTCAACATCAAGCTGATAGGTTGATTCATGTCAACATCAAGCTGTTAGGTTGATTCATGTCAACATCAAGCTGATAGGTTGATTCATGTCAACATCAAGCTGATAGGTTGATTCATGTTAACATCAAGCTGATAGGTTGATTCATGTCAACATCAAGCTAAAAGGTTGATTCATGTCAACATCAAACTGATAGGTTGATTCATGTCAACATCAAGCTGTTAGGTAATTCATGATAGGTTGATTCATGTCAACATCAAGCTGATAGGTTGATTCATTTCAAGCATAGGTCAACATAGCTGACATCAGCACAAGCTTTATGTGACTCAAGCTAAGCTGAAGGTTGGTTGATTCATGTCAAATCTCAACATCAAACTGATAGGTTGATTCATGTCAACATCAAGCTGATAGGCTGATTCATGTCAACATCAAGCTGTTATGTTGATTCATGTCAACATCAAGCTGATAGGTTGATTCATGTTAACATCAAGCTGATAGGTTGATTCATGTCAACATCAAACTGATAGGCTGATTCATGTCAACATCAAGCTGTTATGTTGATTCATGTCAAATCTCAAACTGATAGGTTGATTCATGTCAACATCAAACTGATAGGTTGATTCATGTCAACATCAAACTTATAGGTTGATTCATGTCAACATCAAGCTGATAGGTTGATTCATGTCAAATCTCAAACTGATAGGTTGATTCATGACATGATTTCATGTTGATATCTCTTATAATTATCAAGTTGTGTCTCAGACAAGATTTTTCTAAAATGGGAGATAATTAAAAAGGGGGCTGAGCAGTGTTATGGTTCTTTTGCATGCACTTCTACCCAAAGTTTCATGTTGATATCTCTTATAATTTTACAGTTATGTTCTAGACAAAGTTCAAAGTGTAAAACTGAACAAAGGGCAATAACTCCAAAATTAGGCATGGCAGAGTTATGGTTCTTGTGCCCTACACAGCTACCCATTGAGATCTATCTACCTACAAAGTTTCATGATGATATCTCTCTTAGTTTTAGAGTAATGTCCCAGACAAGATTTTTCTAAAAGGGGAGATAATTCAAAAACAGGGCTGAGCTGAGTTATGGTTCTTTTGCACTGCACTTCCACCCAATGAGATCTATCTACCTACAAAGTTTCATATTGATATCTCTTAGAATTTTAGAGTTATCTTCCTGACAAAGTGTCAAAATGAACTAAGGGCAATAACTCCAAAATTAGGTTTGGCACAGTAATGGCTCTTAAGCACTGCACAGCTACTTCATGTTGATATCTCTTATAAATACAGAGTAATGTCCTGGATAAGATTTTTCTAAAAGGGGAGATAATTCAAAAACGGGGTAAAATAGAGTTATGGTTCTTTGACACTGCACTCTGCCTCGATGTCCTCTACTACTGTATGAAGTTTAAAAATATTATCTCCAAGGGTTTTCAGGTTATGCTCCAGACAAGACAACGGACGGACAGACGGATGTACTTAGGAAATGGTACTTATGTGACTTTTCATTTGATCTTTTTAGCCATTTTTAGTCACACAAGGCTTAAAAAAGGACACACAAGTAAAAACGGAATGAATAGGATCAAAGAGAATTTACTGTTACCCATTGTTTTCCAAGGCACACAAGTACCTCTGGGTTTGTATGGACGTTCCAACATTTTGGGTTTAGGGGCTATTTTCTTTGTTTTCTTAAGGGCTACTAGCCCATAAACCCTTTGATCACGGAATGAACGTACTGTTCTCTTTTGTTCTCTTTACTGTTACATAGCCTCTAAACCCAAAATGTTTGCTCGGACAGACAGACGGACAAGGCAGCGACTATATGCTCTCCCTTCGGGATAAAAAAATTGTTCAATCTATGATTAAAGCATAGAATGTTTACTCAAGAATAATTATATGAATGAAAGGCTCAAAGTCAAAGAAAATAAAAGGTAAAATAGTTTATTCAAAATGTTTACAATTGTTATGTTAAAATAAAGAAATATGGAAGATAGTAATATATAGAAAGCATAGCATGTATAATATAAATAATGATGTTAATTAAAATGATTAGGAAAAGCTATTTTCCCAATAACACAAAATGAGTCAATGCAAGCTTTTAATTCCAAATTTTAACACTTTAAAGAACACACAATATATTAAAGTAACTGAACCTTTACATTGGTTTAAAAGTGACTGACAATATTGTTACAGTATTCATACATGTATTTAATTATCAGATACTGATTCACTGAGAAATATCATGCCTTACTTTTAGATGCTACAATACTTATAACAAAAATAACATCATATCACAATTCCCGTGTGTTTTCTGTATCAGAATTGTCTAACATCACGTTGCATTTTTCATTCTTGTTTGTGTCCATTTCCCAAACAACCCTTAACGAGTTAGGGCTTTCCTTTCTAACTCTTGGTTTAGGAGTTGGACTTTCTTTCCTGTACGATTCAAATGAGCTTGGAGACAGTCGATCATTCATATCAATTGTGTCCATTGTTTGAACTGAGTCACGATGAACCTTTTCTAGATGAAGTAACAAAGGTGAGGCACTGTCTCTATGAAGTTTTGTCTTTTCATTGTCCTTATTGAGCTGCTGAAAACCATTCATTTCATACTGACTTGCTCCACTACATTGACTTATTCTTCTCCTATTGTTATCTATAGAAAAACTATAGTTGCGTTTTATCTTTTGCAGTTCCTGGTTTGTTAAAAAGCATTTGCAAAACAGTCTCCAAAACTCTCTGCGGAAGCGTTTTCCAAAAAAGTAGTATGGCACAATATTTATTGCAGAGTTGACAATGATTAAGAAATTTCCTACTTCATTAATCTTATGAAATGTCATGGAACCAGTTGCCCTATTGAAATCAATTGCGTACACCATTCTGGAAATCAAGGCTGGTCCTTGACAAACTAGAAATATTACTATAACACCAATCAACATCACTGTTGTGTCATTTCTTCTTTTTTCCTTCGCATTTATCAGACGTCCATGCTGCTTAGACATATGAACAGCATGCATTAAAAAAGTATTAAGAATTGCTAGAGTGAAAAATGGAATTCCGCACACAAAAGTTAAATATAAATAGGAGTGAACAAGATCCATAAATGTTTGACTTCGTCCAATTGAAGTATATTCTATGACAAGCCGAGTTACATTTCCTCCGTCCAAGGAAGGAATTACCATTTCCCGAGTTGTATACTCTAAATATCGGGGAATGTTGAACAGAATTCCGAATACGTAAACGCCAACTATTACCTTCCTTGCTTTTCCAACACTACACATACTCTCTGCTTTGAATGGATGACATATCATGATATATCTGTCTACTGTAAACGCTAGAGTGAGCCAAACTGATGTTACTTGAAATGTTACTGCTGATGGGTGTAAATAAGGAAATAACATTGCATATGCAGTTTTTCCCCAACTTATTTTACCTGGTTGTGGGTATGTTGTGTCTTCACTCAGTAGATATAGGGTGACTGTTAGAAGTAAAGCAAGAGTGTCGCAAACAGCAAGAGCTGCTAGATAGGAGTAGGTAGACGAGTTCATTACACGTCGTGTTAGAACAATAACGGATAATATATTACAAATTATCCCAATAAAACATACTGTGCTCCCTGCTATTCCCATTAAATAATAATTCAGCAGGGCTTTCTCATATTTTATTTTGTCGTCTTCTGAAAGAGTGTCATTTGTTTGTGATGTGTTATCACTTTCTGCTAAGAAAGAAGATAAATTAAAAGAAAAAGATATGCCCAATGATTTAATATATTCCTCAGAGTATCCTTCAACCATCGTAAAATGTTTGTCTTGTTTTCACACTTAAAACATAAATCTTTTCAAAATCATTGCCGGAGATATTTTTTGCTGACTTGTTCATAAAACATATAAATGTTGATTTCGAAGACGACAAATCTTTCCTTTTTAGGCAACAAGCAATGTTATCAAATCACGACAGGCTAATTGGTTTTTTCCCTGTTAATAATATTGCTTTGACAAATCAGCTACTTGTCCACAAGGGCACTCATTGTTTTACTAGACATTCTAGACAAAATGTTATAAACCAAGACTTATCTTAAATCACTTTGCTAATAATTTGCTCTTTTTCTTTAATAAACAAACAGTAATCAGTTACTCTTGGCAAGAAATGTCAATTCTGATTGGTCCTAATCTTGGAAGCAGAATTCTTGGAGGTCCGAAAAAAACAGCAGTAAAAATGAATGATATTTGACATTGATATTTCAGGTATAGATATACAATTTCAGCAGTTGAAAGTAACTTTAAAGATGATTCCAAGTATTTGCTTTCTTTATTGTTAATGATAACTTGTTGTCCCACATCTCAAAAAAGACAACCTTTTTGTCCTATAATGTTTAAGTTTGTTGCACTCATCCAAAATTTGCAAGTATGACTGTAGAATATACTTTAAGGTGTGTTAAACCTCTCTGCAGACTTTCAATTTTTCTTTTTTTTTTGTCTTCTTGAACCTGAAATCATACAAATATAAAAGAACTAATTAACAATATGCCATCATGACGAGGTATTTTTCTTCATTTTATATAATAATTATCTTCCGCTTCCAATAAAGGCCATGATGGCGATGAAGTCGCTCACCTCACTAAAGATGGCAACAGGGGTAGCATACTTTTTAGTATAATTTTAGTACATTTTAAAAATTCTTGTACAAATACTCAACAGGATCAGAAATAGGCAAAATAAAAAATAGAGAAACACATGTTGTATAAAATGCTGTAGTTATCATTACAATATTTTAAAATGAATCATTCCTTTTTCTTGATATAAGCAAAGATTCATTTAATTTCTACTTTATGTATGTAAGTGTTTGGCAGCAATATGTTAATCAAGTTATGTTGTATATTATGCCAACACCATTTAATTCTAGTGTTGAAAATTAATACATATTTTACTCAGTTTTGTTAAAACATAATGTCATCATTTTATACAATAACGTAGACCTAAAAATACAAGAATCATTGAATGTGATGTAAATGATGTATATCTAAACATTTTAAGATAAACAGATAAAACATTGATATACTGCAGTTTCACACACATTTGATGATATATTGAAAAAGAAACACATTATTATATGACTGTATAACTTTATCTGTTTTATATCCATGATATGTATCAGTTATTAACTATTATATCTGTCTAGCATCAAATTAAACAATTTTATCTGTCTAGAATCAAGTTAAACAATTATATCTGTCTAGAATCAAGTTAAACAATTATATCTGTCTAGAATCAAGTTAAACAATTATATCTGTCTAGAATCAAATTAAACAATTATATCTGTCTAGAATCAAGTTAAACAATTATATCTGTCTAGAATCAAGTTAAACAATTATATCTGTCTAGAATCAAGTTAAACAATTATATCTGTCTAGAATCAAGTTAAACAATTATATCTGTCTAGAATCAAGTTAAACAATTATATCTGTCTAGAATCAAGTTAAACAATTATATCTGTCTAGAATCAAGTTAAACAATTATATCTGTCTAGAATCAAGTTAAACAATAATATCTCTTTAGAATCAAGTTAAACAATTATATCTGTCTAGAATCAAGTTAAACAATTATATCTGTCTAGATCAAGTTAGAATCAAGTTAAACAATTATATCTCTTCTAGAATCAAGTTAAACAATTATATCTGTCTAGAATCAAGTTAAACAATTATATCTGTCTAGAATCAAGTTAAACAATTATATCTGTCTAGAATCAAGTTAAACAATTATATCTGTCTAGAATCAAGTTAAACAATTATATCTGTCTAGAATCAAGTTAAACAATTATATCTGTCTAGAATCAAGTTAAACAATTATATCTGTCTAGAATCAAGTTAAACAATTATATCTGTCTAGAATCAAGTTAAACAATAATATCTCTTTAGAATCAAGTTAAACAATTATATCTGTCTAGAATCAAGTTAAACAATTATATCTGTCTAGAATCAAGTTAAACAATTATATCTGTCTAGAATCAAGTTAAACAATAATATCTCTTTAGAATCAAGTTAAACAATTATATCTGTCTAGAATCAAGTTAAACAATTATATCTGTCTAGAATCAAGTTAAACAATTATATCTGTCTAGAATCAAGTTAAACAATTATATCTGTCTAGAATCAAGTTAAACAATTATATCTGTCTAGAATCAAGTTAAACAATTATATCTGTCTAGAATCAAGTTAAACAATTATATCTGTCTAGAATCAAGTTAAACAATTATATCTGTCTACAATCAAGTTAAACAATTATATCTGTCTAGAATCAAGTTAAACAATTATATCTGTCTAGAATCAAGTTTAACAATTATATCTGTCTAGAATCAAGTTAAACAATAATATCTCTTTAGAATCAAGTTAAACAATTATATCTGTCTAGAATCAAGTTAAACAATTATATCTGTCTAGAATCAAGTTAAACAATTATATCTGTCTAGAATCAAGTTAAACAATTTTTGAAGAGATAGAACAATAAAGAGTTATTTATTGACAACTTTTTTCAAACGCTTCATTCTTTATCATCATTTACAAATCTTAATCATTAAAGAAGCAGCTTATAAATTTTCCCTTATATAGTTATAAATTATTGGCGTACAAAACATGAAGTTATACAAGAAGTAGAATAATATAACTTTAAAACATTCTAACAAAAATTATTGTATTCCCTCATGTAAACAAAATGATTTTCTGTTTGTTTACAAAACACAACACATCTTCCCTGGTGCAATAACCAATTCAACAACTCAAAAGTACACCAACAGGTACATTAAATGTCATATGTATCTAAACACTTCCTATTGGTTATAGACATTTAAACTTACATCAATGACAGTAAATCAGTATGTTCTCAGTATGTTCTATAACCAGAGGCCCTGATGTACATTGCTAGATTTTTTCAAGCTCTGAGCATTGTAATTTACTCAAGAGGACTTGAATGTGTTTTCTATTTAAGTTCATATACACAAGATGGCCAAATATCTAAGCTCTGGACATTGTAGTTTCACATTAAATAAGTGATTCCCAGATCAGGACCAATTTTAACCCCTGTGTCATGATTTATAAAACTTTCAAAGGTAACTATATTGTGATGCTACATGTCAAATACCTAAGCTCTGGAAAATACAAGATTTTTGAATATTTCATTTTTAAATCTGTTTTGCTCCAATGGTCAATCTTTAATCATTAAAATAACTTTTGTAGAGGGGCTTCAATCCTGTGAAATTCTGCCTCATGGTTTAGAAAGAGATGTTGTTTAAAAACTATGGATAATGATGGATGAAAGACACACTGGCATCTCACTATCTCATTGCTCAAATGAGCTAAAAATGAAGGCAACACTGACTAAGCAATCATGTTTTTTTTAATGTCCACTCCTGATATATATCTCCTGTTTTATCACAATCAGTGATTAACAAAAGTTGACCCAGATAACAATTTTAAATGAACCAGATACCAATTTACTTCAGATTTCCTATATATTGTTTCAGTCACTATACTGTAATGTTTGAGGTAGTCTATGTCTGTGACAGTAATTACATTGTCAGTAGGCTTTCAGGGAATGTCAGCTTTCAAAGGGACAATTCACTCATTAGATATCATGCAAGGAATTTTTAAAATCTATCAAATTTATAGAATACACTCAGCTAAGTTATTTACAGACCTCTAAGTATGACCTTGACTTTGGCAGCAGGGACAGCCTCACAATGGAGAACATTTGTGCCAACTTTAACATAAAGAGATAGCTAACCATCCAGCTATTACCAAAATCTCAGCAAGTGAGCAACTACTTTTTCACATGATCGATTAATCAGTGGTAAAAGACAAATGAGTCGTGCCATGACAAAACCAACATAATTATTAATGGGTTTGCGACCAGCATGGATCCAGACCAGCCTGCTCATCCACTCAGTCTGATCAGGATCCATGCTGTTTGCTATATCGGTTTCTCTACTTGTTATAGAGTTTGTAAGCAAACAGCATGGATACTGATCAGACTGTGCGGATGCAAATGCAGTTGCAAACGCATTATGTTGGTTTTGTCATGGCGCGGCTCAAATGGTCATTAGAGATCAGTTAACATTATACATATAGATATCTTACCTCATTAGGGAACCAACTAGTGGCCCTAGATTGCAAGTAACATCTCCCTTTTTAGCTTAACTGCCTGGATAACTTATTTATACTACTCTCTGGACTATAAATATGTTTTAACCTTGTATCACTCCAATAGTCTGTACATATCAATCTTTTGAGGCTAACAGGAAAGACTGGGTTGCCCAACTTTGTTTCCTCATTAAACAAGAACTGGTTGAACCGGGTGATGCTCCCCGAGAAGGTTTTGGACACAGGGCAAACACTCCAAAATAAGGAAAGGCGGAGTTATGTTTTTTGCACAGCACTTCTATTCAATGAGATCCATCTATCTATAAATTTTCCTGATGATATCTCTTATAGTTTCAGAGTTATGTCCCGGGTAAAATTCAAAGGGTAAGAATGAAAAAAGGGCAATAACTCCAAAATTAGACAAGGATTTGTTTAGGTTCTTTAAGCATTGCAGTTCTATCCAATGATATCTATCTACATACAAAGTTTCATGTTGATATCTCTAATAGTTTTAGAGTTATGTCCAGGACAAAAGTCAAAAAAGTAAAAATAAACAAAGGGCAATTACTTCAAAATAAGGCAAAGCAGAGTTATGATTCTTTAGCACTGCACTTCTACCCAATGAGACCTATCTATCTACAAAGTTTCATGTTGATATCTCTTATAAATTTAGAGCAATGTCCCAGACAAAGTTCAAAGTGTCAAAATGAACAAAGGGCAATAACTCTAAAATTAGGCAAGACAGATTTATGGTTCTTGTGAACTGCAAACCTACCTAATGAGATCTATCTACTTACAAAGTTTCATGTTGATACCTCTTATAGTTTTAGAGTTATGTCCTAGACAAAGTTCAAAGTGTAAAAATAAACAAATGGGAATAATTCAAAAATTAGGCAAGGCGCAGTTACAGTTCTTGAGAACTGCACACCTACTCAATGAGATCTATCTACCTACAAAGTTTTATGTTGATACCTCTTATGGTTTAAGAGTTATGTCCTGGACAAAGTTCAAAGTGGGGGATATTCAAAAATTAGGCAAGGCAGAGTTATGGTTCTTGTGCACTGCACACGTAGACAATGAGATCTATCTACCTACAAAGTTTCATGTTGATACCTCTTATAGTTTTAGAGTTATGTCCCAGACAAAGTTCAAAGTTTAAAATAAACAAAGGGAGATAATTCAAAAATAAGGCAAGGCAGAGTTACGGTTCTTGTGCACTGCATACCTACTCAATGAGATCTATCTACCTACAAATTTTCATGTTGATACCTCTTATAGTTATGTCCCGGACAAAGTTCAAAGTGTAACAAACGGGGATAAATTCAAAAATTTGGCATGGCAGAGTTACGGTTCTT